ACTCTCATGTTCTTGGCTTCTGCTTCTTTGTATGCAGCTTCTAAAGCTTGAGGAGTTACCTGAAAGTTGTTTGAGCTGTCAGTGTGGATTGGCACAATGTTCACCCCAGTCCTCCACCTTAAATCTCTATCAAATCTGAAGAAGGAAATTTAAGTTGACATTAGTTATGAGAATTTGAATACAGAAGTCACAGATAGTATGCATGAAAAAACAATATATAACTTCCAAAGATTATGTTCTCTTGTCAAATAACACTTGACATGTATATGTTGTCAGATTATCATTTGGATAGTGTCAACTGTCTGACAAGAGAACATTTCCGTAACTTCTAAAATAGTTAAGTTCCGTGTTGGAGGATAGTTCTTACCCTGGATAGTATGGGGTTGGAACAAGCAAAGCATCACCAGGATCAGCTATAATGAAAGTTAAGAGCTCATTGGCGGCAGTTGCACCTGCTGTTAGGACTACCCTATCAGGGTCAAATTTGGCTCTTCCTCCTCTAATTTGCTCCATGAAACTTGCCATTGCCTTTCTGAAAGACAAAAGGCCATGGTAATCTTGAAACAAAGCATTCTCTCTAAAGCCAGACACTCCTTTTGATCCCAAGTTTGAAGATTCTGAATGCTCTTCCAGTTCCAAGTACTTTTCCAACAGATCAAATGAAACCTGTTAAACAAATTAAAAAACTAACATTAGGTGAAAATTCTAAAAAAAAGAAAAAAAATTCAGAATTTCTTCTTCTTGGTTTTCTAAAGCAATTGATCATTGTGATCATGAGCACTTACTTGATTCTCTGCAAGTCCCATCTGTATAACTCCAGATGGATTGCTTGATTCATTATATGGGTTTTCATCATATGCTTTCCAGCCTGCAAAGTATGGCGAGTCTTCTCCATGAGTATCAGAAACAGCTATTTTTGATAGCCCAACAGAAGGCTGCTCAATCCCTATAGCCATAACTGGCTTTCTTATAAAAAAGCTGTTATGACTAAGAGAGATAGAGAGAAGAGTTTGATAGAGAACTGTTTGAATGAAACCTTTAAAATGACCTCTTATATATAGGAACTCTTTGAGAGCCTTGCCATAAAAAATTATTAATAAAAAAAGTCCCCCCTCAACTTGCCTGGTCTATTGAAAAAAAAAGAACAAAAAGAAAAGAATCAATGATTGATTCTGTGACACAAGCAAGATACATAAAAGCTGGCCTCTACTTATGCAGTTTTTATCTCATGAACATGTACCAACAACTGTGAATAAATTATCCTGCGTTGTCAAAGCTTTCTTTTATCTTAATCTCCATAAGATCTGATTAAGATATGGAGGTGTAATTGGTTATTGGGTTCCTTCTCTCTGCAAATCCCCATGTTCTTCCCAACCTATGACAAATCAAATCCTTGCTGAGCAAACTCTAAATCCCATGCTGAAAACCAAATGATGCATGAAATTAAAATGCTTTTACAAACAAATTATTGTTTCGAAGAGATCTAGGAGTGGTTAAGTTCGATTACGTGACAAAGATACCAATTTTCCCAAGATTTAGATTCTGATTTGTGGACAAATTAGCTACAAGGACATATAATTGAAGCCCCATGCCTGCTGCTGACACATCACACATGCTATGCATTAATTCCCAGCAACAGAATTTATAACTTGGGGGTTTTGAGGTTTGTAGCAATAGTCATCTCACGGTTCTAATTAAATTCTCAAAACATATGTACTATTGTTAATTATAGCAGAATGCAGTGTTTTCTTTTATTATATTATGTTAGATCATGCATTGCCCATGATATCCAATCAGTGACAATTCGTAGGCATGTATGCAACATTTTTCATTTTCTTATTTTATTTTTTACAAGCAGAGGAAGAGATATTTTCTCTGTGTTTGTGCATGTGTGTGTGTGTAAATGCAGACAAAACTTAGAGTGCCAAAATGATAAGGGGAATATGTTTTGGGGTTCAAGATATGGTGAAATTCCATGTGCAAAAACTCAAACAGCTAGCTGCATCAGAGATTTGCAATCACTACATAGAATCCCTCCTAATGCATATATATACAACAGAGAACGTGAATGGAGTGATGAAGATGACGCCTGCTAAGGCCATTTCAGCCTGCAAGGCATGGACAAGTACCACCGCAAAAAGTATCCATCGGATATGGAGCTTCCTTCAATTTTAATCAGATTAATGCAGTCATGGGCAATTACACTTGTTTCAGTGGAAGGTGCTTGTCATCTCATTAAAAACAATCCAATAATGCAAGGGGCTTGTAGCTTAAGTGGATAAGAGCATTTATCCTTGCACCCGAGGTCCTAAGTTCGATTCCCCTCTCCCCAAACCCAATAATTATAAAAAGGGATGGTGGGTTGTGTTTTACCACTTATTAAAGCAGAGACATGCCAAAAAGTAAACTTATTGAAGCAAAAAGCTGAAGCCTTTCATCTGTAGTTAAGTATGTGCAGTCAAGTTCAAAATCAATGGATTAGGTATTAATTAGTAATTAAGAAGCTGCATTGTCAGTAAAGCTCATTGCTGAGAAAGTGTTTGATCACATTCCTATGTGGATTGCAGCTGGGAAACATCATCAAACATGTCATGGAATGGAATGGAAGCACACCAGAAATTAGGACTGACAAAGACAGACCAATTGGCTTTACATGGAAACAAACTGCATGCACAGTCTGTACTGTCCAAGATGGCCTTTTTCCCAGCATCAGTAGCTACCTCTAATTAATCAATTAATTAATTAAGCAAGCCAAAAAGCTGTGGGGAGATCATATAATTACTTGAGATTAATGAGATTTTCTTAATGGTCTAGCAGCTGCTGTGTCAACATCTTCTGAATAAAGGGCCAAAGTTTGTCCTTTCATGTTGCTCTCAAGGACTACAACTGAGTCACAGATGAAAGCTAGCAATCACATTACATTATACTAAATCCATCTTTATATATGTAATTTGTGGTAACTGGGCAAGCAGAGGTCTACATTTGATTCCCTGAGATGATTTCATATGTCAAAATAATAATAGATAATTGGGGATATGAAAGGGTTCCAAAAGTTGTAAAAAGCAAAAAAGAAAGGGAGTTGGCATGTTTAATTGTAACCCAATTATCAGGCCACAAATCTTGGTGAAGATATAATAGCAATGACAGTGAGCCACTTGGGATTTTTTATTATAATCATGCCATGATCATGTCAAAGAAGATAACTAAAGATTATCGGGTAGGTGAAGGCTACATCTAATTAATAGTTTATTCCTCACTCTGCCTCTACTACAATCAATTGCTTAAATTGGTTTATGACTATATGGATTGTAGTAAGAGGTAACTTATCATAATCAATACTCATTTCTCCTCTTAATGTTGAAAGAGGTACTGTGTTCGATTCTCGTCTTTTATTAACTAAAACAAATAATTTCACCATACTCAACGATTCCTTTCCGTGTTTTCATATTTGTACGAACACATCTTGTGAACCTCATATGGAGCCTTTGAGGCATTGAGGCATTGAGAGACATGATCTCAACTTGTGCATGCCAATGTTTACTAATGTGATGTCTGCACATAAACATGCCCAAGGACCAAGGCCATGGTGGTCTTCACCTTAGAAATTTCCTACATGTTCTGCTTCTGCATATATAAAATGGAGGTCAGCCTTGTATTTAGTACGTACACAAATATATATGCCTTTTTGTATATATGCTTCCGTAATGCCATTTTCTTAATGTTGTTTGCTTTAGTTGTAAAGCATGAAATGCGATCCACCATCGTCCACATAGACTTTGACTTACCAATAATGCATTACTTTTCAAACCTCTACATTGATTATAGTTTTTTTTCCCCTCAACTTGCAAATTGTTTTTGTTAATTTCTGTGTTTATGGTTGAACATATATTCAAAGTAATGTCTCTACATATGTGCCAACGATCACCTTTTTGTGGAGAATTTCCTACGTCTCAACCATGTGCTTTCCTCTCATCCCATCCTTTCTCAAAATATAATAACTAAATACAAATCCACGGCTAATAATTGCATAGTTGAAGTCTCTTGTATATATTCCCTAAATTGTGATCCAACAACCTCCATGCAAACACAGGCTTAGAGATAAGATTGCTTTATCAAGATTATTAATTATAAGATGCACACCAACCAACCATGATTTCTTTCTTGTTCTAAAGTCCATTTTGTAAAAAACGCTCCCGATTCACAAGGAGCATGTAGCTTAAGTGATTAAGAGTATTTACCATTGCACTCAAGTCCAAGGGCTTGTATAAAAAAAAACCCTCCCAATTCAATTATTATGGTTAAGAAGTTCTTACGTTTTATATTAAAACAAAAAAGTAGAATACATATTGATAGTCGATCAACATAGCATAGCATGTTGAATTAATAGACAATATTATATTTAGATGTATGCATATACTCTAGCTCATTGCCAACCAGGCAACTACGCAGGATCAGCTAGCTGATTGACAATCATCTCACATTTATACATGGCTTCACATTGAAACTCATGAAAATTGTTCATATTCTAGTAAAGGCCTCGAAAATTGAATTCAAACACATGCCCACATGCGCATATATACTTACAATTTCTTCACTGGCTATGGTCCTTAAATTTTTTTTCTTTCTCAATTTGTAATCAATTCAATAGATCATCGTGACGTTACGAACAAAAAATAATTGCAATGAGTCATATGTTAAAAGTTACAATGATGTTCAGAACCAAAAAAAAGAAAAAAAAGAATCGGGTCTAGCCTAGTGAAAAATTGTCTTGATTCATAAAACCTTGATAGTATTTTGTAACTATCATTTGTATTTAAAACAATAATAATAACAAAGAAAAATCGATAATTATTTATTCATAGGACTGGCCCAAAATATTCATAAGATTAAATGGGCTTGGTATGGGCCTAATTTAAGGCCCAAAAATGTGGGCTTCGATCCAATCATATAAGTATGTCAGTACGTTGGTTTCTTGGTTCCCGGAAAAAGAAGCCATTTCCATGGCTTCGCTGTCGTCTCTCACTCCTCCTACAGTCCCGGTGGAGCTCTACGTCACCAACCGCGAAAAGCTCCTCAGTTCTCTTCGCCATAACTTCTCTCAGTCGTCTCGTCCCATCCATGGCTTCGTCTTTCTCCAAGTAATCCACTTTCTTCTCGCTGATTTTGATTCAATGTATTTTCATAAAAAAAGAAGAAAAAAAATTGAGCTTTGGTTTTTCGCAACTGGTTTTTGACTTGTTGTTTTTAGGGAGGCGAGGAGCAAAATCGCTATGACACTGATCACACCGAGCTCTTCAGGTGCATAGTTGAAATAATTACGTTGTTGATCATATTATTGTTGATATTCAATTTAGCTTTCGGTTTATGTATGTTTAGGTATTGTTCAATTGTATGAAGTACCAGTATGTAAAAATGACCATTGGAATTTCCAATTTAGCTTTCGCTTTTACGTTCGTTTTATAATAAAAAATTGCCACTTAATTAGACTCGGTTAAGAAGTATCATAGTTCAGAGTATGATTTGTATATTATGCTATGAAAGGTGTTAGGCAACTGTTGGTTGTTGTCACTGCAATAATTGGTTTGCATCAATGGATGATTTATTTATTTAGTTTCTGATTGCTGTCGAATTTTCGTTTATAGGCAAGAGAGTTTCTTCGCTTACTTGTTTGGAGTAAGAGAGCCTGGCTTCTATGGAGCTATCGTAAGTACATGGAAGTAGGACACTGGGGTTGTTCTTGAATGCAAATTTGTTTTTTATTCGGTGTTTTTTTTTCGGTTTTAGCTCTCATGGGTTACATGTAACGCATTGTTTCTTGTGGGCTGATCTTTTTGTATGCTTTTTACTTAAGGACATTGCAACTGGGAAATCTGTTCTCTTTGCTCCTAGGTTACCCGCTGAGTATGCTGTTTGGTTGGGAGAGATCAAGCCTTTATCCTACTTCAAGGTGATTGACGGCTTAATACATTTCTCTGTAAACATAAGATGCAGTCGTTATTCATTAGCTCACATTTATGTTATTCATTTGCAGGAAAGATATATGGTTAGCTCGGTATACTACACTGATGAGATCACAACTGTTCTGCATGATGAATACCAGGGATCTGGTAAACCTTTATTGTTTCTCTTGCATGGGGTCAACACTGATAGTGATCTATTCTCAAAACCAGCAGAGTTTCAGGTTAATAAATCTCATGCTCCCTGTTTATCTCATATCAGTTATAGATACCTTCAGAATGGGATTTGCTGCATCAGTTCTTGTTCAGGTGGTTAAAGCTGGAGTTGGGGAATGATAGGTGTTAGTTGACTAGATGAATAAATTATAAAAACAATAAAGTAATGACTTATTGCATTCTCTGTTTTAGACACATTTTTCTTTAAGCAGAATGTTATACTGAATATAAATTCTTAATCTTTTTTTAGGGGATTGATAAGTTTGACACAGATTTGACTACCTTGCATCCGGTTTTGACTGAATGCCGTGTCACAAAATCAGATCTGGAGCTTTCCCTTATCCAGTTTGCCAATGATATCAGCTCTGAAGCTCATGTCGAGGTAAGTTTCTATGAAAATGTTCCATTGCCCATATGTGTTACCATACATCATATACATATTATAAGAAATAAATGTACTTTTAACACAAATTCTGCATGTCATCCTCACTTTACGTACGTCTAATGACAAGAAGCAGCTCAGAAATGGATCAGTTATTTCACTGTTGGATGAACTTTCTGCACTTTGAAATCTTGATTTTGGACTGATCCTTATTAGATCTTTAGAAATGTTTCAGACCTTGAATGTTTTTTTTCTTAGTCATGATTGCTATTTTTCTTTCTGACCAGGTCATGAGAAAAGTTAGGGTGGGCATGTACGAGTATCAGCTGGAAAGCATGTTTCTTCACCACACCTACATGTATGGTGGCTGTAGACATTGCTCATACACTTGTATTTGTGCTACTGGTGAAAATAGGTAAACTTTTCTTAATTAAGCCATGAGTCGATAGAATAATCTGCTCAATTAAGATTTCCTTTTGATTTCATTGGAGGTATGAATGTATCGATATCGATGTTAATCTCAACTGTAAGCTTTTGGCTAAAATTTCTATTGTTTCGAAAATACAGCAGTGTTCTCCATTATGGACATGCAGCAGCTCCAAATGACAGGGTACAATATACTTACATGCTAAGTACTTTGTTACATAATGAAAATTAGCGAAAATTCATAACATCTTTTGTGCAGACCTTGGAAAATGGAGATTTGGCATTGCTTGATATGGGAGCTGAATACAATTTTTATGGGTCTGACATCACTTGTTCTTACCCAGTGAGTATGCATAGTTTTGTTTGCAATTAAGTTTAGCTAGGGTTAAGGTTTACTAAACCATGGACTGCATGGTAATAAATAGTAGTATGCAGGAGACTCTTCTTGTGGTACAATGCCTATTTGTTTGACTTTTCCCTGAGCTTTCTCAGGATTCTTTCAACCTTATCTGCAGGTGAATGGAAAGTTTAGCTCTGATCAAGCACTTATATATAATGTAAGTGCATTAGTATTACGGCTTAGATCATATCTTCAATTCTTGCTCTCTCTATCAGTGGACGAGCTCACACTCCTGTATGTATGTGTGCTTGTCACTCCAGGCTGGTTTGCAGGCCTGCCACAAGAATCATATTTCTGTGTTTAACATTTTCTAGCATTTTGTAGTAGATATGTACTTTTTGTTTAAAATTGTCTTGTTTTCTGCAGGCTGTCCTTGAAGCTCACAATGCTGTCATATCTACAATGAAACCCGGAGTAAGCTGGGTTGATATGCATAAGTATGATTCAATCCTGACTGTTTTTTGTAAACAAAAGATTAAGGCGTTTGCTAATATCATGTGCATTCTGATTCTCTTTGCCTCATTATTTACAGACTAGCAGAAAAGGTTATTCTTGAATCATTGAAGAGAGGGAGCATCCTAGTTGGGTAAAAACCATTGTATCTCAATTATGTACTCTAGTATACTTGCAAGTTGTGTGTAGTTTTGGAATTATAAATTTACTTAAGCTGCTCATTGCTCTTGGTTCTAGCAACGTTGATGATATGATGGTTGAACGATTGGGTGCTGTTTTCATGCCTCATGGTCTTGGGCATTTGCTTGGTATCGACACTCATGATCCTGGTGGCTACCCAAAGGTTATTATGAACAAGTTTATGCTCTCCCTTCTAGTTTATCTTTCAGAATTCCTTTTTAAATAATTTTTAGCATTTTTCCTTGATGGAACTTGGAACAACTGCATAATTTGCAGGGTTTGGAGAGGCCAAAAGAACCTGGATTAAGGTCTCTACGTACAGCAAGAGAACTCCAAGAGGGAATGGTTAGTATTGATTTATAGATCAAACCCTTTCACTAATGTTCTGAATATTTTTTTTCCTGAACGCTGGTTAAAATAATTCTTTTGCATTTGATAGTTTGTCTTTGGGGATTGTTTTGTAGGTGATAACCGTGGAGCCTGGTTGCTACTTCATTGATGCTTTGTTGGTTCCAGCCTTGGGAAGTTCAAATACTACTAAGTTCTTCAATCATGAAGCAGTTAGTAGATTTAAAGGTTTTGGTGGAGTTCGCATTGAAAGCGATGTGGTACATCCCATCTTCTGAACCCTATGATTCCTTTTACTGATTTTTGACCTGTGTTCCTTGTCCCCTTGGTCGCATTCGCATTGTGGTTTTGGACATATGAAATAATAACATGCCACTGAAACTGTACATTTTGCTCACCTCTCTTCAGCTGTGTTGCATCTGGTTCATGTATATCTCGTTTTCTTTAAATGGTTGATGTGTGCTTATACATTATTCTGGTTGTTGTAGCTTGTCACGGATACCGGTTGTAAGAACATGACAAAGGTTCCTCGGGAAATATCAGAGATCGAAGCAGTAATGGCGGGAGCACCGTGGCCACTTGATAAAGCTTCTACCGGAAAGGGCTGATAGAACAATCGTATCCATAATGGATTCTGCTATTTGTCATGGCATAAAGAATAAGATAGAATCTCTCTCCAAAAAAAAAGAAAAAAAAAAGATAGAATAGCACAGCATCCGCTGTGAAATATTATTGTAAACTTTTAACTATATATGCGGTCAGATTTATTTGTTCTCGTAGCTATCATCTCCACATTTTTTCATTATACTTTCTAATGTTTATTTTCTTCATTAAACAATAGAAGAATTCCAAAGCTAAAAAATTATAGTAATTTTTCCTCCATGATGAAAAGAAAGGGCAATGCTGTGTTATTATTAATCACATATTTTTCAAGGTCAAACAAAGAAATTGTATGGTAATGTCTTGTTAAAGAGAGCGAGACGATTAAGAAAAGAAAAAAAACGAAGAAGTCAGTTTCAAGTAAATTAGAAACGCCGTCGTTTGGTTTCCGCATCATGGACCTTGGGCTCTCTCTCTCCCGCGTCGGCAAGCAAAACGACGACCCTTCCACTTGAAATGGAAAACGACCTCCAACGGCCCCACTTTACTAATTTTAAACAAAAGCTTTAAACTTTAAAAAACACGGTGTCTCAAAAACTACGAGCCATTAAGTACCCAAAAACCCCTCGCAAAACCCTAAAAATCGCTGTCAATGGGTCGCCGAAAGAACAACAACAGCAATCAGAGCTCAGCTGGCTTCAGCCACTTGCCCCAAGGCTCCAAGATTCGCTTCGCAGACAAGGAAGACGAAGACGAAGCTCTCAAAGACGCCTCCGGGAGCGCCAACCACGACGAGTCCATGTGCGACCCCGAGCTTGACAAGGCCGTTGATGACTCCATGGGCGAGCCTGAGGTCTCTTTCATCGCCGCCGATGATAAGACCAGCGCCGACTATTACTTCGACTCCTACTCTCACTTCGGTAGCTTCCTTTCTCCTTCGTTTACTGGTTGTTGCTTGCGCTTTTGTTTTGGGTTTCTCTTTGGATGCTGTGAAAACTGAGACAAACGGGATTTGAAAAAGGGAAAGTTTTTGTTTGGATGATTGATTTTTGGGTGTGGGTTTGGAAAGTTTCGAACTTGGTTGCATTTTTGTTTTCTAAGTTAGACTGTTGTACTAGTTTTAGTTGATTGGGAGCTTTGGTTTGAGTGCAATGGCAGAAAGTAATAGAGCGATATCACAAAATTTTGATGCTTTAATTGATTGCATATTGTGATAGTTGCATTTTTTTATATATTATAAAATCTTTCTTGTTTTGTTTCGATGAGCACTTGCTACAAAAGGCTTAATTTGTGTTTTGTGTGATTGCAGGCATCCATGAAGTAAGTGTGTGGCACTTGGATACAACCCAGTTCTGCATTTCGTTCTTGTAACCTTTTGCTAATACCCATTGGATGCTCCCTGACTATTGTCATCTTTCAGGAAATGTTGAAGGATGTAGTGAGGACTAAGACATATCAAAATGTTATTTATCAGAACCAGTTTCTGTTTAAGGACAAGATTGTTCTTGATGTGGGAGCTGGGACTGGAATTTTGTCCCTATTTTGTGCAAAAGCTGGTGCACAGCATGTGTATGCGGTATGTTTTTCTTAAAGAAAGTTTGTTAACAAATCAATTTCTAGTAATGCATGGTATTTTTCTTATTTTGTAATGTAGCTTGGTTATGTCTCCTTAATATTACTGATATGACAAATGCTTTATCCACAGGTTGAGTGCTCAGACATGGCCGACATGGCAAAAGAGATTGTTGAAGCAAACGGATTTTCTAATGGTAATATTTTCAGAGTTCATACCTGCATGTAGTTCTGTCTCTTGACAATGCTTTGACAAAATAAGTATTCTGTGTACTCATTGGTTATTTGATAAATGCAGTAATAACAGTTCTGAAGGGAAAGATTGAAGAACTTGAGCTTCCAGTCCCTAAAGTGGATATAATTATCTCAGAATGGATGGGATATTTTTTGTTGTTTGAGAATATGTTAAATACAGTCCTCTATGCTCGTGATAAATGGCTTGTAAGTATTATTTACATCCTATATTTAATGTTTGTGATATCTATGCCAAGAATAAATACACCTTATGCAAACTAATTATTCGGTTGGGTGGGGCTTAGGTTCCTGTGACCCTTGTAGAGGGACACAATCCATTGTAATTGTGATGTTTTGTGCTCCTATGGGTTAATGTTACTTGTTGATCTTTGCATATAAAAGCCAGGGCATAATCTCTGTTACATTCAAGTCAAAGATCTATCATGCTTTGGCTTATTTATATAAAGATTTTTTCTTTCTTTCTTGTTTGTAGGTAGACGATGGAGTTTTACTACCAGACAAAGCTTCACTCTATTTGACAGCTATCGAGGATGCAGAGTACAAAGAAGACAAGATAGAATGTAAGCCTTTTAAACTCTTGTGTGTATACACGTTGATCATTGTTGACTTGGTCCCTTAGGTGGACTACAAATGTTCTTTAGTGCCATGCAAATGTACATGTAATCTTTCAGCTCATCTTTATGAATTTTTGCTTCTTACCTCTTGCAATTTTCATGCTATTCCAGTTTGGAACAACGTATATGGCTTTGACATGAGCTGCATCAAGAAGCAAGCCATGATGGAGCCCCTTGTGGATACAGTTGACCAAAATCAAATTGTTACAAATAGCCAGCTACTCAAGGTGGGAAATATCTATGCAGTGATTACCCTGCTGCACTAAGTGAAATAAGTCTGGCCTCTTTTATGCTATCAATTCTGTCCACTAACATTCTCTAATTTTCTTCATACAGACAATGGATATATCTAAGATGACTCCCGGAGATGCTTCCTTCACAGCACCTTTCAAGCTTGTTGCTGAACGTGATGATTTCATTCATGCTCTTGTAGCCTACTTTGATGTGTCTTTTACAAAGTGCCATAAATTGATGGGCTTCTCCACAGGTCAGTATCTGTGTGCTTTACCTCTTATTTTCATTCATTTGTTGTCTGGGTCAAAGTTTGTTTTGGAAATATGGGCATTTAAAGCAACAAATAAATGGAAAAAGAAGAATATGGGCATTCGTTCTCAAGTCAAGCCCCAAACCCAAGTTTCAATCAAACAATGGAATTGAGGTAATCAGAAATTTCTGACAACTTGAAATATAATGCAGGGCCAAGATCACGGTCTACTCATTGGAAGCAAACAGTCCTGTACTTGGAAGATGTGCTAACAGTATGTCAAGGAGAATCCATTGTCGGAAGCATGACTGTGGCGCAAAACAAAAAGAATCCCCGTGATATTGATATCATGCTCAAGTATTCATTAAATGGCCGACGATGCACGGTCTCGAGGGTTCAATATTACAAAATGCGCTAAGTTGAGTTATGCTATTGTTCCATCGAGAAAGCAATCCATAATTGCAACAACTCAGTGTTGTGGATTGTTGTTGCTCAGCCTGTTCGAATGTTGCCTTCCTTTAGGTTATCTGTGCTAGAAGGAGGCATCATTGTAGCATCTGTACTTTTAATTATTCATTTCTTAAAATTGTAATGTCCAAATTTTGATGCTAAAGGGTTTGGAATTTATTTATTTTAGTTGATGACTTGCAATTCTATAAATCTTATCTGTTCTTTCCTTGAGGTAAAAAGTTTTCATGCAAGTGATTTTCATTGGAATAATTGCAGGCATATATGCTTTAAAATTTGTATCATAAGTGTAATGCTATTACGAACGAGGATATGAGCAAGAAAAGAAGTATTTGGTAGCTGCCATTGCTTTTCAGAGGTTTGAAAACACGCCAACTGAAGCAAAAATCGCACGCAGAAGTTGATACAATTGCAATAAGGTAATGGAAACAACTGTCGAGTATTCTGGAAGGGCACAACAAAAACAGCAGCAAATCTACCTTTTAACTTCTCAACTTTCGTCCAAAAAGAAAAAAAAAACTTCTCCTCAACTTCCTACTTAAATGTCAAAACAATATTTGATACAATTAACAAAAACGTGATTACTCTCATACAAGTTACTATAATTCAGTGATTTTGTGTTCTAAAGCTCTGCCTTGTTGGCCTTTGTGCTCTTCTTTGAAGCTGGCTTTTTCAGTCCCCTCCACGTTTTCCGTAACCAGTTAGAGACTTGGTTTGCATGTTTCTTTAGTGTCTCCCTGGTCTTCGAAATTCCGTTGGTGATCCTCTGTTTCAAGTCACTCTTTGTGCTTTCTTTTTCTCTCAAAACTTTTCCCTGTTTAAGAAAATCTTTTAAATGCTGAAAGAAACAATATGGTTTTCTAATGGAGAATTTGTAGACTTAAGATTTTGTAATTACCAATTTTGAGGGAATCTGAGTGTCCTCATCATCATCATCTTCATCATCGGCATCTTCACCACCAAAATTTTGATTCATCAATTCATCTCTTGAATACATTTCATGCCTGGGGCTCCTGGCATTCCCTGAAGAATGGTAAAGCAGAATATAGGTCAAAATTCTGCACACTAGCATGATATGAAAATTTTCAGCAATGCAAGGACAATTACCTCCATAGATTTCATTATCTTTTCCATTTCAGCTTCTTTAGCTGACTTGGCCACAAAAATTTCTCCAGGAGTCCTATTCTGGAACACACAAGATATTATCATGAGTATCAAAAGTAAGCATCTTGCTCATGCAGCAAGTTGTGCAAAGCCAAGCATCTAGATTTATAGTATCCTATGTAACATAATGACTTGACCTCCTCAAAAATCAAGGTGATTATGATCAGTGGTAGAGACTAGAGATTAACATGTATACAAGGCAGCAGTCATGAATCTCCACGTCAACCTTATTAGGGTCTCAAATCTGTATATCTAGTAGAAAGTCTTTGAAGCACGTTACCTACCTGATTTTATAGGTTGTGGAATAAAGACACCATCGTTGGTTACACATGAGCCCCATGTGTGTAAAAACAAGTTTCAGACTAATTTTCTACTGGCCAAACTTACTTAGGAAATGAAGGATAATGTAATGATCAGCATCTTAAAATCTCTACTTGACATACCTCAAAGACATACGGTTCATGTTGAAAATAAAATTACTTGGCGGAAAAGCACAAGAGTTGCAAAGATTGAACCATATCTCAATTAACTAACATAGGATGATCCCTTACAGACATATTGTGCAAAGAATGAATTGAATTGAATATCAAGTCAAGAAAGCAGTTACCTTAGGAACTCTGGGAGGCTTGGTACTGCATGCTTTAGTAAGGTCTTTGCATAGATAATTAACCAATGAATCAATGTCAGGCTTGGATTTATATAGATATTCAGCAACGTCAGTATCAGAATACCCCAAAACCTGCAATATTTCAGATTAACGCTTAATTTAATTGTAATACATGAACATTCAGACTAATGCAAATTGAAGGCCAAAATCAAGAGAGAGGATGAATTGTTATCGTCGCATTTGCAGTTCCTAAAATAAAAAACATATTGCAGAGTTCATATTAAATTAAGAAATCATTTGACTTTCTCACAGTCAATTAAAAGGAAAATGAAGTGGAAAACCAAAGAATTTAACTTGATTGGTTGCAAGGATCAATATTTTAGGAAGCAAAGTAACCCAGATACTCAAGAAACTAAAAAACGAGATCCAAAACCTCACCTCCTGACAAGCTCGCTCTATTGTCTTGCATTCCGAATTACATTGTCCTTCAGAACCTTGTTCCACCAGCTGAAAAGTAACAAATGATGTATCAGGACAATAAACAACAAAATGTCTACAATATGCCTACAGGAATTTGTATGTATATCCACTATACCATCAAAATATTAGCAAGCCATACTTTCCAAGCAATGAATAACTAAACTCAACTATATGTAAGCACAAAACTCAAAAATACCATTTAACTCATCAAACAGGCCTTAAACCAAAATCAAACCCAAGAAATTGTTACCTCCAACTTATCTCCTTGCTCAACTATATCAATCTGCAAAATCCAATCCGCCTCTGCCTTCTTCAAATTGCAGACATTCTCCGAAATCTCAATAATCTGATACTCCGAGATCTAGCACCAAAAAACAAGCACCCACTTTCAAATTCAACAGACGCTCTGAAACAAAAGCATATTGAAGGCTCTGGAAGAAAATCCAGATGATAAAAATACCTTCTTGGGGGTGATCTCAGCTTGCTTCTTCTTAACTTGTTGGTGTAGCTGAGCTGCGAGCTTCTCACAGACTTGGCATTTGATGAAAGGAATGTCTTCCTTCCTCGCAACAGTCATTGGTTTCTTAGCACACTCGGAGATTGGCACACATGCTAATCCCACCAACACTGAGATTGCTACAAGAATTCGCTTCAGTTTCGCCATAACTCTCTCTCCAGAATTCAAACAAGAACCTGAACACAGAGACCAAACAGTGACAAACACAAGAAGTTTGATCCTTATAATGATTTTCACCGAAAAAGACGCAATCTTTTGTTTTTTGTTTATTTTCGTTTTGATGGATCAAATTTTCACTTGGTCAGCAAAAACATGTAGTTGTGAAATCCAATTTGCTCCTATACGTGTTTCCTTGCATCTGATTGGTGGTTACAGCATAGTGTAGTAGTGGGTCCCGCTTACCAACCAATAGAATACGAGATACACGTTTTAATGTCAAACTCTGCCCATGACCCGACCCGACCCGACCCATTGACCCATCTTTGCTATAACAAAACGACACGTAGTGTTTACAAACGGCGGTAACCCCTTAAACCCTAAACCGTTGGCTTCTTCAACTGACCTGCTCATACAATTAGGGTTTTTCTTTAGCACAGCTCCTTATCACATTCCTCACTGAAACAAATTGGTCGCATTTTAGGGTTCAACCATGGCTCTCGCTTTAATTGACTCCAAAAGTTCCTCAATCGCAGCAAACCTAAGCCCTCTGATTGGCGAAAACTACGACCTCAAGCTAACCCAATCAATTCAAAACCTTTTAGTTGAAATTCGCAAGGAAAACCCCAAATTCTCCCACTTCATCCAAGTCTTCTACGACCTAATGCAAGCTCAAGTAGACCCACCTCTCGAATCCATCTGGGTCTATGCCGCATTGACGTTTCGTAGCCGTAATCACCCAAAAGAGGACCCTTTGAATCGAATAGCAGCCGCAAAAGACTTATTTCAGCTGGTGTCCTCGTGCTCAGCTTCGGTCAGTTCTTTGAAGAGCATCGCATTGCTTGCTCCAGTGGTTTATGAGGTGTACAATGTGGTTGTTGATTTGTTTAAGAGGGACTTGTCATTGAAAGCAGAGAAGAAAGTGATGAAAGCAGTTCAGAATTTGGTAGGAGTGGTTCTTGGTTATGCAAATGTGTGTTCTTGCAAGGAGAATGATGGTTCAACTGGTTCAAGTTTGATTACTCCTTTTGCGGATTTAATTCGTGTTTGGATGAACTCAAATGAGGGATCAGAATTTTTCTTACCTTTAGTGAGCAGTGACGTGTTTCGGGGGCTTAGTGAGAGAGAAGGTGATGTGGGTTACTTGGCAGGAGTTGTTATTGCAGAGGTGTTTTTGTTGAAACTGTGCCTGATTTTCAAACTTGGGACTTCAACGAAGGAGTTGGAGATAGAGTTAAGGACTTGGGCTATTGCTTCCATTACCGGATTTCAGAACTTTTACCTTTTTGGTTAGTGTTGTTTTAACTTTTTCTTGAATTAGGACATGGTGTATGTATATTTGTTATCAAGATTTTTCCTTCTGCATCACACTTTTATTTTAGCAAGGCATGAGTTCTGCATGGGCTAAAATGGCTGAGGGTTATTTGCACCAAAAAGGACTGGGATAGACATTAACAATGAATGCTTTATCATATATAACTTTTCATTGTGCTTTTGCTATGTTTCTTCTGTTTCATCGATTTCAAAAAGTGAAATTATATCACACGTATCTAAAACTGTTCGGTAGTTTCCGAGTTACTGCATGCCTTGTGTTTCACTGAATAAAATTTCATGTCTCATATAGCGATGATGATTTCATCAGATTCTCATATTTATTGTGCTAACATCCTTATCTTTGTGTCAAATAGAGGTGCTTGTGAGGATGCTGCTGGAGAAGACTTTGCCTGTTACCTCCCTTTTGGTTTGTATTCCTCTTTTAAAATGTTTAGTTTGATACTACATCTGTCCTATTGTTTGTTTCTATTCAAATAGTGGGCTTCTAGATGCACATTGTGTTTGCTCGCCAGACTATATTGACAGGAAGTGGAATTATCTTTTTGTTGATATGATATTAAAAGTAAAGTTCGCATCTTGTTACTCTTTATATGCAGAGTTCTGAAGATGAAGTTTTGTTGAGGCAAGTGCTGTATGATTCCATCATATTGGTTGAGTATTCTTTCCTCAACCCTGAGAGAGTAATTCACTTACCTCCTGAGCACATGAAAAGTATAGCCATGAAAAGATTGATTGTTACTCATGAAGCAGTGGAGTATTTCAGGTACGAAAAAATAAATATAATTATATGTCCAGAAAGAAAAAATGAAATAGAAATCAGCATTTCATTATGTTTTTTAAATTCTAGTGAAACCCTTATGGAAAAATTTCACTACTGGCTTGCTTCAGGGAGCATGGGGATCAGAGGAGAGCCATCTCTTATGTAACTGCGTTTTCCAGTTCACAATTATCTTCCCAAATAATTAAATGGGTAAAGAATCAGATTCCTGAGGATGACGGTGCAATCAGATCAAAGGGCACTTCACCTAAAGCTCTTATAAGTAAGTGATTCTACTTCCGTTTGTGGTAAATCAACTATAAATAAATTTTTTAATGCTCTCTCTCATATCGATCTCATTCTCCAGAGTGGCTTCTTAACCTTGAAGATCATGGCTTAAGAGTATTTGATGATAGCATGGAAAACTTTCGTACTAAACTGGTTCATGAGATGTCCAAATCAGACTCTGAGCAACCGGCTTCTAAGTTGGATAGCAAGAAAGTGGATGATGATCTTCTCTTTTACATAGATAACAATGGAGACGAGGAACATGCAGATGAGGAGAATGAAAAGGTGAAAGAATCAATGAGTGCTGCGTTTGTAGCTGCTGCGCATACAATGACCTCATCAGAAAAAAGAGGAAGAAAACGGAAAGAGGGGAAAACCCCTGAGAAGAAAGAGAAGATAAAATTTGTAAAGTATGACCTTCGTTGTAACTCTGACTCAGCTGGTGGGAGGTCCTCATTCATCAATAATGATAGCCTAAACAGTGGGAGTGAAGTCGAGAATCCCCTCTCTGATGAGGATACAGAATGAGAAGGGCAATAATGTAGTTGCTTGTGTGATCCATAAAAAGTATACTATATTTTTTTCTGACTACCTCGTGCGCGTGCAGAATACTCAGGCAACCAGATACTCGAGGCCTCCTTATAAGTTGTATACTGAAGGTTAATACACTGCCTTACCGGTATCAGTTTTGTTGTTTCTTTAGTAGTTATTAGAATGGGGAATATCGCATTTTGTGTAACTTATTTGCTAGATGGAATACAAACTTTGTTGTGTGCAATAGTAAGAAATGTAACGTTTTGGCAAACCATAAAATTTTGGCATCAGTTTGGAGGGTCGGAAATGCCTTAGAAGTGTGTAATTAGGAAGAAGTTCCTAATTTGAAAGTTTTAACCAGTCAAGAAAATAAATTTACGTACTTAACTGTAGCAATCAGTAAGGAGCTTTAAGTTCATCAAAGAGATGGAGGTTCCATATCATACTGAAGCTTTACTCAATGAACCTGGATTACAAATTTAAAACCCTGCGGCCAACTAATGCCCTGATCCCAATGAATATATACAACTTTCTTTTGGTCAATGAATATATACAAAAAAATTCGGTGGCAACCAATATGAAGGGTACCAGACGAAAGCAACACAACTAGGGAGGTCCACATGTGGCTTTCAAACTTCACAGTTCACATAGCATAGACGCCAAGCAGCTGCAGTTTTATACTGCTTGTCTTAGACTCGCTGTTTGGTCTACACAACCCAGGCTTTTCCACATGTGAAAGTGCATATGAGGTTTCAATATTCTGGTCCTCTCTGTGCATAGGCTCGTTCCTCTGGTCAAACCTGATAAATAAAGAATCCAGACCAAAAGAAAACCGTGACGAAGAACGTTACTAAATGTTCCATTCTATGAACTTTAATGACAACACAATTCATTCTCAAGAAAGGGCACTTCATCCTTCAACTTTTATCTCATTCTGGAACTTCAGAACTCCCACGAACCTCCTGTTGAGATGTATATCATACTCGTCACTCAACCTACAAAAGGAAGTAGAAGTAGAAGAAAAGGGATACAATCTTAGAAGACAACAATACCTTATCCAAGTGGCGGTGAAGGAAAGACTCTATTAGCAAACCGCACATGCCACAGAAATAGGAACCTTGTGATAAAACCATTCAGTCCAAGAGGGTGCTCTGCATTAAGGGAATACAAGTACCAAACCAAGAATTCTTTCCCTATATTTCATCTATGGTACAAACCCTGATCAAAGAACTGAGACAGATACTCTATACAAAGTTGCAAAAAATGGTGGGAACTACAGCAAATGGTGAAAGTATCTAACCGAGCACCCACTGTCACCCCCATGCACATAAGCCTGAACAAGGAGATGATTGCGCAATCAGAAATTAGTTACGGTGCAAGATCTCATCAGAGCAAATGACTTTAGAACATGAGTAGTGAAAAAGGAAATCTACTTCTACACCTACCTTTGGTTGGAACCCCATATTAACACCAGCAAATGTATCTAATATTTGAGTCTTGAGATCAGCAACCAAAGAGTTCCAAACTCTCGTGACTTAAAGATCAATTAAAATAAAATAAGTGTTAATCATTCTGCAAAAAAGTTGAGAACCTCAAGGAATCAGACAGGTCATTTACAGGAAGCACAGGATCATCAGGACAATCGAAGCAGCTCCCAACTGCAAGAACTATTGCGAAGTTCTGAAGAGGAACAATGTGAACAATAGCAATCAGTTTCACACATATATAAAAAAAAAAAAAAAAAAAAAAAAAAAAAAGAAAAAGCACACAAAGAAAACCATCTACAAACCTCATGGCCAGGAGGATTGATATGATATATGCAGACGCGGAGTACAAAAGAAGCGGCTTCAGGACAAAAGAATAACCTTTCAAAACAGGGCATACCTGCTCAGTTTGTTTTAAAATGGAGGAAAAAAAAGGGTAATCAGGAACCATAATTTTTTTAATTGTCTAGTTATGTTATGAAAAAAAAGAGAAGCAATATAATATTTTGAGAGGTAGTACTCTGATAAGATTACAGCAGCATTTCTTTGGGTAGGAGATTGTGGTTCATAGTTCATTATGAGGACAATGTTTAAAATGCTCTGTGAGTGAACCCCCTAACCCGACTATAGAGCTTCTAATGACAAATCACCAGAAGTCATTACAGGAGCAAGTTCCACTCTTAAAATGATGAAACCGCTTGACGTCACGAACAACTATTTCCCGATTTGTGACCTCTGAAATGAGCTTCATAACCTTATGGCAGTCTCCACAGATGCGTAGATTTTTAAAAATCCGAATAGTTTTTGGAGGATTGGTACTTATAAGGGAGAAGGCAAGAGCCAACCTTTCACTATGATATTGGAGATGCTCGTTTTTTTCTCTTTCAGTGATATTATGAAGCACGTCTTCTGTTTCCGGTATATAACCTACTGAATTCAGCTTTTCACCTAGTTCCTCCAATTTCAAATGGATATCCCTGATTCTTGGATGTGAACCATCTTGAGAGACAAAAGTGTTGACTTGTCCGTCAACTTCAACCCAGCTACAACCAGGTTCTTTCTTAACACCCTGACTGGACATTAATTTCCTGACTTTGCTAACATCATCCCACCTACCTTTGACTGCAAATATATTAGATAGTAAGATATAAGTTGAATCCATCTCAGGTTTAAGCTCAAAAAGCTTTTTTGCAGCTGTTTCACCAAATTCTACATTACCATACATCTTACAAGCCCCTAGAACAGTCTCCCAAATAATGGGATACGATGTTAGTTTCATTGTCTCAATGAAGCTTTCAGCCTCATTAAATTTTCCAGCCCTAACAAGAATATCAACCATACAAGCATAATGCTCAATTGTAGGAGTGATCCTGAAAACTTTGCTCAGTGAGTCAAAGTGCTTTTTCCCTTCTTCAACTAAACCCAGGTGGCTGCATGCAGAAAGGATACCAATGAAGGTTACTTCATCTGGTATGGTGCCTTCATTCAACATTGTTGAAAAGGCTTCAACAGCCTTCTCTCCTCGCCCATATTGGGAATATCCACATATCATGATGTTCCATGAGACTGTATCGCGTGAAACTAAGCCCGCAAAGATATCCTCAGCATCACCTATGCATCCACATTTGGCATACATATCAACAAGTGCACTGCTAACAAATAAATCTCCCAAATGCCCACTCTTAATTGCCATTGAGTGGAGCTGCCGCCCATTTTCCAGCATAGCTATACGGGAGCAAGCACTCAAACAGCCAGCAAGGGCGAACTCGTTTGGCTTCACTCCTTCTTGTTGCATCTGACTGAAGCAAGCAACAGCTTTCTCTGCTTGATCAGTTTGTGCATAACCCGTAATGATGACTGTCCAAATGAAGAGGTCCCGAATACTCAATTTATTGAAAGCTATCACAGCATCTTCCAAGAACCTAATTTTGGCATACATGTCGATGAGAGCTGTCCCAACAAAGTCATTATCATCAAGGCTAGTTTTGACAATATGGGCATGTACTTGTTTTCCAAGGCCTACATCCAAGAGGCTAGAACAAGACCTTAAAACACTAATGAATGAGTACATGTTGGGCTTGAAACCTTCGACAAGCATTTGGTGGAAGATTCTTGGTCCTAGGTCACATATTTCATGATTGTGCGTTCCCGATAAAAGGGAATTCCATGAAATCAAATCACGATCTGTCATTGCCTCAAAAACTTGAGCACCATCTAGCACACGCCCAATTTTCATATACATTGTGATTAGAGCATTGCTGACTGAAATATCAGATTCACAACCGTATTTCCATGCAAAAGCATGGACGCTTTCACCAAAATGCAGATCTTTGAGATCAGTGGCAGCACTGATGATACTAGAAAGACTAAATTGATTTGGTGAGATTCCTGTACTTATCATTTCACGAAATAGCTCAGCCACTTCTTGGCATTGCCCTTGTTGATCAAGGCAAGTGATAATTGCACTCCAGGCCACTACATCAGGATTTTTAATCCTCCTGAATACTTTTACCGCATCGATTGCCATCCCACACTTTGAGTACATATCAACGAGACTACAACCCAGGAATTCATCTATCTCACACCCACTTTTAATTGCTAGGGAATGCAAAAACTGACCTCCTCTCAAATTTCCCGAGTTTGCACAACCTTTGAGAACAGTAGACAAGGTGAACTTGCTCAACCTCATTTCTGATTCCGTCATTCTGCAGAATAATTTCAGAACTTGCTTTCCGTCACCTTCTTGAGCATACCCATTAAGCAATGCATTCCACGATACAACATTCTGCTCGGGCATACAAAATAACACTGTATCTGCAAGTACCATCTCACCACATTTTGCATAAAGACCGACAAGAGCGGAACCAACAAAAACATCCGAAAAGAACCCCAGTTTCACTGCTTCAGCATGCAACTGTTTCCCAAAACCTAAATCGAAGCACAAAGAACATGCTTTCAAACCAGTTGCCAATGCAAATTCATTTGCTCTCGTACCATCTTTCTTCATCTCACAGAATAATTTAACAGCATCAACACCAAAACCTTTAACTACAAATCCTTGAATTAAAGTAGTCCATGACACGACGTCCCGTTCTGGCATCTCATCAAGCACTTTACGTGCATACCCACAATCCCCACATTTTCCATAGACATTAACCAATGAAACCCACAAATGCGAATCTGGATCAATCCCATTTTTTATTACCTGTCCATGAATAGCCTTCCCCTCATTCAAAGACCCTTGCAAAACACAGGTACGAAGCATCGCAGAATAATGTATAAGCCTCTTTTTGCTATCGAAAACTCTAGGCCTGGTTTTCACATTGCTTCCTACCATTTCCTCATTAGTTGAACTGCCGTTATTTACTCTTACTTCATGAAGCTGAGTCTCAGAGTTTGAGACATCGCTGAGAGCCAAATCACTGATGGGATTCAAGTCAAACGCTTCCAGAGCAGCACAAGACGAGGGCTTTAATTTAACAGAGAGCAATAGTGACCTGGAACTGAGACTAATCTTCTTATGTAATTGAACCGAAGAAGTGGGTCTTTGGCAAATGGGCAATAAGAGACTCCGGAAAGCAGGTGACATTCGCAGAGCTTTCAAGTCACATTCCATCTATTTGAAACAGTTCGTAATTATCAAATGAACCCCAAAAAATGGCTTTATAAACAGACACAAAAAGGTTATCCAAATATAGGCACAAGAAGAAATCAACAACACAACATAAATGACATAATCTAGAATCAACAAAAGAAATGAGTGAAACCAATTATTAATAAGGAACGTTAGCTAAGATTACAGAAAAGTTTCATGCTTTTCACTTACATGTGCGACCAGGACGGTGACAAATGAACGCCGGCGACGTCGGTTGACGACTGGCAGCAGCTACAGCGGCTGATGCTTCTTCTCTCTCCTTTCTCTATTGGAAGTTCCTCTCCCTCTCCTCTCTCTCTCTCTCTCCCTCACTCTCATGTGTAGGGGTTTTGCTTAAACCCGCGACTGCAGTCGCGGGCTTTCTAAAAGTATCGTAACCGCCGGGTCTTACTTCATTCTCTTTGTCTAGATAAGATGAAACGACGTCGTAGATGTGTTCAGAAAGCAAATTCTACTGAAGCCCAATAGCTAAGCACAGAGCTACAAAGCAGGCCCAACAAAAGCCGAGCAGCCCCAGAAACTACAGCAACCCAATTTTTATATTGGGTCAGAAGAAAACCCAATTTTTCAATGGCTCTTTTCATCTCAGGCCCTTGAAGCAGATCAAACGACGACGTTTCCTGGTGTTGTAACCTTGTAGTCCTGCGATTGTGACAGAACCGGTTCAGAGCGAGGAGCGTGTATCATCGTCTGTCCTTCAATTTCGTTAATTGCATGGAAAAACTCTGAGGTAATTCTTATTAGATAACATTTGTAAAAATTAGCGGTTTGAGATTTTCTGGGTTCTGATTGTGTAGTCGGGTTTGGTTCAAACTGCAATCCTTTTGTGAAATTGTTTAGTGTTTTAATTCAAGGAAGTTGAATTTGAAAATTAGAATTGGAGGTTTTGAAAATAGTTCATGCATCACTGCTGTTACCCCATAAGACATAGTAATCTTGATCGGCCGTCTGTTAATTTCTTCCTCTCCTCTTCAAACAGGTAAAAGGGATGATCTTTTGCTTACCCAAAAAAAAAGTAAAACACTTTGGTTCTAATTGTATGATAAATGACCAATTGGATGATGAGTTATTGGAATTTTATCTGTGTTTGGTCCAATAGAAGGGTTCTTGTATTAAATTACGTTTCTTTGTTATGAGCTAAAGTTCATCCTTAATAATTGGGTTCACTCATCACTTTGTTGATTCTGGATTATGTCATTTGTGTTGTGTTGTTGATTCTGGATTATGCCATTTGTGCTGTGTTGTTGATTTCTTGCTTTTTCTATACTTTGATAGCCTTTGTGTATATGTTTATAGAGCCTTTTTCTTTGATTCATTTGATAATTAAAAGCTGTTTAAAATAGAAACATATAAAAGCCTTTCTGTAACCAGGACTTGAATTCCATTAACTTTTTTCTGTGGGATACAAACAAGAACCTCCTGTATTAAATTTCAAAACAGTATTATTCTACCCTAGAATAGTTTTCAGAGTGGCCTCTGGGTTCTGTTAGTTTGAAGATCAGTATCTTTATTATTTTGTTCTTAGATTTCCATGTATGCGTAATCTATATGGTTTCTTTCATTGCCTAGTCGGACATGACAGTTTTGGCATCACTTTATTAGCATAGATGCTGTAAAAAACACAATAATAATATAAAGAACCAAAACACTGTTGACCCGTATTTGGCATGATTGTGTCCTGGTGCCAGGACATGATATGCCTCTCCCATATCATGTCCTAGTGATCTTTCATTTGTTAAGTTTTGTAGATGTTTAAGTTCTGCAGATGTTTAATCCTTTACATTTTCAGGCTTTTCTTACTGCATTTAGTTGATTCATATGATGCATACAAGCTGTCGCATCTGGATCTCTCAGTTTGTCATCTCATGTTTTGTTAGTCTGTATGGATCACTCCATTATGGTTGGTTGTATTTGGCATGATATGGAATTCGGTGGTTCTTTGAAACATAATCTTAGCTTTTGACCTAGTCTACTTCTCTGTGGAGTGAGTTGGAATCTGGTTACATGCTGCGTGGATTGGAAATTTGACTGTTTTGAGGTTGTGATGGAGTGGTAACCTGAAACTATATTCTAACTACCTTTGATGGAAGATATTTGGTAATGTATGGTTTATTGTTTTCCCTTTTTGTTGTTGATTAGGTCTTGGGATTGTGATTTTTGGTTTGCTTTTGTTAATATGCTAATGGAGTTTTGGTTGTGCGAATTTTCAGGCTTTGTCAGGATTGAGTATCCAGTCTTAACAAAATTACAAAATCAGGTTGGAGGTCGTAGTAGGTCCTTGGCTCAAGGAGTGATGTTTTGTAAATAATAAAAAAGTAGCTTCGGCGAAACTTTTGACAATATTTTCATGTTGTATCTGTAAATATAAACCATATGAGAAACGGTTTTCCATTTTAAACAAGTGTAGATTCTTAAAATTCCGTTCCGAATGAACAAATCACTGCCCAGAAAGAGAAGGAGACGATTTACCACTCTGACAACTTTTAGCTACGGTTATAAGTTTCGTCGACTATAGTTTGAATTAGTGGCGCTTATCAACGGTTAGCGACGACAAAAACCGCAGCTAAAGCTGTTTTGCGGATTGAGACTCCAAAAGTCATCACTAATTATTTTAAAACCGGAGCTAAAGATGCAAACCGTCATTTAAAACCAGACTGGCTACTTTTCTGCTGAATTAAATGTATTTTTTTTAACAAGCAATAGTCTAAGCTACATGTAGAAGAGAGTTTCTTACACATACTATCAAGATGTCATGAGGGTTAAAACCAAAGACCACTTGGCTGAAATAAGTGCTTTTATTTTCTTTTTTATGACAATTAATGTTTCTCCTTTTGTTTTCGGGTTCACAATTATTTTCCTTCCAATATAGGCAATTTAGTAAACCAAAAAGGAATAATTTTTATTTTCATTTGTCCAATATTATATCTACAATCACCACGGAGGAATGTGTTGTTCCATGTTATGATAAATCTTGATGTCTGGCAATGGGAGAGTAGAAAACCACAAAAGCAAAGTTAAGTTTTGGAAATTTTGTAATATCTTCTTACTTTTAGATATGTGAAAGCAAGAAAGAAAAACTCTACCAAATATAAAAGAGAATCAAATCAGATTATGATTACAAATTTCAATAATCAATATCATGTGGTCAATTTAGCAAGAATCAATATCTCCCTTTACTCAAATTCTATCAAAATGTTATGTCTCACACTAATATAGGACATGAAACAACAATAGTAAAGACATTCACAGATTCATCTCCAAATAAGACCATCCCCTTTTGAATTGACGAGAGTAACTTTTCATTCAATTATTACAGTAATATCTCAACGTATTTTACAATATAACCTCACTGGTAATTAGTAAACAATTCAAGAAAGAAAACTATTTTCAGTAAGAAGAAAATATAGTATGTAAAGCTTGCCAAGTTGTCGACATTAATCTTATATATGCTAAATACTCATATAAATAACATGATATGCATATCCATATGTTTACTGCTAGAGTCTATATAAGCATGCAGTTTAGGATTCCTCATATATCCCATATATTTATTCCGTAGATTTATCTTTTTATCTCAGGAAATAAAGATAAAAACTAAATACTAAAAATGAAATGCAACCATTCTTTAGTTCTTTCTTAAAAAAAAAAATTTAATTAAATTAAATTATGGGTCTAGAAACTTAACAAAAAAGATTAGCACATGACCCATTCTGGGATCATCTAAATTTCAACTTAAAAAACATGAAGGCTCAAAGGAAAAGAAAGGTCAAGGAAGTTACACCAATTTTGGTGGGAACATAAGAATAAGAAAACTTGTTAATAAGAGAAATTGGCAACAATCCAATTATCCAATAGGTGATGCCCATATTGGGGGACATAATTTTAACACATTGTGATGGCATTGTTTCACTTTCTTGATGGTCATAAGAATTACCCCCATAAACTAATCAACCCATTTGCAGCCTGCCAACTCCATGTTTGGATTAGCACCTGTTCTCTGGCCTCCAAATCTGGCTTGTAATCTACTTCTAATGTCTGCTTGGTCAAGCGCCCTCCATAGTTTTAGTTCCTACCCTTCAACTTCTTGAACTCCGGAATGGCCTCCTGTAGGCGTCCGCATTTTGTGTCAGTGGTCTTTAAGATGGAATGAGCTCTTGAGGACCATTTGATTCTCAGCCATAGATAACATGTCCATGCCCCCCAAGCCATTCCCAATCTTAAGAGAAATTTATAGTTTTCATTCTTCATCGAGCTAGCCCTTCCAACTGTGAATAAATCTCCCTGATCATGGGATGTGTTCTATCTTGAGCAAAAAAAACATGGGTTTGAGCATTGACCTCTAGCCAGCTACACCCTGGTGCTTTCGTAATTTTCCGACTGCGCATCAATGCCCTAACCCTTGCAACATCATCCCACTGCCCATTGGCTGCATAAATGTGAGATAACAATATATAATTGAAGTCCATTTCAGGTTCAAGCTCAAATAGCTTCTGTGCAGCTCTCTCACCAAATTCCACATTCCCATGCATTTTACAAGCCCATAGAACAGTTTCCCAAATCAAGGGACTCTGTGTGAGTTTCCATTCCCCAACAAACCTTTCAACCTCATTAAATTTGCCGGCCCGACTAAAAATATTGACCATACATGCACAATGCTCAATTGAAGGAGTAAGACCATACTCCTTGCTCAATGAATTAAAGTGCATCTTCCCTTGATCAATTAAACCCATGTGGCTGCATGCAGAAAGAACACCTATAAAAGTAACCTCATCTGGCCGAACACCTTCATCTAGCATAATCTGAAAGGCTTCAAGAGCCTTCTTTCCTTGACCATGTTGTGAGTATCCACATATGATTGTGTTCCAGGAGACTCTGTTTCTTGAATCCGAACCCTTGAATATCTTCTCAGCATCTTCTATACATCGACATTGTGTATACATATCAACAAGTGCACAAGAAACATATATATCATTTGACAGTCCAGACTTCAATGCCAGTGAATGGAGTTGTTGTCCACTTTCTAGGATTGCTGAACTGGAGCAAGCACTCAAACAACTAGAGAAAGTAAAGTTATTGGGCTTCACACCTTGTCGTTGCATCTGATTGAAACTCTTTACAGCCTTCTCTCCTTGATTAGTTTGTGCACAACCAGATATGAGGACTGTCCAAGTGAAGAGGTCTCTTTCGATCAATTCGTTCAGAATTACATCTGCATCGTCCAAGGACCTGCCTTTGGAGTACATCCCAATGAGAACAGTTGCTACAAATCTATTAGCGTTGAGGCCACTCTTTATGATATGCGTATGTACTTGCTTCGCAAAAAATACAGTTAACAGGCTGGAACAGCATCTTAAAATGCTGATATATGTGTACGTATCAGGTTTGAAACCTTGCGCAAGCATCTCTTTGAAGACATTTGGCCCATGATCACAGTTTTCACTGTCATAAATTCCACACAAAAGGAAATTCCATGAAGCTGTATCTCGAACAGGCATTTGATTAAATGCATGCCAACCTTTTTTTACAGATCCAACTTTCATGTACATTGTTACAAGTGCATTGCTGACGTAATTATCAGATTCGAAACCGTATTTAAATACACAAGCATGAATGCTTTCACCATAGTGCCAATCACCCAGATTCGTTGCAGCAGTCACCATACTAGCAAGGGTAAACTGATTCGGTCTTAAGTTTGTGTGCCTCATTTGGCAAAACATCTCGGCTGCTTCAAGGCTTCGGCCTTGTTGATCAAGGCAGCTTATCATTGTACTCCAGGCTACTATTTTCGGATTTTTTATTCTCCCAAAGACTTTGAGTGCATCATCTGCCAATTCACACTTCGAGTACACATTAAGAAGGCAACTACCCAGAATTTTATCAAGCTCACAACCAATCTTGATTAGAAGAGCATGCACAGCTTGACCTCCTCCTAAATTTTCCATGTGAGCACAACTCTTAAGCACAGTCAATAAAGTGAATTTACTAAACTTCAATCCCTGAATTTTTAGTCCGCAAAACAATGTCAGAATCTCTTTCCAATCACCAATCTTACCATATCCATCAAGCAAAGCATTCCATGACACAGCATTCTTCTTGGGCATGTTAAAGAACACCTTATTTGCTAGTTCCAGCTCTCCACACTTTGCATAAAGATCAACCAGAGCAGACCCAACAATCCCATCCAGAAAGACTCCTAATTTTATAACTTCTGCATGCAACTGTGTCCCAAAGTCCAACTCTAAGCTAATTGAGCAAGCTTTCAATCCAGCCGCCAAGCTTAACCCGTTTGGCATACCACCATCCTTCCTCATTTGACAATAGAATTTAATCAAGTCGTAGCTACATCCTTCATCTTCCAGCCGAGACATTAGCTTATTCCACAACACAGCATCTCGTTCTGGCAATTCATCAACAACCTTACCTGCAAACCCAAAGCTCCCCAATTTCACAAAAAGACTATCCATTGAACTGCAAATTTCCAAACTTGGGTGAATCCCATTGTTTATCAGTTGATCCTGAATCCCCTTCCCCTCGGTCAAAGGCCCTTTTGAAGTGCAACTACGTAGCAACCCAGAAGGGCCAGAACAGAGACTCGTCCTCTCGTTTGGGTTATTCTTGGATAATTTTCTGAGTATGTTCTGAAAGCGCTCATCAAAACACGACGCCGTACAGTGTTCAGTGTCATCGCTAAAAGAAGTGGCTTCTGCATGGGATAAAGCGGTACTAATGGGACAGAAAGCAGCGCGAGAATGTGGGAAGGAGAGAAGGTTGCCAGGAAGTTCAACGAAGAAATGACCTCGAAAAGCAGTCCGTAGGATACGCATTGCAGTCCCATGAAGACAAGCCTCCGAATGTGGGAATTAATTCACTCTCTCATGTTTCCTCGTACAAATAGCGAAAGCGATTAAAAAAAAAAAAAAAAAAAAAAAAAGAATTGGACCCGTTACATCGCCATATTGTATATTAAACTATTTCTAGTCTAAATTACTCTAAATTAATTTTATGAGACAGACTCATTACCATAACGGCCCACCTCAAAATATTCTGAAAACTATTGAGATATAATTCAACCAACTAATTTTCTGTTTTGCGGTACGTTTGTTAATTATCCTTAACCTGATGAATAAATTTGATGACTCTAAACTTTTTATGAGGAAATTTTTTTTATATTATTTGATGTAGCTGTATCTAAGTGGAAATGCAGTTCAAAGGAATTGAGAGAGAGAGAGATTCTGAACGAATGGGAAGTTCCCCTCTGTTATTGATTTCTCGTCATCATAATAAAAGTCAATCCAATTTGTTTATAGTAGAATTTACAGACAGCTCAAAGGAATGATTCCCTTATGACTGACTACAAAAGAATGAATCAAAGTCTCCTGCTCCCTATATAATTATATTATATATGACATATTCTTCCCCCTCTGTATCTACAACCCCTCCCCTCCGGCCACTTCTTCTACCCCTTTTTCCTGCTTAAACAATAAAAAATTTAACAAAAGAACCAAAAAAATAAGCAACTTTTGAAACCACATTCACATCACTTGCATTATTTCCAATTTCCGCCTGTCTTTCGACAATGTTATCGTCCTAGCGAAACACGGGTCTTTATTGGTTTTAGTTTCAAACCCATGCTTTCTGGGGAGAGAAGCTCTGGGGAGATGCAAGACGGGCTGAGTGGGCTCCTAGGGCTGTCACTGAAATGGCATGGCCTATACAAGCCATACCCCATGAAGAAGTACTCCATAGGTATCAACATTGCATGTGGCTGCTCCTCTGTTACCATGGATCCACAAGCCTGGACCTGCACCAACACAACCCATCCATCCTGTATTGAACACTCTCTCTTCTATTCTTTTCAAAATCATGCGCATCTAATGATAGATATTTAGAAGAAACAAGTATAACATGGCATGCAACATACCTCTACTAAGGCACTATATCTCCTATCCAACTTTGCGGTCATGTGGAGAGCCTCAGAGTGGAAAGGAGAGCTATCCCCAACAAAAATAAGTGTGCGACACCTTAGCGACTTCAACCCTTCAGTTATGTCAGGTCTCCTGAAAGTCGGAAAAAACAAAGTTATAGACCATCAAAATATATTGCATTTATCTCTGTGGAGGGGAAACCGGAAAGCAAGTAAGCAACTCCAGCACTGTTTACCGATTAATTGCTTGAAGAAATCTAAAAACATTTGAGCTCTGCCTCTCTTCCAGTAACTGAAGAAGCAAACATTGCAAGTAAATCAAACAGATAAAACCATTTGAGAATCATGTTCCAGAAAACATGCAGTTTACCTAAAAGAAATTTAAATTAGCTGAAGCACTCACTTTTCTGCATGCTTGAACTATATCTGACTCTGGAACTTCAGCACTACCACGAACCTCCTGTTGAGAAGTATAACATACTCATCACTCAATCTACCAAAGGTAATAGAAGTGGAAGAAGGATACAATGTTAGAGCACAGCAATACCTTACTGAAGTAGCGCTGAAGCAAACACTCTTTTAGCAAACCACACATGCCATAGAAATATAGCATATTCGACATCACCTAAAAATTACAAGTAAGCATAGGTTTAACATTCGAAATTAACATTTACTCACAACAAATAAGAGCTAAGTTTAGAAAAAGGACCTTATTATAAAACCATTCTGTCCAAGAGGGTGATTTGCACAAAGGGGATACAAGTATCAATCCAAGAACACGCTCCCTATATTTCATCTATTGAATAAAGATTGATCAATGAACTGAGATTGAAACATTTTTAAACATAGTTGCAAAAAAATGAATGGAACTTACAGCAAATAGGGAAAGGATATAAGCACCCGCTGTCACCCCCATGCACATAACTGCACCAAGCCTGAAGAAGGAGATGTTAGTGCAATCAGAACTAGGTAATGTGCAAAATCTCATCAAAGAAGATGACATTAAAACATGATTAGTGAAAATGGAAAACCATTTCTACACCTAGCTCTAATTGCAACCCATTATTAAGAAATAGTGTTAGTCATTACCCAAAAAAGTTGAGAACCTCAAGGATCTGATCTGCCAAGTCATCAACAGAAGGCACAGGATCATCAGGAAAAATTGAAGCAGCTCCTAACTGCAAGAACTCTTGTGAGAGTTCCAAAGAGAAACTATGTGAATAATGGCATTCAGTTACAAAAAATATTTTTCAAAATTTATATGATTTGGTTAAAAAGTATAATAGAAATCCACTTGAAGCAAACCATTTACAGACCTCATGGCCAGGAGGACTGATATGATATATGCAGAAGTTGTGGAGCAGCAAAGAAGCTGCTTCAGGACAAAAGAATAACCCTTGGAAACAAGACATATCTGCTCAATTTAAGAAAGAAAGAAAAAAAAGTGTTAGAAAAATAAACTTTGTAGAATTGTCTAATTGTGTTAAGAAGAAGCAATATATTTGAGAGCTTTGATGTCCATTCAGAAAATAAGGTATTAAAATTTTATTAAGAACAGCAAAAGGTAAAACTCAGATTGCCATTTCAAACAACGACAAAATGGAGCCAGGAAAAGAGACTTTATTGCACTTACGATTTAGAGCTAAATCAGGATAAGTTATAAGTGCAGGCTTCTCTTGGTCTCCATACACAATAACAGACACAGAACCACAGCCAGTTCGTATAAAATGTTCCTGAGGATAAAAAAAATTGTAATAAATGAGTAACAACCAGAATAACAATATCAGAGCAAGAAAAATTAAGCATGCAGATTGCAAATCAACAACTATATCTAATTGTCAAAGAAAACATCACAAATTTACAAGTTAAATTATTTTACTACCATTATATTTATATGATATATACATAAACATATAGCCTTTATTTAAGAGATATCTACTGTGTCTTATCTATGTGATTATTAAAACATTCAAGTAAGGGGAAAAAATTCCAGGAATCCAGCTTTCTAGATAATTTTATTCCCTAAAGAGCTTCCCATGTGCACTTACACCTTTTTCAGGGAACTCAAACTGACCTGCCACATCTTTGACATAACTTTGTTAAAAATAGATGAAACAAATAAGTGGTTCTGGATATCAATCATTTAAATCTCTTGAAAAAGGAAGAAAAGAAAGTGGTGACAGTTAAAAAGAGAAGCATGGAATCTAATATATTAAAGTAGAAAATAGCTTTAAACTAATCAGAAACTGATAAAAAAAAAGAAGATATAGATGACATTTTAAAGCAACAGCTAGACTTGTCAATAGAGTGGAGAAATAAGACAACGAAAGGTATAACTTTGGTTTCTTCAACAGACAGTAACACACTTTGAATAAACCACAGAGATTGACTCATCGAAGCAATCAGGTTCTTGCCCAATAAAGAACATCACACAAGAAGGAAAGAATCAGGGAAAAAGAAAAAAAAAAGAAAACCCCCCATTACTGAGTTGAAGCTTAATCCAAACAAATCAACAAAAGGGTCTAAATGAGTACTTCCTATACTAAATAATCCAAAGTAATCTCAAACATTCAACCCTTTCGCATAAAAGTTCACAAACCGGAACAAAGCTAAAACGATATTAAAAATATAAGGAGAGTGGAAAAGAAAATCACCATGAGAATAAATCAGGTGGGATTGCATATGGAGCGAGAAGATGTTAACGTGTACAAATCCCAAATACACAAATGCGCACTTAAAAGGAAAGCTTCGTTGCTTCTATATCGGTGAAAATATAAAAAGAAAAATGATATCTAGCAGATCTAGAATTACCATTTTCATATCTTCAGTATCCCAAAATTAAATTTTTAGCAAACCCATTTCTAGAAATATCTGAAATTAAATGGTTTTATGTTCTTCTTATTGAACCAAGCCAAATAGTCACCGCTGTCGCATGCTACAGAGGACTTGGGGATGGGGAAGAACAAGCATCCAAAATACAAAATGTGACTTTCCTATCTCTTTCCTATATTTTCTATGTAACCAAACAGGAGATAACTCCAACATTTCAAAAGCAGCAAACCGTATTGCAAACCAAGGTTCCCAAGAAAATAAACATGAAAGAAGAAAAATGAGAACCGTAAAAAATTCAAAATTTCGAAAGATTAAACTCAATCTTTGGACCCAATGCCAAAACACTTCGTCCCAAATTAACTTAAGCTTTCAGCTAGAAGACCAAATCCCAAAACAAAAGAAGGAAGCAACAAAAATTAATACAGAAAGAAGAAAAAATATCAATCTTTGAAGTACAGCTCGAACCTTTCCACCAAGATAGATCTTCTCCATATCGAGGGAGACGGCGTCGTTTGATTCAGCCATGGCTAACTCTGCGCGTCTCCCAACAGCCCCTCTCTCGCTCTCCCTCGCTCTGTCTCTCTCTTTCTTTCTCTCTCTTGAAGAAATGTAGGCCTTTGGCTTCGTTGTGGCTTATATACAAAGCGACTCTTTCTCTCTCTAAAGCGAAAAAAATAACCTGCGGTTAACCACCACCGACGCTCCCACGCCTATCCGTACTAACGGAATTTAGTCGTTAATCTTTTACCCGCGGTCAAATTCAGGCAGTTGCTTCGATACGACGTCGTATCGTCCCTTATCCGTTAAGTTTTCGCGGCTATTGAATTTACCGTAATTTATAGATGCTCGTTTTTACGGTTTCCGGATTTACTGCTCATTTTTTTGACTTTAAAGGGAATGATAGTGGCATGCCCCTATCATTGTGGTTTGACTAAAAGTGTTTGGTGTCCTGGTGATGTGTACACCAGTCATTGGATGCTTTTTTTTATGGGTCCCATGTGGGCCATGCGCACTTTATTTAATTTTTAATCAAAAGGAAAAAAATAATATAAAGGTTACATGTTTTGGGGATTGGACATGTTTAGAAGTTACAATACTCTCTCTCTCTAGTTGCCTTGCCTTTCAACTGACTCAATGATTAATCATGCTATCTTAATCATGATTTGATGGAATATCTTTTTTCATCACATTTTTTTTGCATGGTGTGTTTGCTCCCTTTTGGTGTCAATTGAATTAGTTGCCATGAAAATGAATAATATTTCAATAAAGCTAAGCTAAAAATATCAAAAAGAGTAAAAATAGAGTTTGGAATATGGGTATTTTTGGGTTTTTCTTTAGCAATTGGCTATGGACAGAGTCTTCTTTATGCAGGTTGCAGTTTGTTATGGCCATGAGCCCTGTTATGGTTAAAACTGAAGTTCTAGATGCAACAATTTTGCTCAACTCAAATGTGGAAGAGGTTAGAGCGTTCTTATGGGTGAGGTAATTGTTCTAGAGTTCTATTAATACTAACTTATGACATATTTGAGGCAACTGAAAATCGCCGGAACGTAATATTGCCAAATATCAACTCTACTCTATCTAGTATTGCTTGTATTAAAAAAAAACTATATTCTTCTCAATATTAACTCAAAACATCTAATTTCCGAAACTATCAATTTTCTATTTGATATTTTTGTTCTAATCAATTACTATTTCATTGAAAAAGACCAATTGATGCTCCTGACCATCACATTATTGAGTATGTTGGCATTGTTGTTTCTAAATTACCAACCACTTATATTAGGCCTACCGACTTTAATAGGACAAGAGGCCCAATACAATTTTAGGGGTCCGTTGTTGTCCTCAAACAGGCTGTGTGTTCATCATAGTTCCTTGTGTTCTTAAAATTCTAACAGAGCCCCCGAAACAAAGTTTTCATTAATTAATTGGTTATTTATTTTTGAACAACAACAAAAACAGAAGCCGTCACCAAACGCCGTCGCTTAACTCTTGATTGACAGTTGGCGCGTTCAGCTGCTTACCGTGAACAGCTTCTCTTGGCCGGCTGGAAAACCGCCGCCGGCGCTCGTAATGGCGGGAATAGTTGTGGTTTTTGACTTTGACCGAACCCTAATCGACGGTGACAGTGATAGCTGGGTCGTTGCGGAGATGGGTCTCACTCAGCTCTTCAATGAGCTTCGCTCTACTTCGCCATGGAACAAACTCATGGTTTGCACTCTCTCCTTCTCTGTTTGTAAATCTTTTAAGGAAGTAGATTTATAGAAAAAGTTAAAATTTTTATTGATATTTTTATCCTCTGGTTGGTTGCTAATAAATGGGTGAATTTTGTGAACGAAAACGATATTGTACACTTAGCCTAATTGTTCTGTTTGGTCACAGATATAAACAAGAAAAAAGATTAAGAATTTCTATGCAAACCAGTTTGCAAACTTTGTATTATTGCTGAGAGATCCTTGCTTTATGGGTTTTTAACTTTGATCATGGACTAATTGGCAACATACACACAACTAACAATGAAATGAAAACCAGTTATGATGCCGAAGGACTTAGCCTTATTAATGTTGACTGTTAAACTTTGTAGGATAGAATGATGAAGGAGCTGCATTTGCAAGGAAAAAGTTCTGTGGATATTAAAGAGTGCCTCAAAAGAATTCCAATGCATCTAGGGGTAATTGCAGCTATTAAGTCAGCTCATGCTTCAGGGTAAAATTTTCAGCCAATTCATTTATAGTTGATTGTATGTTAATTCTGTTTTTCTTTTCGTATGGTGCTAAAACAAACGATGTGGTGTTCAATATGGTCGTTGCAGATGTGATTTGAGGATTATTAGCGATGCAAATCAGTTTTTTATTGAGACGATCTTAGAATGTCATGGTTTGTTAGGATGCTTCTCACAGATTGTCACAAATCCAAGCTTTGTTGATGGAGATGGAAGACTTGGGATTTTTCCGTACCATGATGTAGGCTCACCTTCTCATGGTTGCAATTTATGCCCTCCAAATTTGTGCAAGGTAAATTTTCTTCTCAAACCAATATGCATTTGTTTATGTCCGATGCTCATGTACTCGGAGTATCATCCATTTCAGTTATATATTACTTCCACATATGTATGTTTATCATTACAATTTAGTACCTATATACTGAGCGTTTCTCGGTTGCTTTATCGAATAACTAATTGGTTTTGATGATTGGAGCTTCTCTTTAGATACGACTTACGCATTACCATCGAGGTATAATACTCATAAGTTTAGCAAATAGTATGTTTTTTGGCTTGCTGCGGGCTCTATCTTTGTCTATCCTATGCCTGGACCAGTAACAAATAATAACAAAATGGAGACATGTTCAGTTTGTAATTGCTTTTTCTTCCTATCTATAGGCGAATGTAACTTTTGCTATTAATTATTTGGCCCTATTTACCTGAAAAAAATTGTTTCAAGAACAAGAGATGCACACTTCTAATGTATATGATATGGTCCTGTTTCCAGAAAAAGATCACAATACATATAGGAGCCACATTGAAGTGTTGCCCATTCCTTTCCAATCCGTTTTCAGTAACATTTAGAGGAAACAAATTGGATGCACTTTTTGCTGGGTGATGAGTTATAAGACTCAAGTGTTTGTATAGAGGTATCAAATCCACTGATTCTTCCATGGTAGCTCCCAAGTAAAATTGATCTGCAGGATGTGCAGAAAATTGAATTGATTTCTTTCTATCATTCACCATCCCAACTATTTCAAATTAAACGCAGAGCTAAATATTTCTATCATTTCTGCTATGGGGGTCAGGATAAAAAATGTTGTGACTTGGTCTAATGCAAGTGTGCTTCAGTTTTGTCCCCAATTTTGCCATTTAAGAGGCTTATTTTCCTATCGATATGTTTTACTGCATAAAATGTTTTCTCCATCTTCTCATACAGTAGCTTTGTTCCACATAAAACTGAGGTTCTATTTATGATTTCCATTTTAGGGTGTGGTGATTGATCAAATCCGAGCTTCTGTTTCTGCCAATGGGAGGAAAAGATATATCTACCTAGGAGATGGGAGAAATGATTTTTGCCCAACTTTAAGGCTTGTAGAAGGAGACCATGTAATGCCAAGAAAGGACTATGCTCTATCGAAGCGCATTTACAGCAACCGAATGCTTATCAAGGCTGACGTCCATGAATGGAGTGATGGAGAGGAGCTTGGGAAGATATTGCTTCACCTCATCCACAGAATTTCTACTGAAGAAATTAATTGTAGTGACCTCAGTCAGCTGAACTCACCTGACCACATATGACAGACAATGCCTGATGAAGCACTCCCTCAAACTCTCCCTGTTTGTCACTAGCAATTGAAGGCGGAAATTGCTTTCTGATAGAAAGCAATTTTTCCTGTGACTTAAATTTAAGCAACACAGATTTGAATGTATTTTGGACCATTAATTTTAGACTGTTGCTTCTGATCAAATTAAGAGTGGCTGGTGAGTGTTGAGAAACCCACAATTTTTGGGTCTCTAATCAAATTTAGGAACTCTTTTCTTTGGTAGTGTTGGACGGTACGCATTTTTTGGATAAGCTAAGAAAAATACATTCTATATCAACTTTTTTCTTCTTCTGTTTTCTGTAGTTTGCAGGTTTTATTGATATCTATGTTCTATGAATCTATGCCTAATCTCTATATAATTTTGGTTTATTAAATTCACATATGCCGGCACGTATTACACGGTCGATTGATGCTACTAGCTAGTAAAAGAATCAAATTAACCATTCATATTCATTGTTCATGATGACACTAATCACACTGAAGTCAAAATTGAACAAAGGGAGAAGTCTTTGATCTCGTTCAATTTTCTAATGATGGTGTGCTTGAAACTTTTTTTTTGTGACTAAGAAAGTAGATGGATTTGATTTGATTTTTATTATTTTTAATCTGGCTATATGGACCTGTTTTATAAGCCCATGATTGAAACTGGCCCAGTAATTGGACGGTCCTGATTGTGAGATTCTTCTGTACTTTGAAACAAATAAAATAGAACTGAAAGTAGCTGAACATGTCTCTGTAAACCAATAATTCTTTTTCTTACATAGAAAAAGAGGGAATCCAAGTCAAGCGTGTGCGTCTCTTACTTGTCCGCTGTCCACTCCCATACATATAAAATCCATAAAACACATAGAGAAACGTTTCGATTCTTTTCTCTCTCTCTCTCTTCTCCGCGCCAACTCCTCCTTCAATCAGCTACCCAGAATCTCTCTCTCTCTCTCTCTCTGTTTCTTCAGAGGGTGCTGCAATGGCAAAAAAGAGAGAAGAGAGAGAGATGAATACCTACCTGGATGGGATAATAGAGGCCATGCCTGTATTTGCCAAGGAGCTGATTGCTGGTGGTGTTGCGGGTGGTGTTGCAAAGACTGTTGTTGCACCACTTGAGCGTATCAAGATTTTGTTTCAGGTACAATTGTGTTAAATTCTCCTTCAAAATATGGACTTAGATTGATTCTTTAATTTTTTTGCTGTGAAAGTGGCTAAAGTTGACTCTTGATTTTGGGCACTGTAAAGATTGGTATTACATTTGGCTTCTTGGGTGTTTGAGTTTCTGGGATTTATTCAGTGGGTAGATTTCATCTAAGATGACTGCTTTTTACTGAACTGGTGCAAATTTTATGGATTGTGAAATTAGTTTCTGTTGTTGGGTGTTTGCTGGTCTCAGATTGAATAATACTGTGATCATTAGAAGTTCAATGGGTTACTTTATTTGATTCGATTTTTCGATACTTTGTTCTCCATGACTTTGTTTTATAGAGGCAGTCATGGGGTCAATAGTATACAAACAGAATTTCTGGAGTTCCAAGCAAGAAAATCCGAGTTAACTTTCCTTCCCCGACCTAAAAAGGAAGAACAAAAGAAAAGAACTTGTAAGGTTTTTTGAGAGAGAGATAAATATCTTATTTAACACATGCCTTGATTTTGTGTGTGGTTTTGCTGTTTTTTCATCTTCCTTGAGTGGGAAACTGGAGGTTAAGATATTCTTTCATGTTTCCCATGGCGATTAGAAACAAATTATTAACTTAAATTGGATTTACCATTAAGCAGATTATCCTTGAAGATTGAAATAATTTGTTTGTTGTCTTTTGCAGACCAGAAGAGCAGAGTATCAGAGCATAGGGCTGTTTGGATCCATTAAAAAAATTGCAAAGACAGAAGGGCCTTTAGGTTTCTACAGGTGGATCCTTGAGTACATAATCATTTATGTGAAGGTTGTGTTTTTAAGTTTTCAATGACTAACATATTTTCATACAGAGGAAACGGAGCTAGTGTTGCAAGAATTATTCCCTATGCAGCTTTGCATTATATGACCTATGAACAATACCGCAGATGGATTATTCTCACCTTTCCTGACGTGGGGCGTGGACCTGGTCTAGATCTTGTGGCAGGGTCTTTTGCTGGAGGAACAGCTGTGCTTTTTACATATCCTCTTGATTTAGTTCGGACTAAGTTGGCTTATCAGGTAACTAATTGAATCGTGAAAAATCTCTCACTCAAGTGCATGAATTAGTTGCTCTTTACACTTCCAAGAAACTTTTTTTTGACAGAAGCCATGTTTGTTTTGCAGGTTGTTGGTTCACCGAAGTTAAACGTTCAAGGGGTAGTAAATACTGGACAAATTTATAAAGGAATTCTTGATTGTTTCTCGAAGACTTACAGAGAGGCTGGACTTAGAGGCCTCTACCGCGGTGTTGGTATGGATTTGAAAACTGCTTGTATCATCCACTGCTGTCATTGTGTGTTTCTATAGTTGTTAAGATGTTTGCAACAATTTTGCATTTAACGCATTAACATCATTATCAGCTCCATCACTTTATGGAATCTTCCCATATGCCGGTTTGAAGTTTTACTTCTATGAGGAGATGAAGCGCCATGTCCCTCAGGAGCACAAGAAGAGTATTATGGTCAAACTTGTATGTGGTTCTGTTGCTGGTCTATTAGGTCAGACTTTTACATATCCCCTCGATGTGGTGAGGAGGCAAATGCAGGTAATGTACTTTATAAGGGTCCTTAAAATACTACTCGACAGAAAATTTTGTGACATTGATGGGTGAAAATCATCTGAATAGGTTCAACGAATCGTGTCATCAAACAGTCCAGAGATGAAAGGGACAATGGAAGTCCTTGTCATGATCGCTCAAAAGCAAGGATGGAAGCAATTATTTTCAGGACTTAGCATCAATTACTTGAAGGTGGTAAAAACCTAGTCAGTCTTTTCACAGAAAATCCCTTGGCTTTCTTGTCTAATCATGTTTTGGGATGTTGTAATTCAGGTCGTACCATCTGTAGCAATCGGGTTTACAGTTTATGATGTTATGAAGTCCTACCTTCGAGTTCCGTCAAGGGATGAAGCTGTGACAAAATTGGTAACCAACAAAAGAAATACCCATCCATCCTCCCTTCACTCCTAGTTACTTTTTCTTCCAATTTTTCACTTCAAGTAACAGTCCTGCACAATTGATTGGGAGCTTTTCCTTCCCTTTTGAATTGTCAATTAGGTTGACTTTTTGTACCATTCATGCCATTTTCAGCTGTACATTTCATTCTTTGGAGCTGAATAATAGCCCCTCGGTAGGTTAAACCCCTCCCTTACACATCCTACAAGCTCTAGTTTCATTGATTAAGTTAGCAGAAATCATCAATTAGGCTACCTTGTATATTTAGGAGAGACGATTCTCTTGCAATGTACATATGGAGAATTTTGACCCCTGTAATCGTTCTATAATTGAATAATAAGGTTTGAGTAATCTTACTTGCTTTTCTTGTCTCTTTAAGAACTTGAAATGCATCTGTTCAATGTTTTATTTACCACTGCCCCCCAGGAAGCAGATTCCATTTTTGCCTTTTTCTTTTCCTGGGAATAAAAGGCGAAAAAGGAATTCATTCTTCACTACTGGCACAGGCCCCAGAAGCAGATGCCATTTTAGGTAAAAGATGAAAGATGCAAAAAGGGAATCATACAAGGCACCTTCCAACTTTTGAACCATGGTTGCTTAATATTGAAAACACTCGACCAGATTATGCTTTCAGAAATAAATCAGAGAATCAATCAGCAAGCAAACAGAAACATAATCGTAAATTTGTTTTCTATTGAATGTAATTGAATTTAAATACAAGATTAATGTACAAGAAAAGATATTCATAAAAAAACCTACAAAGTTAATTTCCAGCCAAAAAACTTCCTTTGATTTTTTATGCTGCACATTGAACATTACATAACGTAGCACCACAGCCTCGACTCTTGTAGAGAAGCTGTATGCACTAGCTGCTGATAAGTTTACCAGTAATCCCCACAGGAGCATTTCCCATCCTTGAAATGATGGAACCGCTTGTTATCCCTAACGATCAGCTCCCTCCCAACGATCTTTGACATGATTTTTATTGCATTATGGCAGTCGCCGCATATTCGAAGATTCTTAATTATCCTTAGAGTTTGCCTGGCTGGAGTACTGATCAGACCATAAGCAATTGCCAAACGCTCGCTGTGATACTGCAAGGCCTGCTCTTTTGCCTCCTGATCAATGTCATGAAGCACATATCTTGTATCTGGCACATAGCCTGCTTCCCTCATCTGTCCTTTCAAACCCTTCAGTTTCTCATATGCCTCGTTTGTAATCCGATACTCACTGACCCTATTCTTCTCCTCTAGCATGTTAATCTCAGAGTGCTTCTTCCGCGGAGGCAATGGGATTTTTTCAGCATTGGCCTTAGAAGGATCGAGACTAACCAACAAATCCTCAGCGCGATCTTCAAGCTCAATGTCTCCATGAATCCGTGCAAAGTTTCGAAGAGCCTCCCAAACTTCTGCAGTAGGCTCAAATGGCATTTTCTCAATGAATTCCTCTGCCTCATTCAAATGACCAGACTTTCCAAGAACATCAATAAGCCCTAAATAATGCTCAATCTCCGGCACAATCTCATACTCATTCTTCATCGACTCGTAGTAAGTTAACCCTTCTTCCACAGCTTCCGCGCTAGCACATGCCGCCAAAACCACTACAAATGTCTCCTTATTGGGCTTCAATCCTAAATTCCTCATTTGTTCAAACAACAGCAGCCCCTCATCACCCTGCCCATTCACCGCATACCCATGTATCATTGAATGCCACAAACTCATACTCTGCTCAGGCATTCGATCGAACACCTTGCGTGCATCTCTCATACTCCCACATCTTCCATACATTTGAATCAATTTAGCGTTCAACTCAATATCTCCGCGAAATGGCGACTGTTTCATAAAATCATGGATCTTTTTCCCAACCTCAAGCGACTTCGAGCTGTCACACGAGTCCAATAACACACAAAATACACCATAATCAGCGGAAACATCTTGAGCCATATACTGCAACGCCTCTTTGACCTTACCCTCCTTGCACAAACGCATCAAATCCACATCTTTCGTGTTAATACGCAATGGGGCACTCACATTTTGGTTGTTTAACTCATCACCGTTCGCTGTTGGTTCATTTGGTTGCTGGCTCTGGTACTTGTTGCCCTTGCGTAAAGGTTGGGTCTTGTACTGGGAATTGGAGCGAGATGTTGTTGGTTGGGGCTGAGAGGAGCCAGTGTTGCGGCGATGTACTCTGGGATCATTGGCACTGGGAACTGCATTGGTGCAGAGAGGTTTGGATGGGGTGGGATTGCAGGAAGAGGAAGGTGTGGTTTTGAGGACCGAAGGAAGAGTGGTGTTGAGATAGAGCTTATCAGGAGAGCTTGGAGTTATCCGAACTCTGAAACGAAAAGAGATAATGGAGTTTCCAGTTGGCTGAAGAGAAGAAGTCAGAGAAGCCATTGATGTGCTAAAACTCTGCTACTATTGGAAAAGCAGAAAGAGGGAAGAAGATGTGGAGTGATGGGATAATTGGGTCATTGGTCAATGTGGGCTTTGCTCACTCAAAGCCATGTCGATGTATGCAGCAAGAGTTCTATTGTGAGGGCCTTATATGGCTTTTAGGTAAAGGCTTATTTTTTAACTGTTGAATTAAATTAATTAATCGTTTGATTAAATTAGTTAGTCTAATTCAACGGTTCAGATATATAACCTCACCTATGAGTTACATACAAAGCCCTCACTATAGAATGACTCGTCAATGCGATTGGAGTCAAGCCAACTGGATCTAGCCTAGTTAAAAACCCCTTCAGTTGCAAACTAATTTCGAACCCACGTGGTACCAAAGCCCAGCCACATTTGCACAATCTACCTTCGCAAAAGACCTTTGGTCTTGAAATTCAACTCTTGTCAAAGCCTATTTACTTTTAATTTGTTCATTCATTCTTTCACTTAATTGGATAATTATTATTTAGATGCTAAACAAACTTGGACATGGTAGAAATCGACTTTTGTGGAAAGTTCACCCTAAACCCAATTCCCTCCATAAAATGTTTAGTTTTACTAAGCTAAGCTCTCTGCCTTTTTGATTGTCCAAGGCTCTAATCCAAGGCTCAACAAGGTTTAGATAATCTCATTTTCAAAAGAAGAAGATATCAAAGTTTTAATGTTTTGAGAATGTAATAATGCTTCGTAATTAGCATAACGATAAACAACTAACATAACTATTACAAGTTCACAACTCTCATTCTCATATAATATAGTCAGACCACTCGGACATAAACGAAGTATGGTCCATGGACTCGCCAGGCACATCCTCAAGCTGCGACGGCCGTTCCTTCCCGCCAACCAACCTCGCCGGATTCCCAACCGCCGTCGTCCTCGGCGGCACATCAATCAACACCACCGATCCGGCCCCGATCTTCGCCCCATCCCCTATCTTCACATTCCCTAGAATCGTCGCGCTCGCGCCGATCAAAACCCCATCGCCGATCTTCGGGTGCCGATCTCCGCCGGCCCTGCCGGTCCCACCCAGCGTCACGTGGTGAAGTATCGACACGTTGTTTCCGATCACCGCTGTCTCCCCCACCACCACCCCGGTGGCGTGGTCGAACAGCACCCCCTTTCCGATCGTCGCCGCCGGGTGTATGTCCACCGCGAACACGTCGGCGATCCGCGAATGCAGCGCAAGCGCCAAGGGCCTGCGTGACTGGATCCACAGCTTGTGCGCCACTCGATGAGCCTATAAATCAAATAAAACAAAATCAATTCGTTTATTTTCTTGCGTTTTCTCGGAATCAAAACAGGAGATTAAATTGTAGCCCTAAAAATCAAATTAATTACCTGACAGGCTAAGAAGCCCTTGTAATTGAGCAAGCAGTGGGAGAAGGAGACGCAGGCGGGGTCACGCTCGCGGGCGGCGCGGAGATCGGCAACGGCGGCGGCGAGCAGAGAGGGATCGGAGGAGAAGGTGTTGAGGAAGAGGTCATAGAGGAGCGTGGAGAGGAGAGTGGAGGAGCAGAGCTTGTTCCCCAAGTGAAACGACAGGGATCGCTTCAACGACGAGTGGGAGAGTATCGTAGAGTAGAGATAGCTGGCCAGAGCCGGTTCGGCCTCGGCGTCGCGGCGCGCCTCGGCTTTGATCTGGGCCCACACCCACGCCTCGCCCTCGACTTCGGACGACGACTCTGTGTGTCGGAGCTCGCCGGCTGGCATCTTATCCGTTGATGTTTATCGCCACTACGGCGCACGATAGTGGAGAGCAGTGGAGAAATGGTTTGTGAAACTAGGGGATATGTGGTTTGTGAAACTAGGGGATTTGTGCGGTTCAATTAATTACATGGGTTGCTTTAGGGAAAAATCAGGTGGCGTACAATTCCAATTCGTTCTTCTCTCTGTCTTTTGTTCCAGATGTCACATAAAACGGAAATAAAAAAATCCAGTTATTTTATCTTATCTTATGTTTGCAAAGAAATGCATTCCTAACTAGAGAAGGCTAATTAAAATACAACAGGATCTAAATCAGTTGAGAAGGCCCTGATCAGTGATCTCTTATTCGAATTCCATGACATTTTAGCAATATGTACCATCGCTTGTATAAAAATAAAATAAAAACTCAAAAATAACAAATCATGACTTAAAAGGAAAAAAACAAAAACATAAAATATGGGATGAAATTACACAAAAGGATATCAAATAAAACAAAAAAAGTCAAACCAAATTCATACCCAACTTCTTTTTAGGCCAATACAACATTATTTTAAAGGGTATGTAATAATTTGATACAGAAAGCTACAACATTATCTGATAGGCATAACAATCAACAACAAATTGAAGCCTGGATCACCAATTTCTACAATCTATTTTCACAGAGAAAAAGAAAACCCCAAGTGGATTTACTCTACTTCCTTTGTGTTATGTTGCTCCCCAGCTCCTTTCTTGAGTAGTTTCACATAGAGATCCTTTCTGTAAGTAAGGGCACATAATTTGTTTTTGCTGTCACAGGACCCTCTTCCACTTCCTACAATAGGATGCCTTGGGCAAAAATATCCATCACCTACATCCACCACCACCCCACATGTAGTATCATAGCTTTTATTGGACTGTCAAAACTTGAGCTTGAACTTCTCCAAATTCACATAATGCGGATGAATTATGCTCGTAGTTTGAAGTTCCAAAATTACAGGGTTCAAAAGCCACATCATGCACATATTTTAGTTTAGCTTCGTTCGCCTACTTAGATTATTCTTTTCCCTTTATGCTCATCACATCTTTTCCTCCCTTGAATCGGATGCCTTCTGCAAGAAGAGCCATCAGCCAAGATGAATCCACAAATGGAAGTGAAGCTCTCTACTGGATCACGGATAATAATTTGAGCATCATGAAACTCTATGCTGCTAACAGCACTGCATTCTGATTCTGAGTCAACGGTGCTATTTGATATCCCAACTCTAGTTGACCTATTAATCCTCATCCCCTTGTGTTTAGCACACCTCTTTCTTCCTGGAACTGGTGGCGTTCTGCAAACGGAGCCATCAGCCAAGATGAATCCACAAATGGAAGTGAAGCTCTCTACTGGATCACGGTTAATAATTTGAGCATCATGAAACTCTATGCTGCTAATAGCACTGCATTCTGATTCTGAGTCAACGGTGCTATTTGATATCCCAACTCTAGTTGATCTATTAATCCTCATCCCTTTGTGTTTAGCACACCGCTTTCTTCCTGGAACTGGTGGCGTTCTGCAAACGGAGCCATCACCTACATCCACCCCACAAATTATAGTATTCTCCTGAGTAATGCCAATTCTATCCAAAACTAACCTAGGCTGTGATCTGCCAAGCTTGAAAACTCGAGAAAGGGGATTGTGGCTCTCCCTATTAGCATAAGCACCAAACTTATCCTCTGGTGAAAGCAATTCGCTTGATTCAATCCTAGTACCCACTTTCTTCAGACTGAAAGGCACAAGCTTCTGGGCAATATTAACAAATCGTGTAGTGCTTGAAGATACCATCTTAAGTTTTTTAAGGACATCATCGGGGCGTCTTGCCCCATTAATGTTTGTGTTCCATGCATAATCAAATGTGTTAAGCAGCTGAGTTTCTGTTTTCAGCGCAACACTTTTGTTTTCCATCTGTAGATACAATCAACAAAGAAACGATAAGGGCATATCATATATTCCAATCACATGGCCAAAATTGCACCCAGAAGTGCTTCAGAATTCATAAATTCCAATTACATATCAGATATTCCAGTCCACACATAAATAATGGCAAGCACATGATCACTATTTACCATGTACGTGTTTGTATGAGAATCCCAAAAGTTAACACAACTAAAAGCCTCGAGTTGTATAAAAGATAGAAAAACTTCATACAAATATAGCTTCTATCTAATTATGATGGTCCCATGTATGTACTAATGGTATGAACATGAAGGTGGATGAAAACCCTGAAATTATAAATTCATGAAGCAATCAATTATCCAGCTTGCAGCATCTGATCTTTACAGGAGATGATAAGGACTCTTCTGGCAGCCTCTGATCAACTATCCATCAGTCTCAACCAGAAGAAGGGCATCCACATAATATGCATGATAAACTAGTATAGCCATCCATGACAACAAGGAAGAACAAAAGTGGTAACTTAATAAATGCACGATACATCTAATTCAATATCAATCACACGAAAAACCCTAGTAAAGTTCAAACTTCTTAAAAGGGTCAAAAAATTTAGATAAACTTACAGGAGCCCATCTGTACACAACGGGGTAGTCTCTTGACAGTATCTCAGCAAACAATCCCGGCCCCTTTTGGACACGGTCGCTAGGATGACCAGTTGGGCAGCCATTGCCCAAATGAGCACCTGAACGACCATATTGCTGAAGTCGTGTCCTCACATTATCAGCTTGTCCAAGGTACACTGGGACTATATAGTCTGGGTCAAGCTTGCCAATCTCACGGCCTAAACCAGTACGCAAGACTGCGATGCCAAGTTCATAGACACCTGGACTCTCCTTTTCAGGGAGGTTATGAACCCTGTACCTTTCAGCCCCTTCTTTTCCCAGTGAATAGTCTTCCCAATCCGAAGGACCAACCAGAATCTAAAATTCCCAATAAAAATGCAAAAACAAAAACACCCATGTTGTAAATACCATATAACACTGGATTTTGGAATCTGGGTAAGTAGTGGGAGTAAATTTGAGATCTTTAAACAGAGAAACAAAAACCCAGAAATCTAATTTGAAGATACAGCTAGTCGGTCAATAAAATGAGTAGAGGACAGAGAAAGTAATCAAAATCTCCAAAGATTTCAAATTACAGATCAAGTAAAAAATCAAAATTTCAATTCCAATTCCAGTTCCATCAGGTGAGGCATAGAAATTACCTTCCAATTGGAGAAGTGAGAGTCGTGTTTGGTGCGCTTGCAATCTTCCCTCTTCAACCTTGTGACAGCAACGGTCAAGTCGCTGGCTCCCATTTGAGGCTTTGTGGCCCTTTGCCAGAAAATGACTGTTAATCGCGCCCTTTATCAGCGCCGAGATGATGCCCTTTCGAAAATACCACTTTGCCCATATAAAATTGAGGCGCATCCAACCCCAAACTGGGCTGGGGACTGGCCCAGACCAAGTGACAACTATTTTTCTCTCTTCTTCGCTGGTTGAGACTTTTTTTCTTTTTTCATTTAAAATAGGGAGCTGTTATTCGGACTCCCAAGAGGTACCGTACACTTTTTTAAGCATAATTTCTCACTCATATTTTCAGAGGGAGAATCTGAATAACTTTTATGGAGTACCAAAAATAGTTCCTTTAAGATAAACGGTGACCGACTTGGTACTGAAAACGAATATTAGTGAGAAGAAAAAGGAGACTGATTCGAAAGAGCATCTTTATAATATGACACCAAGCTTCATATCATGCACTGTTTCAAAAGCAGATTCTTCTTCAATCTTCTTCGTTCACTAATCATGAAGCTGAAGGTTTTGGCCTATATACGCTGATAAGGTCATGAAATGTATGATGGCCAATACATATCAAGATCCAAGTTCTCGTCAAAGTTCTTCAATCTTTTTAGTTTGCTGGGATTTTTTATTTAAAAAATAGCTTTACTGGGGTCTTTTTTAAAAATTATATTACAGCCGGGCGGCTATACTGGGGGAAGATTTTAAAAAAGGAGTTAGTCGCGCGGCTTTACTTGGGTCGTTTTTTAAACTTATCAGTATAGCCGCACGGCTTTACAGAATTTTTTTTAAAAAAAAGGGGTATAGCTGGCGGCTATACGCTTTTGACACGTGTGCCGAATCGATATAGGTGCTAGGCGGGGCTATTTTTCTTTTTCAAAAATAGTTTAGCCGTGCGGATATACTCGAGAATATTTTTTAAAATAGATTATAGCCGCCGCCTGGCTGTGCTTCGGATTTTTGAAAAGAGAGTCTAGTTGCGCGGCTTTACTGGGGTTGTTTTTAAAATTTATTTATAAATAGTATCGCCGAGCGGCTATGCTCGAGATTGTTTTTTTAAATGATTATAGCCACGAGGCTTTACGTGGGTCCCTTTTTAAGTTTATTTGTAAATCATACAGCCGACCAGCTATACTGTTTTTACACGTGGTGCAAGGCGGGTCTCTTTTTTCCATAAATAGTATAGCCGGACGGCCATACTGGCAATTTGTTTTTAAAGAGTATAGCGACTTCAAAAAGGTATCGTACACTCTTTTAAGCACAATTTCTCACTCATATTTTGAGAAAGCATAATCTCAATGACTTTTGTGGAGTATCAAAAACAATTCCCTTAAGATAAATGGTGACCGACTTGGTAACGAATATTGGTGAGAAGAAAAAGAAGACTGATTCGAAAGAGCATCTTTATAATATGACACCAAGCTTTATATCATGTACTGTTTCAAAAGCAACTTGTTCAATCTTCTTCGTTCACTAATCATGAAGCTGAAAGTTTTGGCCTACATACGCTGATAACGTCTTGAAAGGTATGATGGCCAAGATATATCGAGATAAAAGTTCCCATCAATCATCATGGGTGTTTTGATTCTTCCTAATATTGTTTTCTTCATTATGTCTCTTCGTCAAAAGCAACTTTATCAGCCAAAAGATAATGCACCAAAACTTGTATTAAAACACCTTTGGATAGAGCGGAAAAGGAAGTGGATTGAGACATCAAATTCAAGATTCGAAGCCTATTAAGGTCCATTTGCCAAATGCTTACCTACCCATGATACAACTTTATTCGGAGAAATAGAACTAAATAAGAGAAAAACACGCAAACTCAATATTATATAGTCCATGAAACTTCATCATTTTTAACTTTTTGATAAAGAAGACACTCAAAGCAATTCCATTATTTTCTGACTTCAACAAAATGAAGGCACTGCAATAACTATTGACAAAAAGGAAAAAGATAAACAATAAAGAAGATGGGTAGTTTTGAAGATTGCATAAGGTTTGAATAATTGATATGATCTTCCAACCAAATCTAAACGGGTAAGAAAATAGACGTATGTGACACAAATGTGATTCCTCAAAGAACTAAGAGCCATCACAATTCTTATTTCTTTATAGAGAGACATATGTTTGTCGATTATTCAATATTAATCAGGTAAGTTCTTATTTGAATCTACCATTAAAACGAACAAACAACGTTTAATATTACGATAGATCCGCCCAAAAAATTACACTTACGAATAAAGATCCATTAGTATCTTCTTCCTTTATATCAAAAGCCAATTAAAAGAGGTAATGAGAAGACACAAACATATTATATCTTTGAAGTTATGGCTAATCGACATCTCATATCCCTTGTTACAATGTTAATTGTCAAAAGACAAACCAGTGTGACCAATGATCTCTTTCCTATATATAAGTTATTCATTTTCATTCCATTAGCACATAAAGAGTTGCCACTTCCAAAACTTACAAATGAAAAGACTTTCTTAACAGCAAGAAAGAGAAGCTCCAGTCATCGATCTGCACTTTGGTCTTCTTATTATTAATCAGCTATTGTCGTGTCGTTTAACCTAAAATCTCCCCTTCTTTTTGTCCTTTTATTGGTTTTATTGTTGGCGCTACTTTCTTGCAATGATGCAAAATTCCCAAGTGAGAATCTACCAACAAAAAAGTCCAACTTAGGCCACCTGCTTCTTCTCTCCATGACTTAATCAAAATTCTGCTATACTTTATATTAACATCAAAGCATCCCGAGAGCAACATGCAAAGTGTAGACTCCTTTTCCACGAAAGAACCGATCTTTTTTTGGGACAAATGAAAGAACCAAACTTTGTGTTTGAAATTTTTTGCTCTGTTCTGCATTAATCCCAAAGCTTGTGTTGTCTTGTACAGTCATAGAGTGTGAGAGGGGGTTTGGGCCCCTTTACATGTCCTTTAACGGCAATGAAGTCAGTGAGTGGTTAAAGTACATAGAAGACAGTGCGTGTCCTCTTCTACTTTCGTGTTTCTTTTGTGTTCTTGTCATCTGGGTAAAGATCAAAAAGCTCCTTCATTTGGTTTCTCCTTCTCACAGTGATAATGCGTGTATTTCTGCTTCTGCTTTTTGTTTCTTTTGAGAATTTGGATATGGGTTTTGATTGTGGGGTGTGTTGAGGAAGTGTGGGGTTGTAGAATTTCAGATTTTTTGGTTGGGGCAGAGGTATGAAAGAGAAGAGTAATGGGGTTGTGGCTGGGAAAGTTGTGGTGGTTGCTGTTAATGCTTTGAGGGAAATTCAAAAGACTGCTCTGGTGTGGGCTTTGACTCATGTTGTGCAACCTGGCGATTATGTTAAGCTTTTGGCTGTGATTCCTTCTCACACATCAAGTAAGTAAGCCTCCTTGTTTTTTCTGTTTCAACTGAAGAAAAGTTGCCCATTTATATATCAAAATGTTAAAGATTCACACAAAAATGCAAATGCATTGCATGTTCGCTAATAATGCTCCTTGTTTTTTCTGTTTCAACTGAAGAAAAATTGCCAGTTGATGTTTCAAATTGCTTTCCTTTTGGTTAATTAAGGAACTTTCTCGTGTATTGGCAATATGTTCTCTCTTCCTCTGTACTTGCCTATTGGGAATTTGAAAATCTTACCGATGGCATGTTAAGTTTGACAGAGGTGCTTCACAAATTTGAAGCTTTGATACCAGTTTCAAAATCAATTGAATCACAACCGAGTCGAATTATGTATGAGATGTATCTGATTTTTTTCTCTCTTTCAAATACCATGTGTCCAGGTAAAAAGATATGGGAGTTTGCAAGATTTACTAGTGATTGCACCACTAGTCATCGGAGGTCTCTTTCAGGAACCGTGTCAGATAAGAAGGATGATATTGTGGACTCATGTTCTCAGATGGTGCTCCGGCTCCAAGATGTTTATGATCCAGAGAAGGTTGGTACATCAATTCCGTTTCCAATGGTTTAGTCCTTACATGTTTCATTTCTAATACCAATCCATTCCCATCATATTTTCTTCACAGATAAAGATCAGGATAAAAATTCTCTCTGGCTCACCGTGCGGTGTTGTGGCTGCCGAAGCAAAGAGAGCTCAATCAAACTGGGTTATATTGGACAAGTAATACGTCAATGTAACCTTAATTTCTATTATCACATGCTATAGCCTACAGTTTCCTATTTTAGGGATTGCTGTTTAGATGTGTGATAGCATACAATGGCATCATATGTTGATTTCAGAATGTTAATCCTTAGCCAACACTTTTGTGCATGAAACCTTTTTCTCCGGAATACTGTTTGTTTCCCTTATTGCTTGTTCAAGTTATCAATTTTATTCGTGTGCAGACAATTGAAATATGAAAAGAAACACTGCATGGAAAAACTGCAATGCAATGTTGTGATTATGAAACGATCTGGGCCAAAGGTTCTTCGCTTGAATTTGATAACAAAGACAGAACCTGAAGTGCCTTACCCTTCAATGTCTGAATCAGAATCTTCTCCAAAACGTCTAAAAAGCAAGTTTGAAGAGTCGAATATGATTAGAGGGCCAACTGTGACTCCTAGAAGTAGTTTTGACCACGAGTCACATCTGACTGCAACTGATATTGGAACATCATCCATATCAAGCTCAGATGTGGGGACTGAACGAGATTTTCTTTCCGAAATTTTGGGGAGGTTAAAGCAAGAGTATCCATCTACTATTGAAGGAAATCAGAATTTGAATGAATCTGATACCGAGACAAATAATGAAAACCAGAGTTCTTACTTCACAAGTTCTTGTTGCCAGCCTTGTATGGCAGATTATCCAAGTTCTGGTGGTGAGTTTTCAAGATGTGCAGGGGAAGGTTCAGAGAGACCTTATGATAAGGCTCTGATTTCAACATACGGAGCCTTGCTGGATAAGTTAGCTAACTTGAATCGAGAACCTGATGTTGGGGTCTTGAATTATAGGCTTGATTTGAATTTAAGCAGAAGTGTACGTGAAGCAATTTCATTATCCAAAAATTCACCTCCTAACCCTCCTCCATTGTGCTCCATATGTCAGCACAAGGCACCTGTTTTTGGAAATCCTCCTCAGTGGTTCACGTATGCGGAGCTGGAATTTGCTACAGGTGGATTTTCACAAGCAAATTTCTTGGCTGAAGGTGGGTTTGGTTCTGTGCACAGAGGTGTCTTAGCACATGGTCAGGTTGTTGCTGTCAAGCAATATAAATTGGCTAGTTCTCAAGGTGATCAAGAATTCTGCTCAGAAGTTGAGGTCCTAAGCTGTGCACAGCATCGCAATGTTGTGATGCTGATTGGGTTCTGCGTGGAGGATGGAAGAAGGTTGCTAGTTTATGAATATATATGCAACGGGTCTTTGGATTCTCATCTATACAGTAAGTTATCCTCTATCCCTGATTTTTTAATGCACAAAATGAAATGCTACTACTTACGGATCTAAGTAGCAAGCAAGCATGCTCTAGTATTTCCTCTTTACTTCAGATGAATGGCAACATTTATGTTCGGTTTTCAAATTACATAGATTAACAGATTGAATGGGTTTACTGATCAAGAATCAGATTCTCAAACAAATGAAAAGGTTATGGTCTTGACGTTAATAAGGACCCTGTTATTTCCAGGATTCTCAGTTGGGTATCATCCTTTTGTCTTAAGTGTGGATATATGCATTACCGAGAACACTTTGCTCCACAAGTGCATTACACCTTCTTTACAAAATATAAATGTGCGTATTCACTTCTGTGACCAACTAAGTTAAGGGGATGCTAAAATTTTCAGGGCCACAGAGACATCCGTTAAAATGGTCTGCGCGACAAAGAATTGCAGTTGGAGCAGCTCGAGGGTTGAGATACCTTCACGAAGAGTGTAGAGTGGGTTGCATTGTCCACCGTGATATGCGACCAAACAATATCCTTCTGACGCATGATTTTGAACCCTTGGTATGTCATACACTCCTCATCTCTTACAAAAAAAAATTCAACTTCCTACTCCCCTTCACCAGTTGTATGTTGTCCTTGATGAATCACATCTTGTATGAGTAGTGTTTCTCTTTGTGTGAAGCCATATGTGCATTGAGGATGCAGCGTTAAATTCCATACATGTATCACTCGGAGTAACTCTTACCCAGTTCTGGGTTTCAGGTTGGAGATTTTGGACTGGCAAGGTGGCAACCAGATGGAGATGTTGGGATGCAAACAAGAGTACTTGGAACATTTGGGTAAGGCCATAGGACTTGAGAAAAAACAAAAAAAGTCTTTCTCGTTATACCAAATTACAATTGACAAAGTTTAGACTAAACCAGAAACCTTGCCTTAAATGTAGTTACTTGGCTCCAGAATATGCTCAAAGTGGACAAATCACAGAAAAAGCTGATGTCTATTCCTTCGGGGTAGTTCTAGTGGAGCTTATTACAGGACGGAAAGCTATGGACTTAAACAAGCCTAAAGGCCAACAGTGCCTCACTGAATGGGTAAGCATGAACAAGATAACTCTAATTTCAGATCGTGCAGTATATCGGAGATAGAACATCTGACATCTTTCTTTTCAAAACATACTAAATAAAGTTTTGATAGAATATTGAGACTTGTGATAAATTATGTTTTACTCTCATATTGGTCATTGCTTACACTCATCTGTGTCGAGCAGGCACGGCCCTTGCTAGAAAAGAACGCCATTTTTGAGCTGTTAGACCCGCGGTTAAGGAGCTGCTATTCGAATCAAGAGGTTTGTAACATGCTGCAATGTGCTTTCTTGTGCATCAGGAAAGACCCTCATTCCAGGCCTCGCATGTCCCAGGTATGAATTGATGTCATGTCACCTCACTCACTGCATCTTCATTTTTGCCTGAGAACCATTGAAAATTTCTTGTCCATTTGGTTCCTACAGGTGCTTCGGATTTTGGAAGGCAATGACATCCCCGCAAATTCAACAAAGCATTCTTGAAGGAAGGAGGCATTGTGAGAACAATCTGTAGACGATCCACACGATAGCTATACATTTTTGTTCCAAAAGAACAAAAGAAAGGTATTGTTATACATTCTAGTTGATTAGTTTCTGTTGTAACGTGTAGTTGTAAGAGAGGTAGATATGTCTGTCGTCAATTCCTTACGAGTTACAAGTTTACAACCATATGAATGAAGTTGATGAAATTTCATTCCATTCCTCCAGTCCTCACTCGTGTTGTTGCTACGTCAAATTGAATATCTGGAGATTTTGTAGACATATGACATCGTCCTGTTAATTATAGACACATTTTTCGTGAAGTCAACATGGTTGCTCATGCTTTAACCATCGTCTTGATCATACACGTATCTGGTGTGCTCGGTAGTAAGTAACTATGGGAAGGGACCGGGATGGGCCTGCTTAAAACCAGGTTATCCATAATTCATACGTTTTCATATTATTATGGTATTCATTTTTTGGATTTAAATTGGAATACCCTGATTTCGATCCGATTCATTGATCACAAGGGGTGATCCTCTGCCTCTGCTATGAAGTCACCTAATGAGTTTTTCTACATGTTTGTTGGTAAAATTACCCACCGCCTGAGAATATTATTTTAAGGAATCATTAGCTGGTTTTCCATTATTTAATATAAACGTAAAAGATCAAATCCGAGCCATAATAAAAAACAGAGGGGAAATTGTTAAACACTACTGTTCAATACTCATATACAAAACATATCAGAATTTCGAAAAGAAGAGAAGGCAACGGCTCAAAATCATTACTTGCTTGCTTCCAAATCACCAGAGATATAACGCAGATTACTGTAAACAGCCAGACGACCGACATCTCTAATCCGGCTGATAAGAGCTTCAGGGGATGAAAAACATCTAGCAAAAACAGTTAAACAGTAGTGTATTATTGCCTTACTATTTATCTTTTTGCTTTTTCATTTTTACTTCTGTAAGTGAGATGACAATAAAACATTCACGTTAAATGTTAGCAATTGCGGCTTCTAGGAACAAATTTTCGTCTATGAAATTCCTCCTGCACAAGATTGTAGAGATTAGAACAGGATGAAAAGTGTGAGTTTCTTCTAACATCAAACACAAGCTTAAACCACCGCATCAAAGTGTTGAAACTAGCAAGTCCTGCAACACAACCACATAGAATGCTTCAAAAACATAAATGACAAGAGTTTAATAACCATGACTTGTTATAAGAAAAAAATCACAGAGACTGCCTACAATACACCACTGATATATATATATATATATATATATAGATTACACATTTTCTAAGTTACAGTGTTTGTCAACTCGCAGTATACTCAACTTAAATCACTCAAACCAACTATGCAATACACTTGCTTCATTTTTTTTGGGGTCAAATTTGTAGATAATTGACTAAATGCTCATCTTCTAAAGTTTCATTAAAAGTTTCCATATTTTTATCACAATTTCCATCGTTTTTATACAATTCTTACCAACATCAATACTTTCCCGATATTTCCATGTTTTTTGACCACCGATATATCCGAAACTCCCGATATTTAAGACCTTGGTCTCAACCTTTTGAAACCTAAACATGTTACTGATGTCAATTCTGCCATAAGAATAAAATTTTATGGGGACTACTTCAATTAAAATGGACAAGGGCTGTTATTTGGTGCACTGAGCCTTGACTTACTAAAATGAAACACTTGTATAAAACAAAGATAGCACTATTTTGTTATCCCGGTCACGACATGATGTCGTAAATTTTTTACGAGACTCTCTTTGGAGCCACCCGTGTTCTTATTGAAAAAACACAACAAAAAAGGTGAATTTGGTGTATTATTGGCGGTAATTATAGTGCGAATGTGGTAAAAATTGGGCCAAAAAAAGTGTGAGAAGCTATAAGCCCGGGAAAGGACTGAAAGGAAAACCAGAGTATGGGTCTGAGTGAGACCACGGGACGAACACCATGTGTGCGCTGGTGAAAGTTGGCAGCAAGCGCTTAAGCTCTGTGCTGAGCAGCCTCAACTCTCTTTCCCTGCGTCGCTTCTGCAGCACACTTGCCCCTGGCTCCATTCATCCCACAGCAATCGTTCACCCCAATGCCGTTTTGGGTCAGGTACTTCATTTGCTCCTCCTCACAATTCTCAACTAAAATAGCTACTTACTGATGAAACTGATAGTGTGGTTTTGGCTGTGGTGTTTTTGCGATCAGGGTGTTTCAATTGGTCCCTTTTGTACTGTTGGGTCGACCGTGAAGGTTGGAAATGGCTGCCAATTATACCCGGGAAGCCATATATTCGGAAATTCAGAAGTTGGGGAGCGTTGTGTTTTGATGACGTGAGTTTTGAATACATATAAATTGTTGAAAAGTTGATAAAGGTTTCACTTTTGATTTCAAGTTTTGAACTTTGCATTGTGGTACAAAATTTGTCAGGCAGTGGCGCCGTTGTTGGTGATGATCTTCCAGGCCGAACTTTGCTGGGATGTAATAATATTATTGGACACCATGCTGTGGTTGGTGTCAAATGCCAAGACTTGGAGTACAAGGTCAGTTTCAATGTTTCATTTATGTAACAAAGTCAGCAGGATACACAAAATTTTCATGACCAAATTCCCTAGTTAGTGTTTGTTTTATGATTTAGTCAGGGGATGAATGTTTCCTTGAGGTTGGGGACAACAATGACATCAGGGAGCATACATCAATCCACCGGTCTTCGAAGTCGAGTGATACAACAGTATGTGGATATGATAATTACTTTTTCATTTGTACTTGTGTGTCTTGTGTTAAGTTTCATGCTCTGATACTAGTGTTCTGTGATCAGGTTATTGGGAATAATAATCTTATCATGGGTTCTTGTCATATTGCCCACGATTGCAAGATTGGAAACAACATCATTTTTGCAAATAATACCCTTTTAGCAGGCCATGTTGTGGTGGAAGTAAGCCCTTACGCTTTATTTGGATTGTGAGATTTCAAATTTCAGGATAGTGGTTGATGTTTTGTAGAAAGATATTTTCTTTCACTCCAAGAAATATATTTGAGATGTCCGTTATATTTTTTCAAATCAACAATGTTACATTCTATCTTTGCATTTCAAATCCCTTCTCTTTGCATTTCATATGTAATTTATATACGTCTATCCTACTTGCTGTATCTGATATATAGTCGTGTTTCAAATGTAGGATTATGCTCACACTGCAGGGGCTGTAGTTGTTCACCAGTTCTGCCATGTTGGTTCTTTCTCTTTTATTGGTGGTGGCTCCGTGGTATGACATGATCTTACTCTTTACCGTCTGTCATTATACACTATAATTTCAATAGCTTATGTATCAAGGGAACCTGCACAATTTCTCTTGTCTATTTATGAGTGTAAGCCATGAATTAACTATACATTTCCCACTGTGCAATATTGATTTTACATTCTTATTTTATTTGCCTGAAGATTGCACAGGATGTTCCAAAGTACATGATGGTTGCAGGAGAAAGAGCTGAACTTCGTGGTTTAAATCTTGAGGGTCTACGACGTCATGGTTTCACAGCCCAAGAGGTTTGCGTTAAATTTTTTTATAGTTGCACTTTCTACTTCCTTATGTTAAATTGAATGTCTAAAAGAGCTTTTATTCCTCTGGGCAAGGATCTAGATTAGAAGCCTGCGAACAGCTTACCAAAAAGTATTCATGCCTGCTGAAATTTCCAAGGGTTTCGATGAACGTCTGGCTGACATGGTATCATATTCAACCATATCCCTCACCCTCTCCATGATATAATTTTAAGTCGTTGGTCAATGGCATTAAATTCATTTTGCAGGAGATGCATGATGAATTGGCTCATATATCTGTAGTTTGTTCCATGGTGCAATCTATCCGTGACTCTTTTGAAGGAAAACGACGTGGAATATGTAAATTCAGACATTGGAATGGCTCTTAAAAACATGCAATAGGTCAGTTTCTTTATTCCACAAAACTGTTATTCTATTTTCAGAATCAAGTACGAGAACTCTTAACAGAAAATTAAAGGTGTAGAACATCCTCTCTTTCCCCCCCCAATATGAATGGTATCTAATTATATATATAATCTAAATCCAAAAGCTGACATACCATATTTTACCAATATCCATATCCAAGCTTCCTAGGTACAGAAAGAGAGATTTCCCTATGAATTGTTGTAGTTAATGTGGTTTTTATTTCTTCTTTTTGCTGTGATCTAACTGCTATTGTCTTTACAAAATGGCTGAGCATGTGGACTAATTTGTTGTATGAAGACCTTACCAGGCGGTTCGTTGTGTTGTAATGAAGATTTTATATTGGGCCAGTTCTCGTTGTTTGATAAAAGAATACTTTGGTGAAAGGATGTAATACAGAGAGAAGTTGCAGATGCATAACGTAGTGTGTAGAAGTATTAATCTTTTCAACTTGTGGGTTGTTTCAAGGAAAATACTTGTGCAATGTCTTTGAAGTTAGAAACAAACATTTTTTAAGTTTTGTGCTTCTTGATAATGTTGACCTTGAAGCACATGCTATTTATACAAGCAGAATGAACCTCTCCAAATTCAGAGAAAATCCTAGGAATTTGATGGTTCTGGGTTTTCAGTTACATGATGGATTTTTTTATTTCTTATTTGTCCTCTGTGATTACCTGAATAATGTATTAACTGAGGTATTCTAGAAGTTTGCTTCTTCGAAAAGCAAATCAATAAAATATATATGTTACAAGGCAATCTTTGAAATTTTCTTTGTTCTCAAAGTCCATTGGTTTCCTTCTTCATTTGAATGTTTAGAATGGCAATGAATCAATTCAAGGTCACTAAATGGCATAATGACTTTGATTTAAAAACTGTTGTTCTTTGTTCAAGCTTGTGATACCTTTGACTACATAATTGGTTGCTTCAGGGACTGAAACAAATCAGAGAATTTTCCAACTATTGAATACTTTTCTTCATATCTTATACTGGGGGGCATGTATATCTACTGTAAGATATGAACAAGATTTCATATACAGGGCAAATTAATAATTAGCTACTCCGCACTATGCACCCGAGTTCGAATCTCCCTCCTCGTAGTTTAGATTAGTTTAAAGTATAATATCGCTTGTATAAAAAAAAACAAAAAAATTATAATTTTCTGATGTATAGGCTCCATATGAGCCATTCATTTTCAATTCCTGATACTCAATCCACCAGCTCAGGATAAATTCCTTGTGATTGTGATTAAAAGAAAAGCACTGATGAAATTGCTGACCAATTTAAATTGGCCACTCTATCAAGTACCAGGAGAATCATATGTGCTACAATTGACTTCAATTTTCAAAACCAGAGGCTTTGTTCAAAGAATGATAAAAACTTTTTTCAGTGCGGTCCAAATTGCTTTGATTTTCCAAGTTTCCTCATCTGCATAGTGAAGATTCTTTCTTAACTTTGACTTGGAAGCAATGACTTGAATGGCCGCACCTCTTTGTATTTTTAGAAAGACACTTATTTCTAGAATCAAATCTTATTTTATTGCAGCAACAAAAGTAAAAATAAAATAAAATAAAATAAAATTAAAAAAATAAAAATAAAAAATATTTTATGTGCAATAGAATTGACAGACGTTAAGTGCTGATGTTCTTTGGCCTACTGTTACAATCATTCCCTCCCCACAAATAAATAAAATAGACAACTGACAATAATATCACTTCTGTTGTGGCTGCTGATATGAGATTATTTTGAAGAAAAAAAGAAAAGAGCAGAAGAAAAAGAAAAGATGCTTAGTGCTTGTACATTGTATATTCCTCTACTTCATTTGCAGTTGTAGCTAATATTGGATGATGGCATATGATGTAATCTTTAGCACTAATGGAAGATTAATTATGTATATAATATGATAATGATATGAAAATGAGATATAAAGGCATTATGCTCTCAGTTCCTAATTAAAAAGATTAAAGAGCAGTTGAGATCTGGGTTTTGAATATGACCCATGTCAAAACCTTGTCCATTCTTTTAACTTTTTTTCCCATATTTGAACTTGAAATGTGTGTGCTACTTTTTTCCATCTTGCTTATCAGTGGATGCTAGCGTTTTACAACCTCCCATTCTCTTTTTCCTTTATGTTTTGGTTGGACTTTAGGGAAAGAACTAGACTCAAAAAGCAGTGCTATAATATATTTAAAACAAAAAATGAACTCATTTCAACTGTTGATTCATTATTCCCCTCGTTTGTTTCAACGATTATGATCATTTTACACCACATTAAGCGCGTGGACAACTGATCTAAAATTAAAGCAAAAACATCGATCATGGTCCGATACTATTGCTTCACTATACTCTACTTGTACTTCAACAATTGGTGCACCCTCTGGTTTGAAAGTTGATCATTCCCTTCTTTAGATGCAGTGGTTTTTTTAACTTGAGCAACTCAGGCTGATGGGTACACTTAATTATTTTATGGCCATTTATTTCTCCTAAAGTTGATGCCTTTTGGGTTTGTGTGGGAAGCAATTGTGGGCAGAAAAAGAATGATTTCTAATCAAATCTCTGTACCAGATTTAATATAATTATTGAACACAGGAACATGATTTAGCAAGACATATATGCTTTAATAATCAATCTGTACAACTTGGTACTTAAAATAAATATTCCCTCCGAGTCCTTTTCAGATGAAGCTGAGATCTCAAGCTCACCCCCATTCTTGCAGTTCTAGCTCATAGGCTAGTACAACCCTTTGACAAAAGGGGACAAGTATATCAATGCAATTAAGGGAATTTAATTATAATTACTATTTAATGACATAATATATTCAACTGTCAATTATAATTATCCTCTGGTTTCATACGAGGGAAGATTCGTTTCTATAATAATGCCAAATGCAAAATGCATAATAAAATAAATAAATAATTTGGAAGTGTTTCCTGGTTCAGACATAGAAAGGACTAAATAATTTTCAACTTGGGCTCCTGATATATTGGATTATTTTCTTTCTCCAACTTGCTTAAAATCTTAATTAACAAGATGGCCCCATGATTAACATTAAGTAAGACAAAAGTAGTTGCGTGAGAGATAAATATGTCTATCCAAGTTATTAATTATAGATATCTCATGACTCTCTCTCTAGATTTTGAAGTACTCGTGTATTACTTTACCAATAGGGGAAAGGGAATATACTATTCTTCTCCTTTAATCAAACTGAGGGATTCTATATATTTTGTGCGACAATAATTATGGTAGACCTTAGCTAAAGTGATTAGCCATAAATTGTGCATATAAAATAATTTTATAAAAAAAATTAAGTGATACGAGTTATGTTATGAGATATAAAAAAGAATCAAGGATAAATAATTAGGTGAGACTTGATAATATATGATATAGATTGATAATCAACCGTCGAATAAAAACAAATTTACGTGCCAACAATATGGAAAATGGCCATGATGATGATGATGGTGATCATAGATTTTAAGCGATTTCGATTATTTCAATGTTTGATTAGATGGTGATCATGATCAAATCATTAATTTGTACATCAATCTATTTTGAGTATTAATTGGTCCACTGATTTGAAATGGACAATAATTTGGGCTTCCTTCCTTTGAAATTATTGGTATTAGGGGCATATAGTTGTTGACTTATGAGCAAGAGCCTAACATCCTCCTTAATTTTTGGTGGAACTAACTATGAAAGTACTGAAAAATATCATATAATGTTGAACTAATTTCGGCTAACATTATTCTGTTTTCTTTTTTGCCCTTTTTGGTTGTCTTAGAATGATAAGGTATGTTGTTTCTATGAGTTTCCTAAGAAAGTGCAACTTATGGGTTGATCAATGTATAAACTTTCAAAGTAGTCTTCCCTTTCTTAGATATTTCTCACCCACCTACTTCCAAGATATTGGAAAAGTTCATTCACCTTTCTCTTTCTCTTCTCTTTCACGGTACACACCGTATTCAAAGGAAATACATAAAAAAACTCATTATGTACACACTGATTTAAATGTGAATATAATTATTAACTAGCTTTTAGTCTAGTGATATATTTCGCTCTACGGTGATTAAAAAAAAGGATACGAACATATAGCTACCTGCGATTTATCTTCTTATATATGAAAGTAGTAAGTAATTGGTGTTTAATAAAAAAGAAAAAAGAAAAAACACAAAAAGCTGAATAGTTTGCTAGAGGGTCCCCTACTCATCAATATTTGTACGTACGTAGTATATATGCCTACAAACTCCAGAGGACAAAAAGTATCCTGTACAAGATAAGATTTATAATTTGCATAAAGGGAGGCAGAGAGAGGTAGGTAGTTATACAAGTTTTGTTAATATGTTTAGAACCCAACTTGGAAAAAAAATCCATCAATAAATAAATATCCATCCAATCATCTTCTCTTGGTGTGCATCCATTTTCATAAACCCCACCCTCACCCCCCTCCCCCATCATCTTATATACCACCAAAACACTTTACTTATTCTCCCTCTCTCCTCTCTGTCTTTCTCTCTCTGTGTGTGTGTCTCTCTCTCTCTGAGTTTTGGACTTGTTATTATTTGGAGAATTAAGTGGAGGGAAGGCACTTAATAATATTATCATTGTTCTTGTCTGGGTGAAAATGGGCAGAAAGTGCTCACATTGTGGAAACATAGGCCACAATTCAAGGACCTGCACGAATTTCAGAGGGACTGGTACAAGTTTTAGTGTTGGTCATGTTGGGGTTAGGCTCTTTGGTGTCCAACTTCATCATCATGATCATCATCATCTCATGATGCCTTCATCATCTAATATGAATCATCATGTTGCCATGTCCATGAAGAAAAGTTTCAGCATGGATTGCTTGCCCACGTCATCGGCCTCATCGTCCTCCCCATCTTCTTCAAGAATTTCTGTGGATGAGAATTCTATTCAGGATAAAGCATCCATCGGCTATCTCTCTGATGGCCTCATATGCCGAGCCCAAGAGAGGAAAAAGGGTCAGTTCCCATTTAATCATTTCTTTCTTCTTCTTCTTCTTCTTATTTTGAAAGGAAAATAAAAACTTCAACATGAAGGGATATTTTACTTCAATTTCTTCTGTGTATTCAGTTTCTATAGCACATTTTCTGCACAAATTAGTCACCCATTTATTTTTTGCTTAACATACATGTAAATGTTTATTATATATATTGATCTTATTTTCATGCATATGTTATTAGGAGTTCCATGGACAGAAGAGGAGCACCGGACGTTTCTAATCGGTCTCGAGAAGCTTGGAAAGGGTGACTGGAGAGGCATCTCTAGGAACTATGTGACCACAAGAACCCCAACCCAAGTTGCCAGCCATGCTCAGAAGTACTTTCTCAGGCAAGCAACCCTCACCAAGAAGAAACGACGTTCTAGCCTCTTCGACATGGTATATAAATTAATATACATATATGTTTAAAAATCTCCCCCTCTTAATTAAAATTTATGTATGGATTGAATTTTAATTTTGTGCTCAAAATTCACTTATGTTCATATATGTGACAGTTTGGGAGGAGCAACAACATCAATCTGTCGTCTGGTCATCCTGCCAATACCAACACCTCTCATTATAAGCAGCCATTAAGCAATGATCATCAAGTTCTTCCTCCTCAACATAACAATATTATTCATGACAATTCTGGTGCCACGCTGCCTCTGCTTGAACTTGTCACCTCCGTAGCAGCTCAAAATCCAAACTTAGATAATCGAAAACCGGATCACTGCAGTGCTAATCAGCAGCTGCCGGTTTGGATTTACGGGTTGATCGATTCCCAGATGAAATATTCATCAAACATTGCTGCCTCAAAACCAGCTTCATCAGCATCAGTTGTACCGGATCTAGAGCTCAAGCTTGCGGTGCCAACTAGTCCTAGTTTGGAACAAAAAAATAAATCTTCCCCATCCCCTGCAGGTCCCCTTCTTAATCTTGGACCAATTAGTGTTACATGAAAAAAAAAATTAGTCGATGGATTGGGGATGCATTATAGAAATGATGATGATTTTGACTTTAACCCAATTAAGCAGCTGAGGAGGGAGAAGGATCTCAAGGAGAATTCATGGGCCACTTTTACTTTAATTATAGTTAGTATATGTCTTAATTATATATTTAACGTTCTCTTCTTTTCCCTTCCCTTTTCCTCTTCCTTTGAATAAACGAGGATGTATCCATAATCCATGCATGAAAACTTATTATGGAAGTGCTTGGTGCTTAACTTGTTTGGAATTAATTAAAAATTATTCTACTTTATGCTAACTATATGTAGTTAACCAGTTTCATTGGTTGCTAGCTAACAATTATTGGCAGTGATATTATCTCTAAAATATATATAATCCAAAGCGATAATCAATTCGGGAAAAGGGCTTTCCACAGATAGGCGCATTTCAATATTGAATACCTAACCATTGTTGGGTCTTCTCACTAGGTTTATTTTAATCCAGGTCCTTATTTATGGTATTGATTTGCAAATTAAAATAACACACAGCATTTTCAAGATTGCTCTTCGTAATAAATAAAGAAAGCTTGATATCTTTGTGCCAGTCTGGCTAATGGTAATTAAGGAACAGAAATCCTTGCACAAAAGCAGATGCAAAACACAAACAAACACATGATTAATCTGCACCAATGATTTGATGACAAATGTGAAGGTTTCTTTAATGTATGAATACAGTTTTGTTGTATGTTTGATGATATAAGTACGTACGAGTGACAACTGTCGAAAAGAATACCAGAGACAGGCAGGGAAAGAAAAGAAAAGAAGAGAAAAACGTGCATGGCAGCATGAGAAAGCTAGCTTTTTTGGAAGATTGCTTTGCTGCTTGAAAATATATATATTGGTTTGTCGTCGTATTATTTCCATAAGCGTAGCTTCTCTTTTCTCCATTTCCATCGTAGCCAAAAACAACTAGCTATACATAGTTAATATCTTTGAGTGCCGACAGGGTTTGAATTCTTATGACACTTTGATAGTGTGTATGTGAGAAACTTCCTTCTCAGTTGTAGTTTAGACTAATCGCTTGTATTTAAAAATGAAAAAAATCATGTATGTCCAGGTCTTTGCTCAACAACACCACAGCTTGACTCTCTTACATTCTGTAATTTCCAAGTAATTTCATCCCTATAATTTACTGTCGGTTCCATCCCAAAAAGTTCTTAACTTTTTAAAGTCAATTTAATGTAATAGTGAGGAAATTAATTGATGCACAAGAAAAAAAAAATTCAATATGCAGCAAAACACTAGCTAGGAAACAGAAAGAAAAAAGATCTGGAAACCGTGGACTGGTGACCAGGATACAAGTAATTAACTACCATTTTCATAAGTTTGACTACAATATTCCCAATACTCAAGACTTTTTGTGGAAGTTTGAATGTTTCAAAAGTCTAACCAGAGCCTTAGTAAACACTTCAATTCCTTGACCACAATTGATAATTCCCCAATCTTGTTTTATCTTTCTAGGGTTGTTTTTTCCCTTGTCTTGAAGGGCATCTAGGACAATCTATGATTTGGAGAGTACCTCAAGAAAATCCATATCCCTATAACATTAGAACGACAGAGTTATTAGTTCACCAAATAAAAGAAGACAAAAAAATTTCATTAATTTTGTGTGACCACACAGCTGACACATCTGTATGCTTTTCTATCGTTTTTAAGATAAGGAAGAAATGAAGCTAGTCCACATGTTCACAAGAAAACACAATGTCACATTCTAGGGCTTTCATGTCTAGCTAGCTCGGAGTAGGCAGGGACATGGTTCATCGGTAGGAGAAAGACTTCTATGAAATATGGATAATATTATTTTGTTATTTTCGACCAATAATACATGATACGCATGATAATATTTCTATGTGACATAATATTATTGGTCGGGAATAGCAAAACTGTGATATCCCCTTTGCAACTAAGTTTCTTTGCTATCCCCATTGCAACTAAGTTTTTCTCTAGGGGAGGGTTCTCTTTGAGTATGCTAAATTTACAAGCCAACCCCCCAACCAAAAATAGAAAGAAGTTTCATTGCAATCTTCTTTCCTTGCCTACATGAGAAAAACTTATCTACATCGAAGATGCTGCTGTGACAATATTCTAATCCAATCACACATGATCATATATTAACCTTCTTGCAATGTAGTGCATGATTGGCTTGAAATATTGTCATATTAACATCCCGTTAATTGAAATTAAGTACTTCTCCCTCCTGATGGGAAACTGATGTAGAATACATGGTTGAGTTGATCGAGGAAAAGCTGGATAGGTACGCAACATCGTCGCGGCAACAAAGCCCAATATGCGCAAATATAGGTCATGAGCTCAGAATCAGGCTCATGACCTGTCGTTTTGAAGAGAACAAGGTGACGAGTGCAACTCACCACTTTGTTGTGATATATGAGCTATATGTTAGCTAAATTTTATCATTTACTTTGACTTTTCAGCCTTTAAAGTTTTAGAATATTTTAGGGAATTTTGTTTATTTCTTTTTCGCTTTCTAATTAGTTTTCCTAACAAGCCTAGGGTTTTCTTTGTATAAAAGGAATGCGTTAGAGCGTCCTGAAGAATCATCTTATTTTCAGTTTGTTGGTGAACTCCGACGTGCTATTTTAGGGTAATCGGTCAATGTCCCTATTCCACTATATCCCTTCCTAATAGTGGAGTTGAAATAATAGCACTAACCATGTGCTTGGAAATTCTTCGATCCTTGTGTCTGTCTGTACGTATTTGTTTTTCTTGATTTAATACTATCTGTCACATTTATTATCACTTTTAAATTACAGAGACATTCAACCAACTTGCTATGTCTTCTTTAATACCCGTAACTATCTGTGTGTGGTGTCAAATTGTTTGGAAAAACCTTTACTCAATCAAAACAAAATCCACATATCCACTTTCATGTTCACATGAATCTTGTGGAGGATACAAGTTTGTTTCTTCCAGCAAGCAGACACAAATCCCATTTATCTTTTCCCTTGTTTCAAATCTGTACAAACATGCATACACATTTCTGTCATGAATCATAATGCTGCATGCGTAAAAAGCATTGCCATCACCCTCATTGGAGCCCTGTCTTAATAACATTTTTTATTTATTTCAGCTAATCTCAGTTTGTTTAATTACTAATCTGGCTTTGAACCATATTTAGTAAACTAATGATATGTGGTAGCCTGGTAGGTCATCCCCCATAATATAGTAAAGAAATGAAGAAAAAGAAAAATATATTCTTGTCAGCAGCAACTAGCAAGCAAGGTTTATTTATAGCCATAGGCAGGCACCACCGAGGGACATAAGCATTCTGTAGCCGCATCATGTTTGCAAAAGCTAAAAAGTATTACATGTACTGTGTACATATATATATATATATTAGTGAGTGCATACTTAATGTTAATTATGTCATGTGATGGTGACCGGCCTCTTAATTTAATTAAGAACTAATTGTAAATTAAGACTGAGTTACTAAACTAGTGAACAATCTTTGTCAGTAAAACGTGGATTAACCAACTATTTTAGTTAGCTGACGGAGAATTTGCCTTGATTTTTTCTCATTAGTCGTTTCGTCATTTGTTTTCTTCCTGAAACCAGTTCACCCTCTAACCATTTTCACTTTATTAATTGTAGTTATCAACTGGGTTAAACTGTATGTTTCCTTGTGGTTCTGCCTATTTTCACTTTCAACCTTAACATCAAAGATGACTTCTGATGATCATGTAGGTTTTTTTATTTGTTTTTTAATAATTTATATGGCAGCCTTGCCTGACTTCCACTTCCATGGTAATTTAACAGATGAAATGATCTGTAACTATCACCGCTGGATTGATTATATTCTCTTTAACGTGTTAAAAGAGCAATGGCCGACAACTTCCAAAGATATATTTGGATATTATTTCATGCAATCAATAGAGTTTGCCTCAATTTTCTTTTAAAGTAATTATTGTTACTGTAATATGATGATCCCAAGTCAAATTAGGTAGGGAGCACCATGTTCTAGTGACAAACAGCCAAGATGAAATTGCATCTTCCCTAAAAAAGAACCAAGTTTAAGAAAGAAAAAGAAAACTGTGGTACCATTATAAGAACAAATACATGATACATTGAGTTTGGGAACATCGCTGATTCTAAACTAGGGAAGAAAAACAAAATTGTCAACCTCAGGAGGAGAAGGGGGGAGAGGAAATTATTTACATTACAAAATGGACACTATTTCACAAAGAACAAAATTTTCTGGCTCGGTATCTCCAGCATGCTCTGTTTTTCTCGGTCGCAGTTGGCATGAGGATTCACTATTTTCTTAATCATTCAGATGCATGGAAAGTAGGTAACAATTTGAGGAGCTTTACAGTTTAGAAACTTTTCAACCAGTCGACCTCCTTTGCACTCTTAAATACCTCTCCTCCAGAGTATAACAACCCCATAAGGTAAAGGCTAAAAATTGCATTTTTCTGGTTCATGCTTTGTTTAATGTCATGAATCATGAGAGCCTTGGACCATCATAGCAACACGCTTAGCACTGTCTGAGCGATAGCTTTCTCCTTTAAATCCAATCTGGGAGGAGAAACCATATTCAAGATATTTCAAAACACTAGCTCCAACAAGAACTATGCAAAACTCTAAACTGACACCTTTTTGTATGGTGAAAATTTAACGAGTAAATGTGCAAGTGCCGATCATTACCACAGTTGGGTTATCAGGGGAAAACCACCGCAACAACACACCAAGATGAACAACAGCTGGAATCATCTTGAAAAGCAATGGCGTAGTGACCTGCACCATTAGATTACAAAAATATATATCCCTTTAAACAGGCCATGTTTTCAAACTGAGCTGCAATTAACATTTCAGTAGATGCCGCACATACCAGACTGAGAGCTGTTGTGCCTAGAAGCAACAGATATAATTTACCCTGCAATAGTGATAAACCTTCAGTTACAAAGTCAGGTTATTTTAAACTTGAGTTAAGTCCCTAGATTAGCTGGGGTTTGCAAAGAGATTTAAGTTTTATAAAATTCCTTGGTAATTTTACAGGTGAAGACGCACTCACCTCAACCAGATGAAGATTAGAAGCACGGCTTAGAAGAACAAAAGAAAATTCTCCAATTTGTGCCAGAGACATCCCAACCTACGCATATGGGATAACCTAAGGCCCCTCCGTCAATAAAATGTACGAAATAGTATAAATGCATGTAAAACTGTGTTAGCAGTTTGCTGAAATCTTACAAGAAGGCAAGTCTTGTTATTGTATCCAAATCCCTTGACCACACTGGCAACTACTATAGTTTTTATAATGATGACCAATATAACAGCTGCTAATAAAATATCAACATGATTCCAAAGGAAATGAACATGTATTAACATCCCAATGCTGGCGAGAAAAAGAGCAGCAAAGAAATTACGAATGGGCTCAACCTGAAAGACAAAGAATCCCCCCAAATAAGAGCAGAAACACAAGTAAAGATAATAATCTTGAATTCAAATGTCATGATAATTGATAAGAAAATTCAATAGTATGTACCAAGACAAGTTAAATGAAAAAGCCGCACATTCCTAGAATCATCAATCATAAAAAGGGAAAACAACTTGTAAAGCCTGTATCAGGCACCCCACAATTCTGAAGTACATAATGAACAAAAGATATCTTACTTGTTCTAGTGTATGCTGACCAAGATCAGTTGTTGATATCATCACTCCAGCCGCAAAGGAACCCAGTTCAAGGCTTAAACCCAGCTTATCACTACACTGAAATGACATTTAAAAAAAAAGCATATTATATCAATCCTTTCAGACAGTCATTAGATAGACATGTGTGAGTATGGAAGCAAGTGCTGTAGACCTCTGGGGAAAATGTTTAGGGGGTAGGCATCAACTAACAAATATGTAACCCCTAATCCCCCTACTTCCCCTTTTCTTTGTTGATGACGCAAGTAATTTGCTCAAAACAATGGCAAGATGGTCTGTTTATCTTACTTGTGCATATTAACTGGAATGAGTCTGTCCTTCTAAAATGGAAGATTTAAAAGATAGGAAATGAGACATACCCAAGCAACAAGTAAGCAGAATGCCACTGATGCCAATTGATAGAGTTCATTAGTCTGCACACAGTAATTGTTCAGCCAAAACAATCTCTAAAATTAAAGCATCAGACTGCATTAAAATTAAAGATTTATCAATACCTGAGAAGATAGGCTTATCATAAGCTTAAGGAACCATGGTACACAAGTACGTGATAATATGGACAAGGTGGCCAAAAATATAAGCAACACCACCAACCTGTAATAATGGACTAGTATGTGAAAAGAGACATGTGGCACTAATAGACACTCAAAACAGGTAAAATAGAATTAATTGCAATATCACTAGAGAAACAGAGCAGTTAAGAGTTTCCTAGATGTGCCAAAGACTAACTATGCTGTTTTTGGCTTTCCACAGCTGAGTAATGGGAACTACATAAGTGTGTAGAAATGACCCTGCTTACAACCTACCCAACCACTTGAATATCCCAAATAAAGCATAAGCTTAGAAAGCAATATAAATTTCTCAGTTATTTCATCTACATAATCTTAAGTTATATTGCTAATTTAACAATGACAGATGAACTGTTGTTGTGATAAGTAAATAATGACAGATTAACTTTCTGTTGCACACTCAAGGATAAAGTATCCAGCCTTTATTCGACCAAAAGAGTATCAGGCCTTTAAATTGCTAACTCAGGTCTGCCACCAGCTCTTTAAGCCCGATTGCATCCTCTCTCTTTTCCCCGTTTTGGTGCTGTTGTGAATTTTTGCTAAAATGTGTTGATTTGTTTATGCTTTACATGAAAGTCATTTCAAACTAAACGTTTGGATGAACTCATATGATAGGATGACCTTTCATAACCTTTACTTACGATTTAGTCATGGATATTACTCCTTGAAGAATACCAGAACTCCCACCCAGAACTGGAAGCAGAGCAAATAGCAAACCCACAGCACAGTCCTAGTAGGTCACACAAGTTTAAATAAGTGAGAAATCATAAACCTGAATCTTCAATCATTGTTTAAATACAGAAACTTATCAGTGATAGATGCTTTAAAGTGAGAAATTGTGGTATCACATACCTGCAGTATAAGAGTGCCAACCACAACTTGACCATGAAGAGCACTAATACTATTTCTTTCCATCAAGAATTTCAAAACCTGCAGACCAAAAAGGATGAAACAATACATAATCTAAGATGTGGTACAGGAAGATCAAGTTTCAAGAATACATGAAAACAAATGAGATTTGACTAAAGGAGAGGTAGGCAAGCTTGTTTTCTGGTATCACCACTTAGATACTTATTGCACCAACTAGTCCATCCAATTGCATATCAACGCCTCATATTGAATAAGAACACAAATAAAATTCTATGCATACTATGCAAACAATTGTAAAGCGGTGCTAAGGTCAGGTTAACATCAGATGAAGACACCCACAACCCATTTGCAAGAATTATTAAATTGGTCATGAATCCATATACTTCCCCCAGGTAAAAACATAAGTGGTACAAGAGAAAATATATAGAGATATCAGGGCAAAGAGAGTCACCACTGCTGTTGAAGACATAGAAAGAAATGCACCAACGAATACCCCTTCAGAAGGTCTCCCGCCACATAACTAGAAATAGCATGCAGAAGTCACGTTAGAAATCCATTGAACACACAGATATAAGTGGAAAGAAAGATAGTAGAAACAATTATGACATGGAGTCATAAAAAAGAAAGCAAGAGAACCAAAATGTTTTGAAGTATAATACTAATTTACAATTGTCTCTTAGAGCAAAATAGCTAGGCTTAGTCCAGCCTGACTACCATGTGGTGCACATGGTATAATTCCATAGCCCCAGAAACACATAACTACCTCAAATACCCAGTCCAAGGTATGAAAATTGGAAACTCCAATTGGGTAACAAGTCCTTTTGAAGTATTTTTTTTTCACAATATATATGTAACACAAAATGTTGATTAAAATGCGGACATACTGAGGCTGTTATTCCACACAAGCACATAAACAGGAAAATTTGCAGTAGACCTCCCAGAACAGCCACTATTCGAACAACCCGAAGCTGCAAACTTGAAAAGGAATGAGTAGTATCATGGCCTAAATTAACAGACAAACAAAACTCAGAAGGAATACTGCAACATTAAATTTACAAGCCAACCTTAGTAGCCGAGAATTCCAAGCCCAAAGCAAAAAGAAGAAAGATCACCCCAAACTGAGCCACTGTCTCAACCTACATGCATGTAATTTAATAAGGAAATGGAAGTAATGTGTATGAAGATAATTTAATATCATATGACAACATACTTGCACCATTTCACTGACAAAACTTAAGCCCCCAGGTCCGATGACAGATCCTGCTAGCAAATATCCAGTAATAACCTGCAAAAATTCATAATGTAGTGAGTGATGACTTTTAGGACAATACGTGGATCTAAAGGCAAAGAAAGACTTAGTATATAGATGCCAGGACTTAGTTCAGAAGATAATTCCCAATCTTCAAATAGAAATTCATTATAAAAGAAAGCGAAGAGCTATGATAGTGGACTGACTGGTTGTCCAGCACAGGCAAAGGCAATTCCACCACAAGTTGCAGAGACAATGACAACTACAAGATCCGAAATCAATCTGAACATATGAAGAGGATATATCAGCCAAAAGTTTCAGTGGCTCATAAATGAAATGGAAATAATAATAAAGGAAACATAAGCTGACCTCAAGTCCAATTGCAGCACAGGATATTTTGACTTGCGATTAGACATAATAAAGACATTGTCCTGATAAAATAAAAATAAAACTTTCAGCATGCTGAAAAGTATCAGCTTCAAGCACAAGACAGTGTATATATTATCCAAAACAGCAGTATGTTATCGTCACCATAGAATTGTTATGTGCGTTACATTAATGTACTTTTATCCACTTAAACTTTATCAGTTACCTATCTATATTACAATAATATAAATGAATCGTGAACTCAATAAATTATCCAATGACAGATGGCAGGCATACCTTCCGATCTATTAAAGTTGGCATATCTTCTTCTCCATTCTCATTATCCAGATGGAAAACATCCTGAAACTGAAATGACCTAACATAAAGGTCACAAAGATGTTAGCGAACTCACTTAAAGTATTCCTATTCCAATTACAACCACTTCCATAAATTGAAGTCAAACATATTTGATCTTCAGTTCACAAGATAGAAGAACATACTTCTCCTCCTTGCTGTCATTTTTCTTGGACTTAACTCTAGCAACGGTTTCCAGAACTGCCTAATAAACAAACAGTTAAGCTTTCAATCTCGGGCCAAGGATTATGCAAAATCACTCATATATAAAAGTGAATAAATGATATACAATCAAGTTGGATCAGATTAGCCTTGATCCATGTTTAATGTGTTAAGCTGAAAAATTCAAATCCTAATCTGATAATCCTATCAAATCATCACCCTTGTCCAGTTAATCTAATAAGATACAGATGAATTATATGAGAACCTGATTTGTTGACAGGCCTAGATAGACTCTTCAAGCCATATCCAACAGAAGAAATGTTGGAGTGATAAAGTCTACATAAATAGCATCCACCATAAACTTTTTTTTTCCTTTGATCAATCTAAAGAATTTTCTTTTATTGGTAGCTAAGATTAAAATGCGTCAAAGGTGTTAACTTCTAAATCTCCATAAGAAATAAGTTTATCTATGGTTTCTTTTCGACCAACTAAATGCCTAAATAAACTTCTAGGTGATTATCATCCAGTTACAAACTTACAGCCCATTTACCTTGATTAAGAGAATGAAAATATCAAACACATGTTTAAAAAAAGAAAAAAAATGCAGCAATTCTTAAGCTCTGTTTGTTTTTCTCACACTCGCCTAACTCGAACACCAGCAAAATTACTTAAAAATCGCAAATTTCAGAGCATGTGAGTGCCTACCTGCTGTTCATTAACGCTATTATTGAAGCCACCAGCATCCGTGGCTGCACAAGAAGACACAATTTAGACCAATCATCTACTGTCATTAATTGCTTCAAATTTTCCACAGGAGACAAACAATGACAAAATCAACTTAGCAGCCGAATTAAATTCCATATTTTTCATCACCAAACAGACGATTTAACAATGCATGCAACGCCAAACATGAAATTAAGGCCGTTAGGCATTCAGTTCGATCAGAGCAGCAATTGAAAGCCATTTATGGAAATTGCAAACCGAAGAATTGAAGCTCGGATCTAAAGAACCTTGATTTTGCTCATTCTCAGGGAACTCCCGCTCTAGAGCCCGATCAATCATGTCGGCGAAGCTGTCCTCCTCAGTGGATCTCCCGCGCGACGAGTTAATTGACTCAGCATTGGCCGCCTCCGCCACCGAGTTCGACTCGTTCGACTCGGCCGACCCGGTAGGAACAGCGACGAAAGAGCAGAGAAGAAGAAGAAGCAGCGCGAGAGCCGTAGACGATCGGAGCCTCATTGCAGAGGCGTGGTTGTGGAGTGTGCGTAGAGTGATCCCGGCGTAAGTTAGCAAAAAGGACCGTGCTTTTTCGCTGAGAGAGACCATCCACCAGGAGGGAAAAAAAATTCCGTTTAGTTGGAGTGGAGATGGAGGAGGTGATGGTGAAAGGACGAAAAGTCCTCCAGACGCAAAGGTGCGGGACTCTCAGATGTCGACTGTTGAGAGATAAGCTTAAATCCTACGCGCGAGCGCGTGTTTTCACTGCCAAAGCACGTGGAAATGCAATCTACGCTTGCAGCTGCCAGTGGGTAGTTAAACGGCGTTTCCCGCACCTCCTTGGGAGGGTGCAACTGTGGGGAGAGGATCCGGTGCGGTGACGGCGCATGAAAAGCCGATGCAGCTCCAACGGTCAATTCGTGCGTACGGTCACAAAATCTCTTTTCTTTTGCATGCGCGCCAGGGCGCGCGCACCCGCGGCAGCGGGCACGGGGTATTTATTTATTAATAAATCAAAACTTTCTTATATTTATTCAAGGAATTTCTTTGTTTATGTTGTACCAAAGGAAAGGGCTTTTTCACTTTTTATTTTGTTGGGTTGTTAAGCATGGGACTTGGAAGCACGTGTCACACGATAGATGCTAAAATTAGAGGTTAAGCAAAGGTCAATAATGATGAATTTGTGATTTTTTAGGAGGATGATTCATCAATTGATTGACATCTTCCCCAAATCATATTCAATAATGATGAATGTTTGTTGTTTGAGTCGGGCTCACATTTATTTGTGAATAATGACTTTTTTTAAGTGCAAAAACCTCCATTTTGGGGATACTGTGATGTTTTTTAGAATGTCCTAGTGCCCTTCATTTTGAAGTGTTTCTTGTCGCAAGATATCTGATTTGAGAAATTGTTTCTCTACCTTGATCTTCTTGAAGCACTGGTTGTTGCTAGAGTATGGGTCCTTATTTGTAACTCCAAGTGAGTTGGGTTTCAAGCTGTATATTTTATTCTCACCGTCTTGTAATGTTTGTGCCTATCTATTTATGTCTTTTAAAGTTTCTATGTTGCATGAACCTCCATTTAAGGTTGTGTTTTTTGTGTATGTATTCTGAATTTTTACCTAGCTTTCAATGAAAGTTATTGTTTACCAAAAACAATACCAGCTAAAAAAAGTTTATTAGCAAAATTGCAATTATTTTGATGTCCTCTATTTTCTCATGAAGAAGAACAAACAAATGGATAATAGGGATTGCCCAGCTAAGTAGAGGCACATATTTCCTTAATAAAAATAAAATTAAGAAAAAAGAAAGTAGAGGCTCACACACACAAGAAAGTCCAATGAGAGTGAAGCTCCTTTGGGCCACTGCATTTGGGATATTGGGCAAAAGCCCAAAGAGAAAAATGGGCTCATTAAGTGAACATTTGAACCACAAGAAAACCCAATTTCTTGTCCTCATTCATTTTCCTCTCCAGAACTCGAGGAAAACGACGACGCCTTCTGGTGTTATAGTAACCTTGTAGAACTACGACCGTTGGGAACGAGGGCTCTGAATCGTCGTCTACAACGCTGAATGGTGTTGGGATGCTGTGGCCTCTAATTTCGTTAGTCGCATGGGAACAGAACAGCCTTGTTAAGTTCTAAGGTAATTCTAATTCATCATATTTTGTAAAATTAATCTTCAATAGTTTGTGGGGCTCCGATTGTGCAGTCGCTAATTGCTGGGTTTGGTTCAAACTTCAATCCGATTGATAAATTATTTAGGAATTTAATTCAATGATGTTGAATTTTGAATATTAAAGTTGGAGTTTCAGAAAACTGTTCATATATCTCACTGCTATTAGGGTAATTACCCAACAAAGCATAGTGATGTTGATTGGTGTCTGTAATTTAGGGATGATGTTTTGCAGGAAAACAGGAAAGTAGAACCCTTTGGTTTTTTCTGGAAAGGATATTTAGATAAGCAGCAAATAAATGGCTAATTAGATGAAAAGTTCATGTAATTTTACCTGTGTTTTGTCCAATACAAGGATAGAAGAAGAAGGTAAGGTCATAAATTAATTAGAACATGATTTTATTTTTTTTGGTCATTCACTAGGGAGGAGGAAGGGGGAGTATTAATTTATATGGGGTTGCCACAAGATTTTCAACTACTTGAATTGATACCGGGTGCACTTTGGGGGAGGGGAGAGTTTGACCCACTTTTCCACTGCGGTGCCACCCATGTTCTTGAACTGAAATATTTAGGAAGTGGAATGTGGTATGTGAACAACTAAAAACTAGTTTTAGAAGTATCAGTTCTTCACAAGAAGTTATTCCCTAGGATAGTTTTCAGATTGACCTCTGGGCTCTGTTTTTATATGGTTTCTTTCCTTGACTAGTTGGAGGTGAAGTATTTGGCATCACTGTGTCAGCATAAATGCTGTCAACGAAAAGGAAAAAAGAACTGAAATAGTATCTTCAAATAACACAAACACTAGCATTGCAGCAAGGAAAGCATAAATCTAAGTTCTTGGATAAATTTAAGTTCTGGGGATGTTGAATCCTTTACATCTTGAGGCTTTTCTTACTGCGTTTTGCTCGAGTCATATTATGAAAATGAGCTGTAATACGTGGATCGTTTTCATTTCGGACCTTCATAACAATCTGCGTCTGAGTTTCCCATCTCATGCTTTGTTGGTGTGTATCGGTTACTTCATTCTGGTTGGTTGTATTTGGCATGATATCAAATTCAGTGTATTATGTTGTGCTTCGTATGTTATTTGATAGCTTTTGGAGTTCTATTTCACCTGGTGTTCTGGTGCCTTCTAATGCTCGTTCGTATGCCCATTGTGATTTTTAACCTTGGCATTAGTCTGCGTTTGTGATATGTTGATGCCTTGATTTTTTTTATTTCAGCACTTTGGCTGCTTGTTTTATTGCTATTTTCTGAGGTGGAAATCTGCTCGAAACGAGTACATCTACTAGTCCGTACGAGACCCTTCGGTTATTGGACTCTCTCTTTTTGATCCGAGAATAGTAATCCCTCAGTGATTTCATTTAGTTGTTTATTTCCATTACCATTATTTGGGTTATCAAATGATGTTAAAATGAAAATAAAAACTATTTAATGTCTGCACAATCTTTTCATCAGAGTAAAACACCAAAAAGAATACTTCAATTTGCGCAAATTTTGACAAATATATATAAATATGGACCATATGAGAAACGTTTTTTTTTCCCAAACATGCGGAGATTCCTAAAATTGCGTTGCTGAATGAACAAAACACTGCCCAAACGGTAGTAGGAAGGGATGATTCAATATTTTTTTCAACTTTTAGCGGCGATTTTTCAGATCGCTTCTAAAAACCTTTTTATCAACATTTAACGACGGTTAGCAACAGAATAAAACGTCGCTAAAGAAGGTATACCAAATTAAAGACCTAAAATTCGTCACTAAAGCTTGTAAAACGCCGCTAAATATTCAAAATCGTCATTTAAAAGTATGAGCTACGGTTCTCCTGAATTAAGTGTTTCTCCTCGTGTATTCTGATAGACATTTAATTTCCTTCCCTTCAAATACTATGGGCAAGTTATTAAATGAAGTAGGCAAGAATTTACTTATCATTTGGTCAATCTTTACCATCAGAATGGAAGATTGTTCTTCTCTGTTACGATATAACTTGTAAATCTTGACATCTTGCACCAATGTAAATTCTCCCTCAAACAATTGAGAGCCAAGTGACTTGTAAGGTCAGAAACCAACAGAGCAAAGTAAAAGTTGATGGTTTTCGGGTGTCTTCTGACTTTTAGATATGCTAGAGCAAGAAAAACTAAGTCAATCTCTCAACTAGTCTAAGTATTAGACAGTCTTCAAAGAAATTCAAACTTGGAGTAAAGTTTATTTTTTGGTCAACAACTTGGAGTAACGTGAATGATAATAAACATGGACATTAGAAAATAAAGGTTCCCAAAACTTTTTGGATTGCCATGGAACTTGACTTTCAATGTCTAGCAGTAATTTTTCATTTTTTTTATTTAAATAATTGGATTAAATGGTCAATGTTATTTGATCGTGTCGATTTTGGGCCAATGTTACTGGCAGGTTTTTCTTAATATAGATTTTTTCTTTTGTTTTCCTAAATCATAATGCAATATGTCGAAAAATTCCTTTGTACATAACAATTTATTTTATTTTTAACCTCCACTTGCTCTCACACAGTTGCTGTCTAACCCCTTCAACCAAGCTACCTGTATCTGCTTCGTTTCCGGTACCTTCAAGCATGGGCCGCCCTTTGATGCATTCTTGGGAATGATCTTTGAAATATTTTAAGGCACAACACAACTCAGAGGATTAAATTTAATATGTCAGATACGTCTGTAGATAGCTCACAAAATATGGGCATGAAACATTTACAAGGATAAACAAATCTCCAAAATGACAAGCTTACAAAGAAAAATACTTCACGAAATTTGGCAAATGAAATCTGTGGGCGCGATACAATGTAATAGCACATTTAACTTAGGATATTCATCAAGCTGTTCTGATGTATCACAACAATTAACTGTTACTGCAAGCCAAGGATTGGAACTCAACATATGCTGCTGAACATGCAAACAATTTGCTACTTCACATCTGCAAGAGATAGCCTATAACAATTTTATAATAGGCAATTTAATTGATGAGAATTTAACTTCAGGGTTTTGCATATTAAATGAGATACGAACAGTCGACATACATCCTAGCTGTCCATATCTGATCAAGGGGCAGATATATAAGTTCTCAAATTAAGTTCAAATTAGATCCTTATTAAACAAAACACATGACATGCTGCATAATCACAAAGGTTACTAACTAAACCGTTTCTTAATAGTGATTATGGTTCAGTTGCGGGCTTGACTTGGAAGTATCTAATTGCCTGATACCTACCGGCAACAACTTTCAGACAAAAGCGCCCACTGGCAGAGTTTCTCAATCCCCAGTTTTTCTTTCCCTGTTTGAATGGAAATTCATTCAGGGTCAAACTGCCCCTAGTTTTGCTTAAACGAAGAATTACAATGCAAAAACAACTGACCAGAGTAATGCCCTACAAAAATATGCATATAATAAAGCCCACTTGACAGAAACCATATGAACACATGGGGTTACAAGAGAGATAATTTAACTTAATCAGGGAAAGTTTTTTGCTAGCAAAAATGAATGAAAGAAACAAGACTTTGTTTACGAGACAGATCTTGATTGACTTGTTGGTCAGAATAGATTATAGAAAAAAACATATTCACATGGGGTTTTTGACAGTTGAACTTGGACTGGAAATTTTGCTCTTTTCAAGGCATCCAAGCAAGTCTCCTTTCAACGAGGTTAATCTGTAACTGCCACATCTTGTAATCTAACTACCCTCTATCTATATAATTATAATATTGGTAATTATGATATTTTCTGGGCCTATATATACTCCATTGTATAACCTATCTTCTACATCAGGATTAGAGAAAATGAAAGAGATGGGAATCCCTGTGATAGACTTTGGTGAGCTCAATGGGGAAGAAAGGAGCAAAACGATGGATCTTCTGCACCAAGCTTGTGAGAAATGGGGATTCTTTCAAGTAAAGAAAATTCTGTTTTTCCTTTCCTTTTTCTATTTTCATAACTAAACGGACATCAATTTCACATCGTTTTGACAAATATATTGCTTAACATTTGCAGGTTGAGAACCATGGAATTGATAAACAGCTGATGGAGAAAGTGAAGCAATTGATAAATAAATACTATGAGGAAAATTTGAAAGAGAGCTTTTATAAGTCAGAGATGGCTAAGAGCTTAGAGCAAGATATTACCTCTGAAAAAGACTGGGAAAGCTCCTTTTTCATTTGGCATCGCCCCACATCTAATATTGAAGATATTCCAAACCTCTCAGACGATCTTCAGTAAGTCACTTAACCATAGGATTGGAAGAAATCATAACTTATGCACTGTAAAATGACACTTCAAATCATATGTGCAGCATAACAATGAATGAGTACATTCCTCAGCTGATTAAGATGGCAGAGAAACTTTCTGAGCTCATGTGCGAGAATCTTGGTTTGAAGAAGGGTTATATAAAGGATGCATTCTGTGCTGGCAAGGGTCCTTCTGTGGGGACAAAAGTTGCAAAGTACCCTCAATGTCCTCAGCCAGAACTTGTTAGAGGACTTCGAGAGCACACTGATGCTGGTGGGATCATACTCTTGCTCCAAGATGACCAAGTTCCAGGTCTCGAATTCTTCAAAGATGGAGAATGGGTTGCAATTCCACCATCCAAGAACAACAGAATCTTTGTGAACATAGGTGACCAAGTGGAAGTGTTGAGTAATGGAAGGTACAAAAGTGTTTTGCACCGTGTCATGGCGGACAAAAATGGAAGTCGACTGTCCATTGCTACCTTCTATAATCCTGCTGGTGATGCAATTATCTCACCAGCTCCCAGACTCTTATACCCCAATCATGTCCGCTTTCAAGATTACCTGAAGTTTTATGCTACCACAAAGTTTTCTGACAAGGGCCGCAGATTTGAGTCCATGAAACAAATTGCATAACAGGTTCCTTTCCTAAAAGTGGAAATTAAATAAATTTTGCGTCCCTCACTCATGGGTTTTTTTTTCCTTATTTGATGTTATGTCATCTACATAAAAGACCAATCAGAGAGAGAGGAAAAAAAAAGAAAAAAAAAGGAGAGGCTTGGCAACTGGATAATGTATTTCTTTCTCTCTCTTCTTTGGTTCTATTTTTCTGTTTGTTTGGGGAGTTCTTAATAGAAATAATGGTATCTCTTATGCTTTCAAGATGAGGCAATATATGTTTTTATCGATTCTCTTTCGTTAATATGATTAAGACTTGTTGAAGGATATACCATCAGTGTTGTATATAGATATTGATAATTTCATTTATGATATCAATAAACTATTTTACAGATGAGGACAAAAATAACCTTGTTACCATATAGCTTTTTATCCCAGCTAGATCATAGTATCGAACTAATTCTACACATCTACAGCGCCCAACATATTACTCACAGTAGGTGGCCTACATAATGAAACAATTCATCCAAACTGATTTATGGGATATCCTTCGGGCCTGCTCAGAGTAAATTTCCTATAGTTCTTCGTATTCATGTTTTATGAGTAAAAGGAACAAAGGTTATTATGACGGAAAAGAGAAGAATAACCAAGCAGGTCAAACACAACCACTACAGTAGCATAATTGCTTTCTAAACATTACTTGAATACCTAAATGGTTTAAAACATAATTGTAATTCAATATAAACAGAAAAATCAGTAGCTTAGATAATGCTAGTGAATGAAGATCAATAGTTTAAAATGGCTTGCTCTAAGACTAAAATTTCAGTAGAACTTTCCCACAAACTAGCTCATTCACGTGAAAAATAGCTTTTGATATAAGATCTAGATGGTGTTCAAAATGTACATTCATAGAAACAGGCTCACAGCACAAAAACTCATCCAAAGAATTACAATTAATCAAAGCTACAAGCCAGCCAATTTACCTAATATAGATTTGGCTAAGAACGTTTTGTTATGCTCAACTACTCTAGTCAATATAAGCTTGTGATGCTTCAAGAATGGAGAACATTTGGTGACAAAACATAACAAAAAGTTCCCAAATTTCAGAGAGTTGGAAAATCTTTCAGCCAATTGCTGAACCTGGTAAATAATTTGGTCAACTGAATTCTGTGATAAATGAACATTATGATTCAAAATGCTTTGGAGCAGGTTAAAAAATGATTCTGTCCATACCATTTTATCAGTTATCAGATATTGATGGCAAGGAAGACAAATGACTTTCCTCTCATCTTTTTCTCCACACAGCAGCTTCTGACAGAAAGAAGCAACATGAGCTGGGTGCAAGCTTTCCTTGATGATCCTCGTGATGACATCATGTATGGGGTTGTTGATGCCATCCTGTCGAAGAATTAGTGGAAATAAGAGTGCATACTCACTGGCCCTTTGATGAAGCTTGCAGTACTCTACTGTTGCAGTCACTAGCACACGAGAAGCTGGTTCCTCAAGAGCCAACAACTTGGGAAGGATGATTGAGCACAGAACCTGGCTTGGCCAAGTAAGCTCTTCTTCACTTCCACTTGTTAGATGAGATAATAGAATTGAAGCAGTCTCATCATCAGCTAACCAAGGTTCAATCAGACCCAAAACCGTGAAAGAATCTCCTCCTTTTTCTAAGCAAAGTTTGCGAATTTCTTTCGCTAATCCTACAGTTTCAGAAGTTGATTGAAAATCCACAACCCGAGCTTTCAAACTTACTGCCCTTTTTTTAATTTCAGGTTCAAGATGAACACTTTCTGGATTATCAATATTCATTTCCTCTAGAACATCATTCATATCCTCATCTTCACCCTCTCCAACCTGACTCAATGAGCCATAGATATTTTCATAATTACCATTCACTGTCCTCAAATCCAATTCTTCTGGCGATATAGGAAGCCATGGTAGAACCAAGTCACTGGAAGCAGCGGAATCCTTAAGCCAACCCGGCAAGGACTCAAACTCATCCTCCCCAGAATCCAAACTCAAGCAAGAAATCCACTCGTAACTTGACTCAGACACTACATCGAGCAGATTGCGTGCAGCCCTCTGTACCCAAAACTCAAGCTCCTGACTTCCACTCAAAACGGTCCTGGCCAGCTTAGCCAAATCCCTGCCTGAAAACCTTTGACGTTCAAAACCAAGAAATGACAGAACCCGCGACTGAACCATGTTCGGTAGAGTCTGTATAAACATCACCCTGTTCATCAAAACTCACTATCAGTCGCCAAAACCCATGAAAATTATCAAAAGAGCAATTGGTTTTCAACCCTTCACCTATTTGTACACGGAGGCCAAGCCGAAGATGAAGAAGAAGACTCATCGACGACAATCGAATCCAAAGGCTTCATTAGCAACGAGAGGAAAGAGCCTGTGGTAATCGGGGTCGAGGTTGACGATGAGGCACTGAAAGATTGGTTTAACCATGTAGAAGCTTCGGACTCGGGAGTTGGGGAGGTCAAGAAGATGTCGAAGAGCGGGACCCATTGCTCCATTTTCGCTTGCTCTGCTGTTGGGTTTTGGAGGTTTCAGCGTTCTGGGGTTTTGAGAGTCTAAGAAGACGCGGGAAAGTTAAATGTTCGTTTTTAACTAACAGATGATTGGAGTATCAGTTTTTGTTTGTACTTGTTGCCAAACACGGCCTTTTGGAAATTTCTCGTGAGTTGGGATGGGGTATTTCCAAGGATCAATCAAATCCAAGCCACGTGGTGGCTTGCGCTGTTTTGTTGAGTGCGGTTGGCGGCGTGTTGATAATCGCGGTAAATGCGCTTTCGCTTGTGGCTCTTGGTATAATCGCTTCTGAGAAACGCGGTTTCATTCACTTTTTGTTTCGGGTAATTTCAACGGCGTGTAGTAAAGTCGTAAACTTTATAAATTTTGATACGGAGATCAAAGCTTCAGAGGGTGTGTCAATTCGCGTGAATTTTAAGTTACTGTCATTAGCATTGACAAAAAAATTAATCTCTTCTAAAAGGAATGTTTCTCTTTTACTTTTGTTACGTGGAGATGGAGTAGAAGTTGAAAAAACTAGTTAATAATTAAAAAGAAGAAAAATTTGCATATCACCACGTGCCGTGATGATGTAGACATAATCGTCGGTTACAGATAAGTTTTGCAGGTCGACCATTCTAGGTCTCCGTTACACATCTTATAATACTTTAACAATACAGTAAAAAAATAAAACTATGCCTAATAAAAATACTTTATTTACATCATATCAAAATTATTAGCCCTGATCTCTTGGAGATTTGTGGTCACCCATCGTTGGATGTTGATCTAACGGTTCAAAAAATTTTCTTAAAATAAGTGCAAAAGTGAGTGAACTATTGAATTTACATTCAACGGTGAGTGATCACAAATCTTTTAAATCCCTGGTAGTCCAAGAGATCGGGACTGTCAAAATTATTTTGACTGTTTACTATCGGACTAACGGAACGATATCAACATATTGAGATGATATGGATATAATGAGACTATTTGTTACACTGCTCTTTGACAACTTTGCTAAGAGCATTCCATAAGAGTGAACAAGACGTATCTTCTGGGATGTAAGGAAACATCTGATCTACCTTAGCCAATAAGATCAAAGCCCTACTTGCACACAAATTCCCAAAGCATATATAATCACAATTCACACCAAAACAGAGCAAAAACTAACAAAGCAAACACAAAACCCCTTCCCCCACCTGCTATCCCAAACACAATCACATCCCATCTCTCACTCTCTCTAACCCTCCCACTCCCCAAAAATTATTCCACCATGGGAGTGAGCAACAAAATAACTGCAATTCTCAATTTCATAGCCCTCCTCTGCGCCATCCCAATCATGGCCGCAGGCATATGGCTTGCCTCAAAGCCAGACAACGAGTGCATCCACTCTTTTCGCTGGCCAGTCTTTGTTCTTGGTGCTCTCATGTTGCTTGTCTCTCTTGCTGGCTTTATTGGTGCCTGTTTTAACAAACAGGGTCTCTTGGCTCTCTACCTCTTCTGCATGGCAGCCCTCATCATCCTGATCCTTGTGCTGCTCATCTTCGCTTTCACTGTTACAAGGCCTGATGGAAGCTATTCTGTGCCTGGTAGGGCCTATCGAGAGTATAGGCTTGATGGGTTTTCCAAGTGGCTTAGGGACTATGTCACGGACTCTGGGAATTGGCAGAAGATAAGGACTTGTTTGGCTGATTCTGATACTTGTCCTAAGCTTAACCAGCAGTACATCTCTGCTGATCAGTTCTTCATGGCTCACATCTCTCCTCTTCAGGCAAGTTTCTCTCTTAATTTCTCTCCTCTGTTACTAAAAAGGTTTCTTTTTGTTCAATTTTTGAGAAAGATGGTTTTTTTAACAGTAATTATTGGTTGAATTTCAGTTATCATGAAAAATAAAGATGCCCTTTTATCCATTTGACAAAAAGGAGTTGATTTACTGGTGTCTGTTTTAGCAGAAAAGTAACACTTACTGTTCTTTGATTCCTCAATCCTTACTTTCCCAAATGCCACATTATGATTGTTAACTTATGACAATTGCATGGTGAAGTTAAAGTGGTGACTGAAGTTACTAGAATATGACAGAACTAGATCACTTGATGTTGTAATCAGAAATTTACTGAAACTTACATACAGTAGACTACAGTGGGACCCACCAATGGTGTTTATATGCAACCCACACCACATGCCCCCTATCAACCTTTCAACATGGACCTTGAATGAGTTGGCTTGACTCAGCATGATTTTTGATAATGCATTAGAATTAGATGAAAAAGAGACACAACCTCATGATGTGTGGGGGCATCTCAATTGCTCTACTTGATGACAATTGGTTGCTCCCATTGTGAAGGTTGAAGAATTTGTGCCAATATCCACAAGTGCCTATCTTCTTAATTATTATAAGAAATCATGGATGTTAGACCAAATTAAAGTAAACCAAAATAACATAACTGGGGTCACAGTTTCTAACTTTCTGTTGATTGAATCATTGAAGATTAAAAAGAACATCTTGGTGTTGCTGCCAGCTTTTAGCACACATATTGACAAAATTTAATGGTGTTTTTCCTTTCTGTTCCATATTATTTTAACATACATTTTTGTTGTTGGGTTTTTTTATGTAATTTTTTTTTCTTCTACTGTTTTACAGTCAGGGTGTTGTAAACCTCCAACACTGTGTGGCTACAACTATGTGAACCCAACATTGTGGATAAACCCAGTAAACCCGGGAGCTGATCAGGACTGCTTGTTATGGAACAATGACCAAAATCTGCTGTGCTACAACTGCAATTCATGCAGGGCTGGCCTATTGGGGAACCTGAGGAAAGAGTGGAGGAGGGCAAATGTGATCCTTATAGTGGCAGTGGTGGTGCTCATTTGGGTCTATCTTATTGCCTGCAGTGCCTTCAAGAATGCACAAACAGAAGAACTCTTCCGCCGCTACAAACAAGGATGGGCTTGAGCTAGCCTTGTTTCCAAACACAACCCAATTTTTACTTCACTGGTTTTTGTTTGTCTTCCTTTTTTACATCCTTGGATGAATGAATGTGTCTCTGTCAATAGTGTTAGTGTTGTACATATTCCTCTCTTCTTTTTTCTATCTAGATTCTGTGGATGGAGACAATTGACAGGCAGTGAAATTCTAGTAAATTGAGTTTTCAAATACTGATGAGAATAGAATCTCAATTATCAGCTTCTTTTTTCTTTCCCCCTTTTTACTGGTTTAAGATGCTTCTGTTTCAGTGGTCCTTGGCTTCTTGGACAGACCGCTTTTATTTTTTAATATGGGCAATTTGGCAGCATTGCAGCCAACCCTCGCGCACACTCTTTTTAATGCCTACCTTCTAAAATGTGCACCGACTTTGCCGACTAGCGAGACCAACTTTGCAAGGAACAAGGTGATCAAAATTATATAGTTAGAAACTATTGTCCAAGAAGAGAATTTCGAGCTCTGCTTTTTCCTTTTTCCAGAGATATTACCAATTTCGAAGATCAAGAACATAAAATGGTGGCATGCACATTGGAGTGAACATTACATGCGGAAAAAGAAGAGGCAAAACTTGCTAAGTTCACTTGCTATGAATGTCGAATTATTGGTAACAGTTTCTCTTGAGATTAGGCCATCGAAATTCGTCGCGTCATGTATCTATACCGTAGATAATTTTCTAGAGTATACAATGTACATGGGATCTGAGCGTCCAGGGTTGGGAGATATATCCACCCCCTGCAGACAGTAGCACACTAGTTTATAAACTTACAGTTTACGTCTCCACGCCTGACAGTACATGGTTTGATTGTATTCAAAAGAAAGTAATGTGGACAGCACAAATAATATCGGTATACCTGAGGTGGTTCAAATCCTCCGGCGTAGTGGAAGTAGGATCCGACGATCAAACCATGATCAGCATCACCAGTTGATGTCCATATTGAGATTGCTTTAGTCCAGAAACAACGGTTGGAAAAGCTGTTTAGACATTTTCATTAAGTTAGAAATGGTTGAGGAGAGACCTGAAAGATTAAGAAAAACAACTAAAGCCTCTCTCTCTCTGTGTACCGCTCTTTGTTTTCTGTGAAGAATGACGTATAAGATGTATCCATACATATGACACATTATCTTATGCTTTGGATTTCAAATTTGTAGCTAAACCTGAGAAGGCACATATTTGACTGAAAGCAGACAGTATGATCAGTTATCACCTCATTATAGCAAGTCCACCAGGCTTAAGAATCCGGCGCATTTCCTTGAAAACATCTAGAGGCTTTGTTATATAATCAACACTAACCTGCAATTTGAAATTCATCTAGCCCTGAGAGCAGTATAAAACATTGTACCTTTCAAAATTAAGTGCTTAGAAACTGGAAATGAAATATGTAAACATAACCAGGTATTTTGAGCCCCAAAAGCATCATGGAACTTACAGAAATTTAAGAGATGGAAAGAGATGCACATACCACATTAGTAATCACATCAAAGGAATTGTCTTCAAAGGGAAGTTTAGGGTTCACATTCAAGTCTTGCACAACATACTCTGTCAAAACCTACGAAGTTGAATCGATGAGGGTATATTCATATCATCAATACAATGATTATATATATGATTAGTCAACAATTACCATAGCTAATGAAAAGAAGACATACAAGCTTCACCATACTTATGCAATTTCAAAGAAACCTATTATTTACATATTAATGCATCTTTGGTTTAAGAAATTACATGTTATATGTCCCTGTGAGCTTTTGGTTACAATGACTGCTTGCAGAAAATATCATCAGAAAAGGGACTAATTAAACTCTCTCCTCAAGACAGGACAGTTTAAAATGCATAAGGAATTTACTTTAAGGGACTTAGTTTTGGTCTAAACCCACTCAACAGAAACGAGAATCGTGTAAGAAAATTCATAATCAAGGCTATGATGCAATTGGCATTGCAAGTAAGGAAAACAGGTTATGTCAATATGTTTAGATTCTAAACATGAGTAACTAAAAAAGAAGTATGGATTCCGCTTGAGCTCTTCTTCATTCATGCCCATCCCAACTATTTGCTCTTGCTTGTATCCCGGTGGGAAGTGACTGACCTAGACACAATATCAAAAACAGGATTATTACTCCTAAAGTAAATATTACAAAATTTGCAAGTGGAACAAGGTTCAAACCAGAACTTAAAAGATCTCACCCAACTGCTACACATATCCAGGATGCACACTCCTGGACTGTTGCTAGGAGGAAACACCTTCGAATAGTACTTGGTCAGCGCCGCAATGGCTGGATCATCAATATGTGTCACAAAGCGTGGAGCCTCATAAAACAATTGATCTGATGACCTGATGAAATCAATTTCTAGTTTTCAGACCTTGTTAAACTTAACCCAATCTTTGGCTGAAAGTTTCAGTATTGGAACACCAAAATGCCAAAACAAAAGTTTAGATGTCTTACTCATCAAAGCGCTTGAAATCCTCCTCCTTGAAGGGAAACTGCTCCGGCCATTCCACATTCTTCAATATCTTTAATTTGACACAAAACATAAGGAGATTAGGCAAACCAAACAGAATTCCAAAATTCACAACATGAAGCACATCAAGCAATAGATTAAATTTGAAAAATTCATAATATTTTTAGATACAGAAGTGGACCAGCAACAATCTAATAGCTCTGTTTGTTTGCAGAACAGGGTTTGTGAACCAATTCAACCAAAGCCCGGTACTTTAAGGCTTTTACTGTTTCAGCTTACAAGCTAGACAAATTACTCAATTATCCATAACCCTTGAAGAATCCCACATAAGAATGTGAATTTGCCTATTAAAGTCAAAAACTTTAGATTCAACACAGCACCTCTACAAAATCAAAATCCAAAATCGGAGAAAACCCAGAAACCAAATCAATACACTAAGCAAAGAACAAGAATTTAGCTCTAAGAATAGACTGAAATCGTACCTCTTCAAAAGAAGGACCGCTCTTGAGCCTTGCAGAGGCCGTGAAAGACTTGCCACCAACAGCACCAGACATGTTCATCAATTGAGCCCAAAATGAGACCCCCAGGCCCAACACCAAACGGCGAGGCGCTCTGCCTCCAGTTTTCCACTTGTTTAGTGCTTTTGCTAGAATGGGAACAGACCCAACAGCGCTAGGACCCGAATGAGATGATGAAGAAGAAGGACATATACCCGCCAAAGTTGGCAGTCTAGGAGAGAGTCTGAGGCCAATGCATTTGGGCATTTTTAATAGTTTCAGTGACACATAAAAGGGAGGGACGGCACCAACTACCGTTTGACAAAAATGAAGATGATACCGAGGGATAAGAAAAAAAAACCAGTCTTTCTAGATTATCTGGAAATATTGGATCACATCTTGCCACATCTGTGGAGGACTTACAGTTTACGTGGCCTATCGAATGATAGTGTTGCTTTTTTGGACTGCTAATTGAACACATGCTACACATAGGGAAAGTGGATAACTTGTGTTCTGAAAAATTTTACCAATTTCATACAAATTATATTGAAAAAAAAACATATCAGAGTAGTGAGTTGAATTTGCATATGCAGCATATATGTACTGAAATTAGTTTGTAGAGCATTTGGGAGCTTTAAAGATGTATGTTATGAAAGTGGAGGTTATTAGATTGAGTTGTATGTAGTGAAAGATCTTTTTATCTTTTATCTGGTGTAAGTTCAAGTTAATTTGGTACTTTCAGGTTTCTGAGCTTGCAAAGTTCATACCTTCCTTTGGCTCCTCCTAATGTTGCAGATACTCTTCTCTTTCAATCTACATTTGGCTTTTCTGGCAGCTCCTTGCTTTGCTTGCGGGTTTTCCCATTTTTCACATAGTAATTTGCATTCTATTCTTCCACTTATTGTAATTTTTTCTTTCGGTTAACTGATGGAACAGTCCAGAGTCTAGGCAGACCTCTCAAAGTTTTTACTTGAAAAAGATATAATCAGCCCCATTTCGAAAGGTGCTGGTGTCCCTATTGGAAAGAAAGATGAATTTAAAGTCTATAAACAAGTACAGATGTGTAAGCTCAAAAACTTAGATCTACCGCAAATTGCAAGATGACAAAATGTGGTGTTGTTGTAGATGGATTGTGGTAGGCAAGGTGAGGAAGGGGACATGAAGGATCGTTGAGGACAAGGAAGTTCCAAAATTAGTGACAGCAGAAAATAGTACCTCTGACTAGACAGAGTAGTAACTAAGCAATATATTTAAGGTCAATGCCAGAATAGATAAACAATTGCTTGCTAGCTAGCTTGCAGAAAATTCCAAGAGGATAAGTGTGAATCCAATGTTAAATTAAATCAGTCGGAAGAAAATCATATGATCCAAATAAATATATATTTTATAGATGCATGCATGATTGCATGTGGGAGGAGAAATTCTCCATCATATATTCATGAATTATGTCAAAGGTACTGCAAGTGGCCTCTGAGCCTGCACCAGAAAAGCACCACCTACTATTCCATTTGAAAAGGGCATGGTTGTGAGAGCATCATTACGTATAATCAAAAAAGGACAAAGTCCAACCTAAGGAGTTGGCTTGATATATACTTACTTTAAAAAAAAAAAAAAAAAAAAAAAAAAAAAAAAAAAAAAAAAGTTATAATTGTTTGATATGGATATGAATAATAAAAAAAATATATTTATGAAATGTGTAATTGAAATTAACGGTCTAATAACACAAGTCATTACTCTGCATGTATATAATATGTTGAATTCGCGGTAGCTAGTTTTCTCTCTTCTCTTTTTAATTTTCATCCTATGAAAATCTGTTTCCCTTCATGTATATCACAAATATGTTTCAAATCATATACCATATCTTATATTATCTTATGAATTCCATATTTGTATTCTCTTGCCTAACCACAATGAAAAATTTAAAATATTTGGTTGGAATTCACCCCATGCAGGAAGCTGACTTAAGCAATGCAATAATACATGCAAAGGAAAAAGAAAAAGGCAAAAGGCAAAAGGTCATATATCGCTTCTAATATTTAAATATACTTAGAACAGCAATTGATGGATACGCAGATCTAATTACAATATCTTCTTTGAGTTTGATTTTTGTCTTCTTTTCTTTTTATCAACAAGGAAATGAGTTGTGACACATTCTAATATTAGGAATGCAAAGTGAGTTAGGCCGCTCATTTAAAAAAGTGTGTCCGTCTTTTTGCAATCGAGTTCGAAACATCCTTTTTTATGTAATATAGAATATTATTTTGTCAAAAAAAATTTAATAAAAGTTTCTACACGTTTTTAATTTATTAAATGTTTTGTCTAAAATACGTAGCAAAGACATCCACTTCAAAACCTCTATATATACGACTCCCATTTCCCTCCCTCACTCTCTTCCTCCTCCTTTCTAGGATCGCCCCCTCTCTGATCCCAACCCAACAAAAACTCCTCAACCGGTTCGACCCGACACCTCCCTCTCCTCCCAAAATGGACCAACCCAGATTCGTAATTGAAGCATCCGAGGCCGAATCAATGGCCAAGCGATCCAACCTCACCGTCCTCCAGCTCCTCCCCTCCTTAGTCAAACCCGCCCAGGCCCTCGCCCGCCCGCCCATCTCCAAATTCCACGTCGGAGCCATCGGATACGGGTCTTCGGGTCGGATCTTCTTCGGCGGCAACCTCGAGTTCCCGGGTCTCCCGCTCCACTACTCCATCCACGCCGAGCAGTTCCTCGTCACCAACCTCTCAATCCACAACGAGTCCAAACTCGAATACGTCGCCGTTTCGGCGGCTCCCTGCGGCCATTGCCGTCAGTTCCTCCAAGAAATCCGCGGAGCCCAGGATATCAAGATTCTAATCACCTCGGCCGAGTCCGGAGACGACAATTCCGGATTAAACCGGTTTGACCCGCTTCTCCATTTGCTCCCCCACCGGTTCGGACCCGAAGACCTTCTCGGAGGAGACGTGCCGTTGCTTTTAGAACACCACCACAACGGGCTGTCGTTTTTGGGCGAAACCGAGATTTTAACCAACGATTTAAAACTGAATGCGGAGTTAAAAGTCGCGGCTTTAGAGGCCGCGAACAAGTCTTATGCTCCGTACAGTGGGTGCCCATCTGGTGTGGCTATTTTGGACTGTGATGGGAATGTGTACAAAGGGTCGTACATGGAGTCCGCAGCTTATAATCCGAGCATGGGCCCGGTTCAATCGGCTCTGGTGGCTTACATTGTTGGTGGGGGTGCTGGGTATGAGAAAATTGTAGGTGCGGTTTTGGTGGAAAAAGATGGAGTTTTGGTTAAACAAGAGCACACAGCAAGGCTGCTCTTGCAGGCCATTTCCCCCAAGCTTGAGTTTTGGGTTTTTCACTGTGCTTCGGGTTCAAATGCCTGTAAAAAGTCTTGATCTTGATGACCATGAATGTGATGAGTAATCTGATTGTGATCAAGTGTTGTTGCTATTGGATGAATTATGAATCAATGAAATGAATGAAGGATGGTGATGGTGATGGTGATGGTGATGATCAATTGTAATGTTTGAGTTTCTAATTTATTTTTAATCACAGATTTCTGTGTACTGGTTTGGACTGTACATAAACCAATAAGCAATAATGTCCTTGGCTGCATGATGCCATGCAAATTGTAATGGATCCACTTTGTTGTAAGTTCGTCACAAAGTATATGAATCTTTTGGGCTTTCTCTTTTTCCCTTTAGGGTTCTCTGTTCTGGCTTTGTTTACCTCTCTTCTCAATTTGTGATTTGTTGTCAATCAAAGATTGGAACACAAAAAAATGATCTTATCTAAACATTAGAGTTAATCATACATTCTCCTCCAATGAATTCTCGGTGTTTTTATTTATTTATTTATAACAAACGTGTGGATTCATATTTCATAGTTTGTTTTCCTTGTGGGATTGTATTTTCCTGTTATAGCAGATTGCTCAGTTGAGTACTTTGCGTTATGAAATTCGCTCTTTTTGACCCTTTTCGTTCCTTCACGTTGCTGTCATGGCCTTGTATATGTTGCCATATAGTGGCTGCCAAGAGCCAAGCTTTTTTCAAAAGCGCTTTTGTTAGTACAGTCAGCCAAACAAAAGAAGAATGATTCCCCTACGCTCGTGGATGGTGTAGATAGAGTAGCAGTACTAAATTGAATTGGTCCACTCATACTTGCAAATTGATAGGCCGTGGAGTATCTACTGAGGTGGATTTCCAGTGCACCACATCTTTAAGACACTTTCGCCTTTCCATAAACCTCTATGAGCTGCTTTGGATTTTAGGTGAAATAAGATGGGTAGGGTTGGTTATATCTGGTGTGTAGGAGGAAGTATCACATCAAAGTTACTAAATTGCTCTGTTTTGATTTGATGCCAGTTACAAGTAGGCATTTCTGTTGTTTTGCTCATCTAGAGGGTATGAGGCTCTTCTTAACGGGCATTCGAAGGTTCTAACATTTCGGCGATTTCATCTGAGTTAGTTGAGTAGTTGGATCAAAATGAGCAGACAAGATATGGCAAGATCTGGTTTGCTTTACATTGTAAATAATGAGTCTTGTAAAGAAAACCAGAGTCTAGAAAGACAAATTCTAGCTAGGGACCCAACCTTTGCACTGAAAGTGACAGAAACCTGAAAAGTGGAGCTTCTAAGCTGTAACATAGAAAACTTCAATCCATTACCATAACCATTACTTTTACTATGACCTAGCAATTTAGCTAACAAAGAGATAGCAAAACCTTCATTACAGTTTGGAATCTCATGCTGTATGCCTGTCTCATTCCAGAGCCAATCAAGTTGAGATGCCAAGAACAAATTTAGTTTACCAAAATATGAAAAGATGCTGCAATCTGAGCATACAGTTCTCTTATCTGACCCTGCAAGGGCCATGTCTCATATCGGTATCATCACGAAGATATAAAGGAGCTTGCAATTTGGTTGAAAATTTCAATATATTATCTAACATGTAGTTCTAGTCTTCTAGGTTACACAATGAAGCTGGAGCATTTACATGTAATTGAATACTTCAAGATAATGAAACAGAGTCCTAAAGCAACTTTGACAAAACCAGTGCATGTGTGTACACCATGTTCCTATCTTCTTGTCCTTCTCGTGCACTAACTTTGGAGGCAAAAGTTGCATCCTTATCTACCCATCAGTCCACTTTTTTGGTTAACCAATTGACAATGTCGAAGAAAAAGTTGGAGCTGCTTGAACATACTGAAGCACTCTGTTTTCATCAATTCCCATAGAGGAAGAACCTGAAACCTGAAATTGTTTTTTGCTTCTTTGCAGTTTCAGGTCCAAGTGCATGACACCATTTACATATGAATTTATAAATTTGAGTCCTGTACACGTTTGCAAAATTGGAAAGAAATAGTGCAAACAGTTACAAGTGGTACCTTTTTATAAAAATCAATTAAAAGAAAAGGAAAGAAAGTACAATTGTACAAACAAAAATATGAGGTAAAAAGAAGCCCTTACTTTTAATGATTCCAGGGAATTGATAGTGAAGAAACAGAAATTCACAAGATGATAAAATCACTATTGGGGCAAAGAATAAGAAGAAGAGGCAGCATTTTTCAGAGGCACTTTCAAAGCACGTGCACCACCTGATCCAGGACCAGGCCCTTCTTCTTCATCCACAATGAAGACATCCTCAGGCTCCCTTAAAGCTCCATGAACCAACACAACCCCAAGGCCAATAGAGAGTCCCACAATGATATGATATTTCGCACTGGTAAGAAAAAGTGCGACGATTGTGACCAACAATAGAGAAATCGTCACCAATCGTTCATCGATCCGGTAGCCTAGAACCATCAAGGGTTGGTCATGCAGGAAATACAGAAACAACCATGCAACCATCGTGATGATGAAGACAATCAATGAAATGGGATGCCATAGTAGGCTTAGGAAGAGAATGAACAATATGATTATGGCATAGTTCATACGAAAGAACACCACGTTGGACTTGATTCTTTGGATTGATTGGTTGAAGGTCGTGGGAAGTGTGAGATCTTGCAGCTGAATCATCTCCAGCCATGGTCTACGTTTGCCAAGCCCCGACTCAATCTGTTCTTTTGCACGTGCAACAAAATGCAGGTTCGAGGAAGGAGGGGGTTCTGTCGGAATAGTCCCGTAAGTTGTCATCGTCCGGTGGCAGGCAGAGATGGAAAGAAGAAGAAATGGTATGGAGGTCTGGCAGAGAAAGAGTGCAGAATCTGTGCAGCTTGGATTTCTAATTTTAGAGTTAGTTAGATCACTGATCACATATCAGCTACGTGTTGGGTTAATGTTTAAGTTGTTTTGACTTCAAATATTTTACTACCAAAAGATGTACAAAATCATACAAGTAGTTTTATACAGAAAATAAAAAAATAAAAAGTGAAATTGGACGGTGCCATTAGTTCCATACAAAGAGACGTTTGACAAGTTCTCTTATCATGTATGAAGGATTTTTCTACATTTTTTTTTTCTTCATGGAATAGCATATTCTTCTTGGCACAATAAACCTTTGACATTCATCAACCAAAACAACGCATAGAATGGTAGAAACTCTTGAAACAATTTCTGCAACTCTTCTAGGGCAGTCACTGACTGGCTGGGACCTCTCCTTGCTGTACCCTCCACGGCCCTCCATAAAACTTTGGCTTCATAAGAGGCACTGCCTGGCCTGGATGATCCTCCCAGTATTTCTCCTGCACAATTTCAAAGGTGCAGATTTTATTTAGGTCTTCAAAATTTGGTATGACTAGATTTATCACCATTGAACTTTGGATAAATAAGTAGACATGTATATCCAGTTAAACCAATTCACCGATACCTTAATCTCAAAAAGATATATAAACTTAACCAGTTTCCTAAAAAAGAATGAAGTGAGCTTGGATAAGAATGGAGATCATCATATATAAGCGAGCAAGTGACAAGTCCAGATTAGCTAAGGGCCACTGGCAGGCACATTAAGAGTTGGCACCAACACTTCTGTGACACAAATGATGTAATCTGACAGAAAGCCGAAATGAGACCGAATTCTTTGCCAATCACTCAATAGATACGAAAGGAAAATAAACAAATGAAAGAAAAATCTAATGGTAGGTTGTTGACAACCACAAGAATTCTCCTATTGAGGCCAGAACTGAAAAATAGGGCATCTTCCCAGCCCTGTTCCTCTATTCTCTGTGAATATTTTCAAAGATCAGAGCAAATTAGTTTCTCTTTAGATTGCAGCTCTGCGACTAAAAGGCATATGGCAACAACCATAAATTACTGACGGTGAAGTGAACTAGACCTATAGACCTAATCAATAAAGTGTGTAGGAAATTAGGCATCAATGCTGCTCCTTCCAGCTCCAAACCTGTTGACAGGTCTGACAAAGTGACACTCCTCTCATATGAACTCATACAATATATACCTTGAAGCTGGAGAAACAATGCCATAAGCATTATCAAATGGCCTCTCCTAAACTATACATCAATCAAACAAACCCAAAAAGTTTACAACAGATTTCAGTCCAACGAAAAGATTTAAGAAGAAACCGAACTTCGGTGCAGGATTTACTCTATTTCTTATAACGCTAGTTTAGGACATGTTCTCACTAACATTAGAGATATAAGCAACTTGACAGATCTCAATCAAACAGGATTTGAACATTCAAAACGTCTATTTTGTGCACCATTTGATGTTGAAAAAAAAGAAAAGAATCCAACTTTCTCTTCTTCTGAACTACAACACCAGAACTAAAACCCACAAACAAATTTTTGGTCTAGACCCACTAAAGTAACCCAGAAAATTAACAATAATATTAATAAAATAAAATCACAAAAATAGAAGACACAGCAAAGTAATTACCTTGTATAGCTGCTCAGTGATAGCAGAGCCAACGACCCCAGTGTAGAAAGCGGCTACATAGATAGTGACCAAGGGTGTAAACGATTTGGGTCTGCTGTAAGGCTCAACCATGGTCCAAAGAATCATTCTTTCCCACTTTGTGTATATATAGTCTGCATATTTCCTCCATACATAGCTCGTCATTTCCACCAGAATTTCCTGCTCAGCTACAAATGGGTATTTTTGCAGTTTCTCTACAAGAGGATACGTAATCTAGGGTTTTTCTTATTATTGGGTTTTCGTTTTTCTTTTTCCCCCGAATTTTCTCGGCAGCCAAACGAACTATTTCAATCAGCCAAGCCGTCGAAGAAGAAAGGGAAAACCAGATGCAGTTAGTAGAGACAGAGAGAGCATAAGTAAAATTTCAAACGGCATGTCGTTCACTGAAGTTTGGGTAAGGAGCCCAATGAGGCCCAAACAAACACTACACGTACCCATCACAAAACAAAGTTACCTTTTATAGAGTACTGTTATTTCCACCCACCAATCCTATTTCCCCACCCAAACATCTCATGCCATCTAACAAGCCCACAACAAATCTGCAGAAATGGTTGAAGAAATTAGTTAAATGGTAACTTAATTGCTAATCTGGCGGGAAGAAGGTTGCTGGCAATAGCTCTTTGATTGTGGGTTAGATAGAGTATATATCTTCAGTGTCTTTATTGGATATCAGACCACAAACTGACTGCAATTCCAAATTGTGCTTCCAATTGGTTGCCTTTCTATGCACTCTCTTTCACTCCAATTTCGATCTAATTCCAATTATCACTCCTGTGCAATCTGACAGAGAGAGGGCTGTTTTCCATAAGGACGAGGGGCAGCTTTGGGGTGGATTATTTTTTAGGGAGTTTAACTAAAACACCCAAAATAGGGGCTGAAATTATAAAAAAACCCAACACCCAAAACACTTTATAAACACACCCAAAACCCATCATTACACATACTCAAAACCCATTTATAAACACACCCAAAAAATATACAATTGTTTATTTTGGGGTTGATTTTGGGTGTGTTTCTATGTTTAAATAGTGCTTGAGTTTTTTTATAAATACATGTCTAGAATTGAGTTTATTTATAAATTTGTATATTTTTTATGTTTTTTAATTTAATTTAATTTTTTTGGCCATATATTATAGGTTTTGCTTGAATTAATAATTAATGGATATTTTAGGAATCATGGTGGGTGGAAAGATAGGATTGTGTTTTTTCAAATTTATATGATGGGTAAAAAGATAAGATGGGTGAGAAAATAGAACAGAGAGGTGGAAATAATAACACTCTTTATTTATTTTGTTTTTTAAATAAATATTTACTGTATCTTTTAATATTTTTATTATTTAGTTGAGCAAGAGAAAAAAAGATGAAGAAGAGAAGAGATGATGAGCGAAAGATAAATAGAGAAAATGATTTTCCAAATAAGCAAACTTCAACCTGATTGTCCGGCTGTTATAAACTTGGAGAAAGAAAGAATCACTCATATCATATATTATGAACCTGGAACGTCTTTGTCCACAGAATTTTCAAGTAAATACATGACATCCAGAATAAGAATGACAAAGAATGTGGCAGAACAGCAACCTGTGCTTTGCGTTGTTTTGCGTAGGGGGAGGGAGCAAATATACAGAATACAAGTACCAAGCTGAAGCTGACTATTGTGGGGTTTGATACTATGGACCGATTTTCTTAAATACAATTGACTGAGTTGAAGAAGTTCTATGATGAAGCAGATTCCGAGGGCTTGTCCTTTGGAACTGAGGAAGGTTCCAGTACAAGATCTCCGACTCCCTTTGGAGGTCCAATGCTGCAACGAGCTGTGTTGTGTAATGCAATAGCATCCTTTAACTTCTGGAACTGCATAAGATTATGAACACAATCAGGTCACTTGAAATGATAAAATGTATGTGAAATTTCCTAAAAGCATTAGAGCAATACTAAAACTTCAGCATCCACATTACCTGCATCACACATATAAATCTAACACAATGAAAAGAAGATAATGGAAGATGATTGTTTCCAACAGTATGCCATTCAAGTATACTAATTCTCCTTTATTCAGCTAAACTAATCAGAGTTGGGGTTTTACGCCAACTATGGTTCCCATTTTTCAAAAAGTAGGTACTTCAGAGGGTACAACCAGTTTTCTAAGGTGTAAAAAGAAAAGAGATACTATAAAAATCATAAGATTCAACATTCTTCCCGGTAACCTAAATGATAACACACAAAAAAAAAGAAAAAGAAAACAAAAGTTCAATAAGTACCTTAGCAAGTGAACACGAAAAGGATTCAAGCTGTCCTTCAGCTCCACGATAAAAGTGGAAATAGGGAAGTACCTTCACGTTCATACTTTTGCACATTGGCTTGTTCTCGTCAAAATTCACTTTCAGGAATAAAATCTCAGGGTGGTCTTCCGCTGTTCTGCAGAGCTGACACATGCATTAAACAACAATATCAGGAGCACAGCACCTCAACTATATAAAATCAAGTGTGATACATTCAACATTATCTAAGTTTCCATTGAAGTGAAGTAGTTTCCAGGAGATTTTTATGAAATGAATTTTTAACATTGAAGGCTTCTTATGTTCCATTGGACATTTAAGCTGAATCTTTGGGTAGTAGAGCCATCTCGCCTCCTCAAAAACATATGTACAGCAATTTGAACTGGGTGATTTCTTGTTTATTTATAACATAGGCGGCATGCAATATAACGAGGAAAAAGTGAAACAACCAAAGAAAACACTCAGCTGACAGGAATTAGTTCCGATTTCTCCAACAAGACATGCCACTGCTTCCTTGGGTACAGTTGACATCTGGAATCAAACCATTCCAATGAACTTGAAGTCTTACAGTTCAAGTTAGCAAGCGCAAACCAGGAAAGGTTTCAATGACACCAGTCCTATGTATACATGTATGTATTTACACATATATGCATATGAACATTACCTTCTTCGCCGCTTGTTTAAAAGTCAAACAACTACGGATTTATTGTCTCAGAAGCTATATGAAAGTTTTTTAAGCAGAAAGTAACTAGAAGGAATGAAGATGAATTGACTTTTATTTCTCCAAAAACTGGAACAAAATTATGAAGAAATTGTTCAAGTGACAAAGGAGATTACCTTAGGAAATAATGCACGGCAAGAAGCACACCAAGTCCCATAGAATTCTACAATAACTAATCTATCACCAGCTTGGCCTAAAGCACTCAAAAATTCTTGTGTAGAATGAATGTCAATCATATTTGGAACACTTCTTTCCCACCATTTTGGCTGGTCTTTGTCTTTTTCAGCAACAGTTGCCTGTACCTGCATGCACGAAAGGGTACAACAAATACACAATAAGCCATAAGACATTCACTAATTATCAGCTTAGTCCAAAACTTAGGGAAAACTAACAAAAAATAATTTCCAATCGATTTTCCTCTTCCCTTTTTAGACTATCTAAATCATAAAACTTGACAGTAATGTGGGCCTTTCTGGGTGAAGTGAAGAAAAACTGAAAAACTGAAAATTTGCTAACCCAAATTTCAACTTTAACAGATAAGCAAATAAAGCTCCGAAATGCAATTGAACAAAACAATTTAGACAGATTGGTTTCCCTAAAATACTTATAATGTGCAGAAAACTTGGTAATTGAACTCAATTCACAAACAAATTTCCCAAAGGTTTATAAAATATGGCCCAATTACAATATCCCAATAAATGGGTCCTTTCAAATTCAAGCAAATATTTAGTAGATAATAAATAATTGGAAGAAAATGACCAGTTATGGTTAGAATTACCTTGAAATGCACCAACTGCTTTCTGGGTCTGAAAGCAACGCGAGTAACAGACGAATATGAAAGAGGATAAACCCTTTTATATGGGTTTTGATTGGGTGGGAGGCCCGGTTGGAGAGAATTGAAGGAGGAGGTGAAGGAGGTGAGCAGAGACGAAGAGAAACGCAGTGAATGGAATGGTAATCGAAAAACATCAGCCATTTTACTTGAAAAAAAAATGGAGAAAATATAGAAAAAAGTAATTAAATAACAGAGCCGTTGAAGATTTTGAGAAAGCTGAGGCGGGTGAGCTCTACACGTACGTGAGGGTCAAAGCCGCCGAAGAAGAAAGGCCATGGCTTTAAAGAAGACCAGTTGTGTGTGTGATAGCATCTAGCGCTGTGTGTGAACCAGAAGACGATGTTAGTTTTTGGTTGATTTTTTTGATGAAAAGTTTTTTGGTTGATTTTGATTCTACTTCTTACTCTCCAATTTCAATAAAAAAAATATATTTGAGAGTTTTTCTATTTAAATCCCACATTTTTCTTTGTTAACTCCATATATTTTAAATAAATAAAAAACTGAAAAAGAGAATAAGGCTGTTTTTGTGATTGCATAAGTAACAAATGACATAATAACATTACATTTTAGTAATATTTATATTAGTTTTTGTTGACTTTCCAAGTGGTATTTAATCTAAATTTTTATAATATTTAAAATGAAAATATTGTGTAATTTCGTATTTAACTTCAAAATTCTCTTTATATTAACGTGTTATTTCTTTCTCAGTTAAGAAATTTTTTTTTAGGGAAAAAAGAGAAAGATTTCTAGTGAGTTGATATTTTATATTCAGTAAAGGGTTTTGGAAAAGTAATTGAGTTTTGCATTATTCACAAGAATTGTAAAAGTCAACAAAACTTTAAATTGGCCGTGAGAAGAACCAGGCCGCTAACCATCTAACCCACTTGGGCCATAAAGAGGGTCTGCCTTTTGGGCTGATGCCTTAAGATTCGGCTTACCCAAACACCCCCAAAACAAAATAAATAAATAAATAAAAGCAAAGAAAATCACATGATGTTACTACCATAAGAGAACTCTAATCTCTATTGATCTGTTATAAAGATTGCTTTGAATTTAAGAGATTTCAGAAGTGCTGCCAAACACAGATCTTTTTAACTGTCTAGAGATGAATTCCCAAACCATTGAGGTTGAAATAGGGATTGCTCTTTAATATGAACTCAAAATTACATATATTTAGACAACACTAATTTATACTACCAGATGATGTCTCTTTACAAAGTTACAGAAATTACAACTCAGCATTTAGAGGCGGGATCCTGTTCGTGGTAGCTCCTATTACATGAAGCAAACAGATGGAACAATACTTTCTATTATGCTTCATCATGCTTCAAATAGTGTACATCACACTTGCCTGAAACTAAGCATGTCTCAAAGAGTGAGCTCATGGATCAGGAAGTAACTGACACTGCCACCTTTCTGCGATCTTTGTATTCATGACCTTATAACCTTGCAAAAACATAATCATATGGTTCCATGATAACCGAATTCGCCAACCACCGCTCAAACTTCAACCAGCTGACTCCACCTGGGATATGCTTGGGGGTGGATACTAAGCACTAGGCAAAAGAACAGACTTTGAAAATGATAGAGATCCATTGTTAGGCGCACCCTGAATATTAAGAATCGTAGTGACCAAGTTGTATATGTGGACATTTTCAAAACTACGAACCTTGCGACCTCTTGCAAACTGAGGACCATGCCCAACGAATATGGTTCTCATGGAAAATACAGCATTGTCATAACCATGTGATCCTCCACATTCTCTCCGCTTTGTCCTCTTTTGTTCTACCTTAAACCCCTCTTCAACCAACCCTATTATAGGTGGAATCCGATCACTCGCTGCATAATGGAGCCTACTAGGAAGCTCCTCCTTAAGATACATTCTCAAATTCTTCCCATTCTCAACTTTCCCCGATTTCAATCCTTCATTCATCTTAGCAACAACATTCGAAGGATCAATTCCTGAAGGCGGACGAATAGCAAGTAATGGAGTATGTGACAGGACCCAATTATCAGGAATTTCAATCCAAGAGGCCAAATCATCTAGGTAAATTAGCTTTTTATCACAAGTACCAACCATCCCATGATCACCCAACAAAATTATAGTAACATCCTCAAAGACCCCTCTTTTCTCTAAACCTTCAATCAACCTCCCAATCATCCTATCAATTCTAGCAACAGCTTCAGTAATCTCAGGATCATCAGGCCCAACCTGGTGACCCTGATGATCAGGGTCCTCAAAATACAGAGTCATAAACGCAGGAATTTCACTACTAGGCAGATCAAAGTAGTTCAAAACAGTATCAACCCTTTGCTCAAAAGGAACAGAACCATTATACTGCATGCAAAGCTTTTCAGGGCAAGTCCAAGAACCTTTATTTACCTCAGAACCAGGCCAGAAATAAGTGGCAGCCTTCAAACCATGATTGACCACAGTCTCCCACAAGGGCTCACCTAGCCACCACTTGGGTTCGTGGCTTCCCATGTTGAAAAACTCCCCTGTGTGCGGATCCACAAAGTGGTTGTTGACTATTCCATGATAAGCAGGGTAAAGACCTGTGACAATTGAGTAATGGTTAGGAAATGTTAGAGTCGGGAACACAGGAATCAAACCCTGCTCGGCCTCGGTCCCATTGGCGATGAGTCTACCGATATTCGGCGTCGGAGTCTTGAATTGGTACCCGAATCGAAACCCATCTGAGGAAACTAATAAAACCACTGGATGGTCAAGTTTTGCTAAAGCCCGAGCCTTGGATTCGACTGATGTGGAGTTGTGTGCGGGCGTTGCTGTGGCCTTTGATGGGTTCGAGAAGAAGAGGAAAGCGAAAGCAATAGCAGCGGAGAGAGCTATGCAGGTGATCAGCAAGAGAGAGATGAAGATGATGGTGGTGCTGGGTTTGTGAGAACGGCATGAGGTCGAAGGTGAGGAGGTGGATGAGTCTGTGTTGAAAGAGAGCAGAGCCGTAGCTGGGTTTGGAAGCTCTTCATCTTGGGTTGGGATCGGTGTGGGTTTCATGGGCAACGAATCCGAACCCATTTCGACAAACCAGCTAATTTCTTCTGGTTTTTCTTCAATGGGTTCAGAGAATTGGAGAATTTGTGATGTGGGTCTTGCTGTTGAGCTATGGAGAAAGAGAAAGAGAGGGGCTTGAGTAAGATGCAAGGGTTAAAGGTTTGGTCTTGTTGTTGCAGACAGTTTGGTGGAAGTTGGCTTTCAACTTTCAAAGAAGACGACTTGTTAATGGTTTTCAACTTTTCTGTGGACCTGCTTTGAGCTGGAAGGAAGGTATGTACGACAACGGATTGGTGTTGGATATTCCAATTATACGTAAAACGACTTGTCGTTTCTCTGTCCTCTCCCTTTCCTTTTTGTTGACGACGTCGTTTGACCCTTCACTCTCACACAATCAAGCAAACAAGAAATAAAGGATTCTGCTTACTGAGAGAGGAGTTTGAGCATAAAAATGGCGTACTTGAGCATGGGAGAGGCCCACAGGAGAATCAACGACTACCTCAACCGCTTCTCCGACGCCGTTTCGACCCAGGACGGGGCTTCCCTCAAGCAGCTCCTCTCTCTCTCATCTAACAACCCGGCTATCCTCTCTCTCGCCGATGCCCTCAACGTCTTCCAGGTCATGCATTTACATGAATGTGTATTTATATATGTATTTGTTTCAATTGGAATTTTAGGGTTTTGATTTTTGCTGTTATTATGTGTGACAGGACGCCAATAGATTGATTAAACAGTCCGATAACGACACTCAATTTGGTGAAATTCTGGTTCATCTGTTCCGTGCTTTTCAGAGCTACCGAGTCGGGAGCTTCATTGATTCTTACCAAGCCTTTGAAAAATCTGCAAAGTATTCATCTTTTAGATTGGTTTTGATTAATTCTGTTATATGTATGTAATTTTATGTCTGGTATTGGTATTTGACTATTGGTGGTGGTGGATGTGCAGTGCTTTTATTCAGGAGTTTAGGAACTGGGACACAGCCTGGGCTTTGCAAGCATTGTATGTTATAGCCTATGAAATTAGGGTTCTAGCCGAGAGGGTAAGACCCGCAATTTCCCTTTTCTATTTTTTTCCCTTTTAATAGAAGAAAAGAATAATATGTGCTTTATTGTTGACCTTTCACAAAATGTGTGCTTTATTTTGTTACTGGTTGTGGATATATTGGGAAGAGGATTCAAGTGAAACTGTTATGTGTGGCTTTGTAGGCTGATAAGGAATTGGCTTCAAATGGAAAGTCCCCGGAGAAGTTGAAGGGAGCTGGTTCTTTCCTTATGAAAGTTTTTGGGGTTCTTGCTGTAAGATTTCTTACTTTGATATTCAATATCTTTCGCTTTTCTTACTAAAACTTTGGTTTGTAGTTTTTCCTCTCTGAATGAAAGTCGATTGTTTTACTCCTGCTTCTATAACATTAACATTTGCATTTTTTTTCTTGGATTTTTGTGAAAAATACTACTATAAATTCAAAAACTAATGTCATTGTTTATCCTTATGAATCCATATTGCTAACTCTTTCATTATTGGTAGGGAAAAGGACCAAAACGTGTTGGAGCATTATACGTGACTTGCCAGTTGTTTAAAGTTTACTTTAAGGTAAGATTTTGTGCACAGTTATGAATTTATTAATACTTTTCAAATATATCTGAATTAGCTATTAGGGCCTCTTTTGAATTCTGAGTAAACCACACGGAACCTGAGCTGCATTATGATGAACTATCTTTTATTACTCTGCAGCTTGGTACAGTTCACCTTTGCCGCAGTGTGATAAGGAGCATTGAAACTGCAAGAATATTTGATTTTGAGGAATTCCCTAAGAGAGATAAGGTCGGAATTGACTTTGATTGAGCAGATGCTATTTTCTTTCCTTTTCTTTCCTTTTTCCCCTCCCCTTTTGAATTGTGCAACTAGTTTTTATGTTTATTCTCACTGTTGTACTGTGATATGCAGGTCACTTACATGTATTATACAGGCCGCCTAGAAGTTTTCAATGAAAATTTCCCTGCTGTAAGTAACCTAATTTCCATGGTGTTAGTAGTGTGCAAGTTTCTTGTTTATTAAGTTATTTAAGTGGTGTTTTTGGTTTTGGTTCGGGGTCACCCTCTGGATTCTTGAATTCTGGAATTTAGAGACACTTGATAGAGAAATGAGCAGTTCCATCCTGTGTCTTATGGTCATTTTAAATAATGAAATTGGATTAGATTCACTCACAGCAGATGTGTCATCAGATTATAGATTTGATATCAGTGGGCGTCTTATCCTATACTGAATTCACTTATTTCTATGCATGCGAAAGCTCTAGAACTGAAAATCTAGGTTTTCTTCAGCCGTGCTATTGACTAAATCGACTTTTGTCACCCTGCAGGCTGATCATAAATTGTCATATGCCTTGAGGCATTGCAATCCACAGAGTGAAGCAAATATAAGGTTCGGTTCAGGTGTGCTTGTTGCATATATGTTGCATCTGCATGATAGACTTTATGGGGTATCTTTGTAGAGAAAATGATTGTTGTTGTGCCTATATATTCTTTGGCTTGAATCATCTTTTTATTTGTAAGATGTTGATACTAGAATTTGATTTTGATAATTGGCCAAACTGATCCTCTAGTATCTGTCATGATAAGACAAATGGATGATCATTTTACTTCCATTCTGTTAAAATGATGGTGTTACCTGAATCTAAAATTCAACATCTCTTACAGAAATGGTTGTAGACATCAATATCCTTCTAATTTTCTGCCGTTTTAGGTTTATATTCTGACTCGTCATAAAACATCTTGTGAGAAGAAGTCTAACATGAGATTTATAAATTTTGTACCATCCTTTTATTTTGTACTCATTTTTAAATTGTTTGTATTTGCATAGGATGATATTGAAATATTTGATACCTGTGAAGCTTTCAATCGGCATCTTACCAAATGATTGGCTTCTGGAAAAGTATAACCTGGTTGAGGTTTGTCATTCCCTTTGACTTGTTTGTTATTTCCTTTACCTACAAGAGAAATTATTCAATGGGGTGGATGATGTGAAATGAGTTTATGTTACTTGTATGCTACATAAATCTATTTACCAGTGTTCTCAATGAAGAAGAGTGTAAACCTTAGCCTTCCCCCACGCCCATTTTCCCCCCTTTTCAAAGCTGTGACTAAATCCTAGTTTACAACTTCTTGCTTTCACAGTATAAGAATGTTGTACAAGCTCTAAAAAGAGGTGATCTCCGACTTCTTCGGCATGCTCTTGAAGAGCACGAAGATCGGTATGCTTGGCTTTCTTTCTGAAAATCTTGAGATAGATAAAAATCATTTTCTGGAAGATGGAAACTGAGTCCGTTAAAATAAAACAGGTTCTTGAGATCAGGTGTATATCTTGTCCTAGAGAAGCTAGAACTCCAAGTCTACCAGAGATTAATAAAGAAAATGTAAGTTCCCGTGCCACTTTTTATAGTTTGATAGTAGAATTACTCCAAAGATTCAGTTCATGACTACCACATGCTCATCGTGCAGTTACATTATCCAAAAGCAGAAGGACCCGATCAAAGCTCATCAGCTAAAATTAGAAGTAATTGTCAAAGCATTGAAATGGCTTGAGATATCCATGGATCTCGATGAGGTGGAGTGCATAGTGGCCATATTAATATACAAAAATCTTGTGAAGGGGTACTTTGCACACAAGAGCAAAGTTGTAGTTTTAAGCAAGCAAGATCCTTTCCCTAAATTGAATGGAAAGCCTGTCAATTCATAGAGAAAATTGACAGAAGTAGTTTGGTGTTGAAAAATATGCTATGTAGATGTTATGGGTTGGCCAGTTTCAGTTCCTCGTCATTGGAATGAAGAATTGCTGCTTTGTACCTGAAAAATGTTGTCAAAGGGAATCATATGGAGGGGTTTGGGCCACACATATGAGGCAGCTTATAATGACAAAAGCTATACAAGTCTCTTATTTTTACAGCCCTTGTAATTTTGAATTTTGTGAGTCATGTTTTTCTTTTTTGAAAATCTTGAGAACTCAACAGCCATCATAGATTCATGTTCATGCTCATTATTCCCCCCCAAATATATATCAATTTTGTTAGGAATTATGTCTATTTCTTCAAACTTGATTTCATCTGTTCTTTATTTCTCCATTTTCTGACATATAATCTGAATATTAACGTTGTTATTCCTCAACAGGAGCACTGTTGATGTGTAGTAACCTGCAAATTAGTAAATTAATGGGGGTTTATATTGTTTTACCGCGGTTAATTCTTCTTGCACCTCTGTGCTACTGTGAATTAAATACGTACAAAATCCCAGTAAACAAATAGATGCATAAGCATATTGCCCTTATAGATAATCAACTCATTGGACAAATATATCAAAAAGGATATCATCAAGAAGTTCCAGGCATTAGGCAAAATTTGTAGAGGTTCCATAACCAAACTCCCAAAAAAGGGGAAGGAAAAAAAAACAAACCAAAACAACTGTCACTTCAAATATGTAATTGCTTCAGTACATAAGCGCTCATCATACTATTGGAACATGATCTGAAATATATCTACTTGGCGGTGCACGAAGCAAACTGACAAACTTCAACTTTGAAGCACCATCAGAGTTCAGAGGGAAGGGTAGTCTGTATGTTTGAAGGCATCAGAATATTATAACCATCTGCTGCAGTTGAAACGAGCATGCCAGGAATCTGAGCATGCCAATGAAGTTCTTTGAGGTCTTTTTGTCCCTGTTACCATAAATAACCATGAGTTAAATGACTGAACAAGTGAGGGTTTTTGGAGTAGAACAGTCGGTCAAAACTGTTTACCTGATGGACAAAAAGAAGTTGTGGAGGTAAATCTTTTGGAGCATTCACTTGCTCCTTTGTTTTAGCTTTGAATTCTGCCTCCTCTTCCTCATCATTTTCCAAAGATAGATCCCATATTCTGGTAGCGAAAGCCAAATGACAAAATATTTTGAGTTCAGACATAGAAAGCACGAAAGTATTAGGTTTTAATGTAGGATTATCACTCTAATCTGGTCTTTAAATATTACTTACGTTAGCTGATTGTCAGAAGATGACACTGCCAAAGTGGAGGCTTCATGTGGACTCCACTCAATGGATGTGATGGGGTGTTTATGGTATTCAAAATGTGCCACTACAGAATCTCCTTCCTACGTGCAAATAGAGGAAAGAGGATAAATAATTTTAGTTGTTGATTATCAATGAACTTAAAAAAAACATAATTTAACCCAATTTAACACTCATGGTAAATGAATTACAAGAGAAAATGTCAGATGGATGCAGAAGTACCAACAAGGCATACCTTAAGCAATCTAAGATCGCGAATGGAAAAAGTACCATCATCACTTCCAGATGCCAGCATACAACTAGCCAGCCTAAGAAAAGAAAAATGGTGCCAAGGTCATCATATCATATGAAGCACAAAAGGTATCACAACAAACAAAAACAACAAACGTTCAAGATTTAAGCACCTATTCCAAGAAATAACATTCACATCTGCATCATGCGCCTTAAAAGAAGTTGCTGGTGACTTTCCCAGACGGATATCCCATATTGCTACGTTCCCATCCACAGAACAAGAGGCAAATACATCAGGTTCAGTAGGACTCCACTGCAAAGATAAAAGGTAAAAAAGTATCGCTAATGGATCAGAAAATATTAAGGAAAACTACTCTAACTAGATTGTAAGGTTGACTATATGCTTTATAACAACAGATCGAACTTTAGCTTCCCATCTTAGCTACATACTTGCAGATCCTCCACACTTGAAGTATGTCCAATATACGGAGTAGTATCAACATTCCATGTGGAACCCGATGTAGGTTCCCACAAATGTATATAATTCTTGCAATCCCCTTTTAAAATCAAGAACATAAAAAAAAAATCATTAGTTTCAATGAAAAAAGCAATATATTATTAAATACCCTTGATAGAGAAAAAGAAGATATTAAACTAAGATAACAATAGTACCAGATAGAAGCCTTCCAGGTACAAGTGGACTCCAGTCTAGAGCAAACCCTTCATCTTTATGCCCAAACTTAACCAATGGAGCCTGGTTAAAAACTGAAGAAGCTCCCTGGCTAACGTCTGCCTCTGATTCTGCTAAAGCATTTAAATGAGAACTGAAGTCCCAAACCTGCAAGAGTAGCAGGATTAATCCATGTTTAAAGTAAAATGTAATGGTCATTCAAGTGTCAGTTTAATATGAGGAACTTGTATTTAATGTAGTTGTGAGTTTATTCTATTAAACCATATAAGGAACTTGTAGTCATAATCTATTCTTTATGCTCAAAATGTGTACATATTTATATAAATTGAAATTGATGAAGAACTCATCCAGGATATAAGGATATAAAGTCTGACCTGCACATGACCAGTATCTGCCCAAGATGCACATATATGGGGATTTTGTGTCATGGCGCGTATACGATTAACACATCCTTCATGAGCTACCTTGCGCAACTGTACATGAGAACAAGAAACATGGATATGCGCATAGATGAGATCAAAACTAAGCAAGATGAAGATGAGATGAATCATGTCTGGGATGTAACAAAATATTGCCTGCAAAACTGGTGCGCCAGATCCACCAGCCTCCTCATCATCATTATCTTCGTCACTATCACTATCCTCACTATCCATATTAGAGTCTTCATCTGCAGGTTTGGCAGGCACTGGTTCGCGCTTTTTCCCAGAAATGTTGGATACTTTAAATATTCCAAGAGAGTTCCAAGCAGCTTTCTCTGCCTGCACAAGAAGAAGTTTGAGTATTCACCATCACTATCGTATGGGTGAAAGAAAAGCGAGAGATAAATCATTCAGAAATTTAAGAGATAAAGCTCACCTGAGTCCCGGCAACGAAATACACTGTATGGGGGAACTCTGTCCGAACCAACCCCAATGTATCTCGTACAATATCAAAGCTGTCAAAAGTAATTCACTTTTAGCAGTGAATTGGAAACCTCTAAAACATAATTCAATACTCTGCGTAAGCCATAAGAGTTTCCGACGTTAAAAAAGCTAATCATTAACAGCCAAAAAAACAATAAAAAGCAATAGGTGTATGCTTAGTTCAACTTAGTTATACTAAGTTCAGCTAACCAAGCTCCAACACTTCAAACCCAGAATTCAAAGTTTAAACTTTATGCCTTTCCTGCAATTTCTGGGCAACCAAAAAGAAGAATAAATGAAATTCAGAGCAACCTTAAACAAGGCCAACCAATATGGAAGGCATGGAGAGAATTGTAAGCTGATGGGTCACACTGGAGCTCTTCGCCTTCCTCCAACTTGTCCACCCCTGGTTGCCATACCTTCGCAGGCATCGATGGTATTGCAGAGGAAGAAGACCCATCTCCTTTCTTTGAGCCCTAAACAAGAATTCAATTCGATTGAATTGGTGAAAGATAAACCCCCATTGACTGAAGTAATTAAACAATTAAAGGCGATGGAAGTGGATTGGAGCTGACCTTGTTCTTTCTCTTGGCTTTCTTAGGGTTCTTGATGCTTCGGACCATTTCTAATCTTCAGGTTTTCCAGAAACAGAGACTGATGAAGCAATGAGAAACAAAGCAAACCGAAGAGAAAGAGGGGTTTTGGTGGGGCTAGGGTTTTAGCTTATCGGGCTTCAGGCTTCCTGCTAATAAAAATGCTATATTTTTCCAGCCCAAAAATAACTTATTCATAAAACAAAAGGGCCTGGGCTATTGGGCTAAAACTGACTGCTTTATCCGTTTGGGCTACAAAAACGAAAAAACAAAAAAGTGTCTGTAATGGCATTACTTCTAGAATGACTGACTTATTTGCAGAAGTCTTGTACATGTTGTTGAAAGGTTTGAAATTTTTATTGGGTGCTTTTGACATGTTCGTTTAATCCTTCATGGTTCGAACTTCTCATAGTCCGATTCCTCTCTCTCTCTCTCTCTCTCTCCTCTCTCTCTCTCTCTCTCTCTCTCTCTCTCTCTGGTTCTGTATTTTGTAGAGCCATTTTCCTGATTTGGAATTGGAACATTTGATATGCACCTCACATCACATTATTTATGTCTAATTTTTCAATGGTTCTATTTCTACTTGGATGGAAGTTAGAAAGAACCTTTTGTTTCTATCTAATATTGCTGTCAACTTTAGGTACAGCGGCTGGGTGGATGCATTGCAGATCATATAAATGGCTGAAGGTGCCCTCTGAACATCCCCTGTGTTGCATGGCATATTCCGGCTTCAGCTTTTGCACGCTTAGGGACCATTTCAAATTTACAGGGAAGCATTGAGGAATGATTAGCATACAAAAAGTTTGCTAGAATGTCAAATAGAGAAAAAGAGTTGCCTTTATAGGGGGCAGGGGGGCAGCTTGAGGATTTTATTTTTCCATCCTGCCCGCTGTGTTGACAGATCGGGCATTTGAATTGTCTCCAAGTAATGACTGTACTACTATTGGCAATTTGGTAAACCCTGTAGAAGGTGCAATGAACTTAACAAAATTCGACAAGGGTGAAAGTAAAGGCATCTAACTATTTCCTCAACCTCTCTTTTATTTATTTATTTATTTATTTAATTTTGTAAATTTTGTAAATTTTTTAATTTTACAAGTGATAATTGACATTAAACTAAGGGCTTGTTTGGGAGTGCTTTTGGAGCAGCGAAAAGCGCTTTTAAATGGGTGAAAGCGCTTCTGTCTTTTAAAAATTGTGTTTGGCAAAAATTGCAAAAGCGCTTTGGGTGAGATCCAAAGCACTTGGAGTGGTTTTGGAAGAAGCACTTGAGATGTGCTTCTTCTTAAAAGCGCTGCAGGACAAAAACACGGGAAGCACTTGGCTCCCTTTAATGAAACTTTTAAAATGCCAAAAATACCCATATTTAATTTTTTAAAATGCCAAAATACCCTTTTTTTTCTTTTTCCATATTTGGATGAGCATTGCTTGATCAGCTACCCATCTTCCAAATTCCAATATATATATCCCCTCCTCTTTTCTCAGACTTCCTCTTCCCTTAAATCCTTGCCCACCATCGGAGATTCAACTATGAACCCGATTAGCATTGAACGCCTTGTTATAAATGGGAGGAGGTACCAATTAATTACAAGTGCTGCTGGTGCAGTCAACCTCTCTTACCTTGTTGACATTCACAATCATATGGTTAACGATGTTGTGTAGAATATAGGACAACTGGGCTGCTTATCTGTGCCTTAATTGATTTGCTGCAATCAGCAGATTGAGCATGTAAATGTGCTGCAATCATTGTTTATTGGCTTTTTCAAAATTTTGAAGTTGCAACATGAGAGATCTCGGTCTGATTTTTTTAAAGTACTTTTAAAAGTGCTTTTATTATGTCAGCCAAACACTCAACAAAATTTCAAAAGCGCTTTTATGTAATGTAAAAGCACTTTTAAATGTGACATCCAAACGACAACTACTTCTTTGTAGAAGCGCTTATGTCATAAGCGCTACTAACATAAGTGCTACTAGCATAAGCGCTTCAGGAAGAAGCACTCCCAAACAAGCCCTAACCTAAACTACGTAGAGGGGGAATTCGAAATTTGATGCAAAGTGGGGAGCACATTCGCGCTAGCTAATTTGGCTAAGCTCATCTCAGCATTTTCTCAATGTTTTAGATCCAATTAATGTGGCACTTTTTTAATATTCAGAGCCATTTTAAACCATTTAGGTTGATGAATGATAAAAATAAAGGTATCACATAATTAATTAAATTGTGACCAGAAGCTAGTGCGCTTTTGACAAGAGAATGACATTTACTTATTATATTTAGTAATTGGACAATTACAAATGTCATTGCGAAACATGACAAACAAGAGAACTAATCCGAAGCCCCAAAAAAAACAAAAGTATTTACGTTAATAAAAGATATGGTATTTTTGATTAATTTTACTCTTAATAATCCTTGCAAATTGGACCAAAGATGAGAGATAGAGATCTCTCTCCTCACGTCACACATTAGATGAGGAAAGAGATGGGCATGAGAGGGTAAACACCGTCGCATCCAATTCTTAGTCCTAGACAGGCCTTGCATGACGACGGCGCCAATTTGCTTGCATCCTACAAGCTAGCAGATGCTCCACCTCCTCTATATGACCGAGCCTGTTCTTAAAATGCCACCAAAATCTGGAGACAACAATGTTCAAGTTGTTGGCTCTGATGGCAAATGCTTCAACTTTCGTATGGGCCTTGACAATTCTGGTTGAGTTGGGAAATTCAGAAAAAGAGCTCAATTTTGATGCCCAATTTAGAAGCTCTTCTCCGTAGAAGTCACCTTTCACAAGACACTTGATCGCTGACGCTGAGGAACCACTTGCATTGGTTGGGTATGACCATGCCGTACCTTGGGTGATGAAGAGCATCTTATCAAGTGGTTCTCCCTCTCGAAAAATATACTTGTCTTCGCTATACTTCACCAACTGAAGATGCTCACAGATTGCTTTCAACACGTTTTCATTCATATTTTCCAGCATTGGGACCTATATAATATTAATTTTATTCAAGAAAAAACCAAAGAGAATAAATTAATCTAGCAAGGGATATAAATTTATAATAGCTAGGAATACGAACGCATGCATGTTATGTTATGATGAAAAATCCAATAAACATGTACATACTTTTTTCTTTACTTCAAATTCTTGTAATATATATATTCCATAATTTGGTAAACAAATTAAGTACTTACTTTTTGTAGTAAATTCAAACTGAGAAGCCACATAATACGTCTTCGGTATATAAGAGGAACAAGAGAGAGAATATTCTCCACATCAACTTCTTTGTTTTCTTCAACTTTTCGGTTTAAGTTTTTCATGATGACCATCTTCAAATTCTTATCATAAGGGGCGTTTTTAGACAACCATAAATCTATAGATGGATTCATCATCTGCATCTTTCGTCTCAATTTATGCTGACTTGATCTTTGTCGTGACATCTACATGTGGTTAATTTCATAACCAGTTGGAATGAAGATGTGAAAATAAATGGTTTACATCTTTGAAAAAATTTCATAGTGGACCCTAAAGGGTGTTCCTCAAATAAAATTATTTGAAAAATTACTCAATAGAATAAGACTATATATATAAAGACTGATCACACAAACCTGTATCCTTGTATTGAGATATATTAAAAATAGCACTATTCCACTTATAGATACCAAAATCGTAAAAAGGATTTCCACCCAATAGAGACTAGTCTGGAGGTTTGAACCAAAAGAACTGCAAAATTAAAAAGCACAATATATTAGATACTAACATCTAGGAAAATTCTTCAATAAGTATTTTATGAATTGATTACATATTTCAAATCTTGACTGTTGGATTGCATATTAAATCTACCAACACATATAGTGAATTAAATACAATGGCCGAGATTAGAAATATGTAACCAGTCCTTAACTTAATACTTATTAGAGAATCTCCCCAATGTCTAAATTGAAGTAGTAACTATAGTGCGCTTTATATTTCCTTCACTAGATTTGAACTTAGTTCTTTATCCAAAAAATAAAAAAGATTTGAACTTAGTTCTTTCTTCAACAAAGAAACGTCATTTAAATTTCTTTTTATTTATTTATAGAAGGTGATTAGAATTTTATTAAATCAATAAGAATAACATTATAAAAGGATACAGACAGTAAAGGGAGTCATTCCAATAACAATATGGCAAAAATGGGTAAAACTTCTCCAGTGACCTAAGCTAGCCGAATAGCTGAAATGATCTTGAGAGAATCACTCTCCAAAGTAACTTTTCTATAACCCCTCTCAACTGCCATAATTTCCTCGAATCTAGTCCAATGACATTAATGACAAAAACTAGCCTATAACCGGCATGACTGTCCTTGATAGACTAAGAACACCCAGCAAACTCAACTAAGTTTCTGGAATCATAAGAAAAAAAAACAATTTATTGAACAAACTAAACAAAAAAAAAGTTAACTAAAACAATGATGGCAAAGGAAAACCAACTGCCGCTAATCTTCCTTCAAAACATGACATAGAGAGCACCACCTAGCAACTCCAGGGCCTCAACACTCAAATGAGCAGTGGATCTACCTTGACCAAGCTGCAACACCTCAAAGAGAGGCCTCACAAGATGAGGCACAACCAATACTAGCCCAGAGAAGAGTAAATCGATATAAGTCCACCAAAAACCGAAGAACAAAGAAGATCCGGGGAAACTAAATCTCTCTCTCTCTCTCTCTCTCTCTCTCTCTCTCTCTTAGCAGTTAGTTAGGATTTTATAATATTTCTCTGTCTAATGTTGGATGAAGAAATTCTTTTCGAAACATCATTTAATTGACCCAATGACATAATACAACCATTTAAATTTGTTTATGATAAGCATTAATTAGCTGTGGGATTGTATATAGATAAAGTGAAATACTCTATTAAGAATTTTATGTTTAGAATTAGTTAATGATTTCTAATATCAGACATTGGATTACATGTATATTGCATAATAAATTCACCAACAAATCTAATGAATTTATATTAGAAATTTAGTTAATAAACATCAAACAGTTATGATACCTCAGATTGCGCAATCCCCACCAGAAACTTTGAAACATGTTTCGTGGAATAGACGTTGACCTGGTCATGTTAGACTGAAGAGCGTAGAGAAATATACCAAAATCGAAGATAGTTGCATCTGGTGGATTTATAGGGCATGATGCCTTTATATGCGTGATATTGAGATGCAAATTGGGGAAGTAAATCTCAGTATCACAGTAGAAATCATAACCTGTTTGAGGGAGATCACATCCCACCCTTTTATCGTGACAGGCATGCCCCCAACAATCTACCTCTCGTTGAAGAGAAAGACGGTACCACAAGGCTCCGTATAGCTGAAGGACACCAGCAAGCAAGGCAGTTAATAATAATAATCTCAAGTTTTAAAAAATATTTTTTATACAAAGTAAAAGTAAAAGTAATAATGGAGAAAGCCCCTTGTGTTTTTTTTTGTTTGATACAAAGCCCCTTGTTATTTTGGGGGCTGTTAAATGTGTGAGTATGGTCTCCATGAAGTGACAAAATCATTTTAGACGAAGTTTGTTTCAAACGTAATAGACTCAAAAAATTAATTTAGAGTCAATGTGGTATAGCCTAATAGAAAATGACATTTACTTGTAGACTAATGGTTTGAGGTTTGAATCCTCGTGGCACATTGACAATATGTGTGAAAAAAACCTCTCTCCCTCAATATTGCATGAATAAAAAATATTATTTAGGCATTAAATTGTGACAAATAATTTAGGTACTAAATTTGGAGAGATGCCAAAGTTCGGGTTCCCAAATTGGAAAAAAAAACCCCAAATTTTATATATCCATTCAAACACATCCAGACATTGATAATGCAAGTTTACTTAAGGAAATTTTTTGTGCTAGAACTAAATTAAAGTAAGCTGAAATATATATATATATATATATATGAGAGATAAGATTGAAACTTACATGAGCAGCAAGGATGAAGGGAAGAAAATCCAATATAGCATTAAGCCATCTTCCTATTTTAGTTTCTATGTCAGTACACCGCTTGAGAAGCTTGTATGTGTGATGAATCCGTAGTGTATATTGGGCCGGAAGAAAAAGCACATATAGTGGAACAGAGGATGGTGATAGCTGGAAACATTATACGATGGTTTAAGCCAAATTAAATATGATATTATAAAAAGTACATTAAATGATGATCTGTTGTATTTCACATATGTCACATTTTTCGTTATCCACATCTGGGTCTATTGGTGATTAATTTGCAGCTGCAGCTATACCATGCATGCGTGTGTGTTAACACTAAAACAAATAGTTGAAAAGCAAAATGAATGAAATTGACAGAACAGAAGGCTTATGTTGATTACCTGTAGAATGGGATAAGCACGAAAACCACGAGCTGAAACAAATTGCCTTAGCACTAGGATGGTTCTTGCCTTAAATGATGTCTTAGCATTAGGCTTGCTACGAATTCGCCGACCACAAAATATGGCAATGTCCATTACATAAAAGAGATCTAGGGCGGATCGTAAGCCCACAATTGAGCACAACAAGTATAGGTCCACATGGTAGCACGCACGGGCCCCATCTACGACAGAAACGTAAAGGTATACAGGATCAAGGAAGACAGCAAATACACATGATATCGTAAATACTATATCCCACTTTCGGAGGAACGTCGTTGCTGGCTGCTCATCATGTGGACCAAGAATCTCCTTTGTTGTTGGCCATTGTCCAATTGATCTGTGCCCTCCAGCTTCATCATGATCAACACTAAACAAGACACACAAACAAACAAGCATTTAGATACAAGTTTTTCTTTAAAAGAAAAAGGAAAATGTTCTGAGAATTAGAGAAAGAAACTAGGCTTAAAATCAGAAGACAAAAACTGACAATGTTTGTGAAATCGTGAATACCACGACGACTAACTGGGGACCCAAAGGACATTCTATGTACAACGAACCCCTAATTCTTTATACTTATAAAAAAAAAAAAAACAAAAAAAAAAAAAAAAAAAAAAACTAAAATAACCTAAATAAAAGAAAAAGTTTTCCTCAAAATTGAGGAGTTCCTCTAGTTTTGACACGTGTCAAATTATTTTAATATTCTTTGTTTTTTTGTTGTTGATACTTTGTTAATGCTACTGGAATTTGATAAGTGTCAAAATCAAATTGGTTGTGAGGAGGAGGTCCTCCTCAATCTTAAGGAGCCAAGCCATGCTCCATAAATAATAAGCAGCTCCCCCATCATTTAGGACAATACTTCCATCCTTACCCATAAGGAGGAACTCCTCCTTACCTTCTATTTGTCGTCATGATTGTGTTTTTTTAGAGTTCCTTGATCAAAAGCTGCAGTGTAGTTCTTTGTATGTTGCATGAGTTATTGGGCATGGTCAAAGGTAAGGAGTGGGATGTAGTAGTGGTATTGGGCGTGGTTGAGAGCTACGTCTCCCTCCTCTGTTTTTTTTTGTTCTTAGTTTCCTACTTTTTTTATTTATTTTGCTCCCCCCTCCCCCCCTTTGCTTTTTTTTTTTTTTTTTTTTTTTTTTTTTTTTTTTTTTTTTTGTTTGCGTGGTTCACACTACAACATCATCTCTCTCTTTAGTTAGCGGTCGAAGTGGGGGCGGCGGGGAGGGTTGATGATGTCGATTGGGAAGCCAAATTGGGGTCATGTGTAGTGAGGTTGTGGGCGTGGTCATGGGTGTGGCTGTCGTTGTCGTTTTGGGTGTTTGGTGTATTGGATGGGGACAAGTGTATGTGATTGAGCTTAAATGAAATAAGATAATTTAGATAATGGCATTTTTCATAATTTTGATGTGTTTTCAGTGTATTATTGTAAAATTATATGCCACTTTTTGGCCATTCACCTTAACCAAATTAGGTGAAATTTTATTATTATCTACCATAATAGTAAACTCCCAAATGACTATAAACCAAAACTCCATTTAAATTAATATTATATGAATTTTTAAATCAGTTTTTTTCTCCATCCTTATATTAAATCCATGATGGTGTGACTACAAATTCCTTGGACCATAGAGTCCAGGAGAATTGGGATGGAGGGTTTCATTTCCCCCAATTTCCCATTTGACAGGGAACCCATTTCCCATACCTGAACTTATCAAACATTTGATTTCTCATTCCCATGCCCATTTCTATGAACCAAATGCACGATAAGTTTTTTTTTCATTCTCTATCATTTAATTTCTCATTCTCATTCTCTATTTTTTTTCATTTTGTAAATAAATCTATAAAAAAAATCATTTCCTTGGTACGTATAGGATCTTTTGTTTATACATAGAAAAGTTTAAAGAAAGAAAATCTGACCTTTCAACCAGGAATTAAAGAAGAAGAAAAAACTAGCTAACCTTATGGCTGTTGAGTCATGACTGGAGTCCGCCATAACTGAAGCTTATTAATGATAGGATATGTCCTATGAAGTATGAGCAGAAGCAAGAAGCATGTTAAAAGCCAGTACCACAAAAGTTGGATATAATTAGCAAGTCCTAGTAAGAAGAGAAGCCCCCTGCTATAACCCGAGACTAAGAGATGTTCATATAAGATGGATGGAGAGAGAGTTTAAAAGTGCATTGAAACTTACACCAGTACTTGCAGTAGTGATACTCTACCTGATCAGTTTCATTGAGAGAGAGAGAGAGAGGGAGAGAGAGCACGAACAACACGAGTTAGAATGGGTAACTAGGATGGTTCTTGCCTTAACTGATTTCTCTCCTCTTGTTTCCCTTTTTGTGGTGGAGGCCCCAGATGTCTTAGCGTTAGGCTTGCTACAAATTCGCCGAGGACAAAATATGGCAATGTCCATTGCATAAAGAAGAGAGAGAGAGAGGAATACTTAGCACATAAGGATGAGAGGAATACTTAGCACATAAGGATGAGAAGACAATGGAATCCGAATCTAAAGACAAGGGTCTGATTGGTGGTAAAAAAAGTAGAAAGTTAAAGAGAGTATTTATGGGATCAAAACATGATTTATTTATTTTAGGAGGATCATCATGAAAAGTTAAAAAGCCTTGTAACAATACAAAGTTACTTTTGTGCTGCTGTGTAACCATATTAAATCATTATTACATATAAAGATAGATGTTTATGTATGTTGCCAAGTCTAGACAAGGTAATATTCCAGTTTTTGACATGCGGCATGAGTAATAGTTTTTTTAAAATATATTATTTCAGGATAAGATATTTAATTACGTGGAAGAAGTACGATGTTATATACCTATAGAATGGGAAGAGCAGCACAAATGCGCCTAAGAACTTGTTTTCCTCTTTTCGGCCGAGGCGGCCGACAAAAGGAACTTTTGGTCATTCTTTTTTTTTGAGTGCGGGGCGTGCCACCACCAAGCCCCGAATTTGGGCTTGAATGGAATGTGAGTAGATGGATGTGTTGCGTCCGAGATTTGACTTTATCAAACGATTGTTCGGGCCGAGCAAGGAACCTCCTCACGACCTAGTTCTTTCACTACCTCAGGTCAAGGCTTTATGTGAGCTACCAAATGATGTGGAGTGAGTGGAGATGTAGATGGAAGGTGAAAACGTAATGAAACAGAGAACAAGTGCGTAAAGTAAAGGTGCTTAAACTTAAATATAATTTAAAGACAATGCGTAAATAAAGTGTGAAAGATAAATAACGTAAAGACGAGAATTAAAGTGCGATAAAATGAATCAAAGCGATAAGTAAAGCAAGAACGAAATGAAAGCGATAAGAACGATAAAGTAGAATGAACTTGAAATTAAACTTAATTGAAGTGCGATAACAATGAAACGTAAAGCAATTGAAATAAACTTGAATTTAAATGACAAGAAAATATAAATTGAACGAGAATTTAAACTTATACTAAGAAAAGGAAGAACTTGCTACACTAAGTGCATGAAAAGTAAAATCCTAAGTCTAGGAAAAGAAAAGTGCGAGACGAAAAATAGATTTGTCTGTCTGATGTTGTGTGTCTTCTGTCTTTGGTGCAGACTGAAGAGCACATCCGCACTATCTAATTTGGCTAAGCCCATCTCAGCATTTTCTCAATGTTTTAGATCCATTAATGTGACACATTTTTAATATTCAGAGCCACACCCCAAAAAAAACAAAAGTATTTACATTAATAAAAGATATGGTTTTTTGATTACTTTATACTAAATAATCCTTGTAAATTGGACCAAATCTCTCTCCTCACGTCACATGTTAGATGAGGAAAGAGATGGGCATGAGAGGGTAAACACTGTAGCATCCAATTCTTAGTCCTAGACAGGCCTTGCATGGCGACGGCGCCATTTTGCTTGTATACTACAAGCTGCCAGATGTTGCCACCTCTCCAACTGGGACTCCTCTATATGACCGAGCCTCTTGCTAAAATGCCACCAAAATCTAGAGACAACAATGTTCAAGTTGTTGGCTCTGATGGCAAATGCTTCAACTTTCGTATGGGCCTTGACAATTCTGGTTGAGTTGGGAAATTCAGAAAAAGAGCTCAATTCTGATGCCCCAATTTAGAAGCTCTTCTCCGTAGAAGTCACCTTTCACAAGACACTTGATCGCTGAGGAACCACTTGCATTAGTTGGGTATGACCATGCCGTACCTTGGGTGATGAAGAGCATCTTATCAAGTGGTTCTCCCTCTCGAACAATATACTTGTCTTCGCTGTACTTCACGAACTAAGATGCTCACAGATTGCTTTCAACACGTTTTCATTCATATTTTCCAGCATTGGGACCTATATAATATTAATTTTATTCAAGAAAAAACAAAGAGAATAAATTAATCTAGCAAGGGATATAAATTTATACTAGCTAAGAATACGAACGCATGCATGTTATGTTATGATGAAAAATCCCATAAACATGTACATACTTTTTTTCTTTACTTCAAAATCTTGTAATATATATTCCATAATTTGGTAGACAAATTAAGTACTTACTTTTTTTAGTGAATTCAAGCTGAGAAGCCGCATAATACGTCTTTGGTGTACAATAGGAACAAGAGAGAGAATATTCTCCACATCAACTTCTTTGTTTTCTTTGACTTTTTGGTGTAAGTTTTTCATGATGACCATCTTCAAATTCTTATCATAAAGGCCGTTTTTATACAACCATAAATCTATATCTAGATTCATCATCTGCATCTTCTGTCTCAATTTAAGCTGACTTGATATTTGTTGTGACATCTGTATGTCGTTAATTCCATAACCAGTGGAATGAAGATGTGAAAAATAAATGATTTAGATCTTTGAAAAAAATTTCATAGGGAACCTAAAGGATGTCCCTCAAATAAAATTATTTGAGAAATCCCTCAATAGAATAAGACTATATATATAAAAAGGCTGATCACACAAACCTGTATCCTTGTATTGAGATATATTAAAAATAGCACCATGCCACTTATAGATACCAAAATCGTAAAAAATATTTCCACCCCATAAAGGCTAGTCTCGAGGTTTGAACCAAAAGAACTGCAAAATTAAAAAAGACAATATATTAGATACTAGATACTAATGTCTAGGAAAATTCTTCAATAAGTATTTTATGTTAAGAACATATTTCTAATCTTGACTGTTGGATTGCATATTAAATGTAGCAACACATCTAACGAATGCAATCCAATGACTGAGATTAGAAATATGTCACCAATCCTTAACTTAATATTTATTGGAGAATCTCCCCAATGTCTAAATTGAAGTAGTAACTTTAGTGCGCTTTATATTTCCTTCACCAGATTTGAACTTAGTTCTTTATCCAAAAAATAAAAAAGATTTGAACTTAGTTCTTTCTTCAACAAAGAAATGTCATTAATTTTTTTTTAATTTATAAAAGTGATTAGAATTTTATTAAATCAATAAGAATAACATTATAAAAGGATACAGATAGTAAAGAGAGTCATCCCAATAATAATATGGCAGACATGAGTAAAACTTCCCTAGTGACATAAGCCAGCCGAAGAGCTGAAACGATCTGGAGAGAATCACTCTCCAAAGTAACTTTTCTATAACCCCTCTCAACTGCCATTATTTCCTCGAATCTAGTCCAATGACATTAAGGACAAAAACTAGCCACTAACCGGCATAACTCTCCTAGATAAACTAAGAACACCTAGCAAACTCAACTAAATTGCTGCACTCATAAGAGAAAAAAACATAGAAAATTCATAGACTTTTTGGAATTTATTGAACACACTAAACAAAAAAAAAATCCTAAAACAATGACGGCAAAAGGAAAACCAAACACCGCTAATATTCTCTCGGGACACAACATAGAGAGCGTCACCTATAGTTACTCCGGGGCCTCAACACACAAATGAGCAGTGGATCTACCGTGACCAAGCTGCAACACCTCAAAGAGGGGCCTCACAAGATGAGGCACAACCAATACCAGCCCAAAAAAGAGTAAATCGATATAAGTCCACCAAAAACCAAAGAACATCAAAGATACGAGGAAAAAACTCCGGGATCTAAAGAGTTCTCTCTCTCTCTCTTAGCAGTTAGGATTTTATAATACTTCTCTTTCTAATGTTGGATGATGAAGTGTTTTTTCGAAATTTCATTTAATTGTCCCAATGACATAATACAACCATTTAAATTTGTTTATGATAAGCATTAATTAGCTGTGGGATCTTATATAAAGTGAAATACTCTATTTAGAATTTTATATTTATAATTAATTAACGATTTCTAATCTCAGACGTTGGATTACATGTATATTGCATATTAAATTCACCAACAAATCTAATGAATTTATATTAGAAATTTAGTTAATAAACATCAAACAGTTATGATACCTCAGATTGCGCAATCCCCACCAGAAACTTTGAAGGAAGTGTCGTTTATTAGACGGTGACCTGGTCAACTTAGACTGAAGAGCGTAGAGAAATATACCAAAATCGAAGATAGTTGTATCAGGTGGATTTATAGGGCATGATGCCTTTATACGTGTGATATTGAGACGCAATTTGGAGGAGTTAAAGTCGGCACCACAGTAGAAAGGATAAGCCGTTTGACCCAAATCACATCCCACCCTTTTATCGTGACAGGCGTGCAGCCAACAATCTAGCTCTCGTTGAATAGAAAGAAAGTACCACAAGGCTCCGTATAGCTGAAGGACACCAACAAGGCAGTTAATAATAATAATCTCAAGTTTTAAAAAATATTTTTTATACAAAGTAAAAGTAATAATGGAGAAGAGGAATAATTGAACACATTGAGTTAGAAGGCCCTTGTGTTTTTTTCGTTTGATACAAAGCCCCTTGTTATTTTTGGGGCGGTTAAATGTGTGAGTATGGTCTCCATGAAGTGACAAAATTATTTTAGACGAATTTTGGTTCGAAGTCCCATGACATCTTGACAATGTGTGTGAAACAAACCTCTCTCTCCCAATATTGCATGTATAAAAAAAAATATTTAGGCATTAAATTGTGACAAATTATAATTTAGCTACTAAATTTGGACATAAGCCAAAGTTCTGGTTCCCAAATTGGAAAACAAAAACCCCAAATTTTATATATCCATTCAAACAATATTTGTTGTCATGATATATCCATCCATACATTGATAATGCAAGTTTACTTAAGGAAATTTTTGTGCTAAAACTAAATTAAAATAAGCTGAAATATATATATGAGAGATAAGATTGAAACTTACGTGAGCAGCAAGGATGAAGGGAAGAAAATTCAATATAGCATTAAGCCATCTTCCTATTTTAGTTTCTATGTTAGTACACCGCTTGAGAAGCTTGTATGTGTGATGAATCCGTAGTATATATTGGGCCGGAGTGAAGAATATTAGAAACAAATATATTTTTGAGATTGAATGAGATTGGCCAGCAATTATTACCTGCACACATTAATTATACAATGATTTATATATCTATATACACACAGATTTAATTTGGCTTAAACCATCTATAATGTTTCCAGATGTTAAAAATAAATTACAATAATGATCTGTTGTATCCACATCTGGGTCTATTGGTGATTAATTTGCAGCTGCAGCTATACCAGAATGCTATTAGCTTGCAGCTATGCCATGCATGCGTGTGTGTTAACACTAAAACAAATAGTTGAAAAGCAAAATGAATGAAATTGACAGAATAGAAGGCTTATGTTGATTACCTGTGGAATGGGAAGAGCACGAAAAACACGAGGTAACAGCTTAAGGATGGTTCTTGCATCAAATGATTCTTAGTAATAGGCTTGCTACAAATTCGCCGACGACAAAATATGGCAATGTCCCATTGCATAAAAGAGATCTAGGGCGAATCGTAAGCCCACAAATGACCACAACAAGTATAGGTCCGAATAGTAGCACGTATGGTCCTCATCTACGACAGGAATGTAAGGGAATACAGGATCAAGGAAGACAGCAAATACACATGATATCGTAAATACTATATCCCACTTTCGGAGGAACGTCGTTGCTGGCTGCTCATCATGTGAACCAAGAATCTCCTCTGTTGTTGGCCATTGTCCACTTGATCTGTGCCCTCCAGCTTCATCATGATCAACACTAAACAAGACACACAAACAAACAAGCATTTATATTCAAGTTTTTCTTTAAAAGAAAAAAGGAAAATGTTATGAGAATTAGAGAAAAAAACTAGCCTTTCAATAACTAACCTTATGGCTTTACAATATTTGTGACTTGTTATAATGACTAACTGGGGACCCAAAGGACATTCTATGTACAACGAACCCCTAATTCTTTATACTTATAACTTAAAAACGAAAAAAAAAAACCTAAACCTAAATAAATAAGGAAAAAGTTTGGCTCCTCAAGATTGAGGAGGAGTTCCTCTAGTTTTGACACGTGTCAAATTATTTTAATATTCTTTGTTCTTTTTTAGTTGAAACTTTGTCAATATTATTGGAATGTGATAAGTGTCGAAATCACATTGTTGAAACTTTGTCATCATGATTGTGTTTTTTAGAGTTCCTTGTGTTGGAATTTTAAAAAGGTTTTAAAAATTTAACTGTTTTTATTTATTTAATTAATTTGGCTGTTTTAATTTATTTATTGTGGGGATATACATATTTAATTTTCAGGTATCATTATTTATATATTAAATGCCTTAATTTTCTGTTTTAATGTGGTGAAGGTTGCAACTTCTTGGATGCATATAAAAGGCCACTCCTCTTTCACATTTGATACACCATCAGAATATCACATGTCATAATCTGATTCTCTCATTTTCTACTTTTATATATATTCTCTACTTTCTATTAGTATTTTTTGGCAATGGTTATGTGACTTGGATACCTATATCGGTCTATGAACGTGCTCATAGCGGATCTTGAGTTTGTGTATAAGAAGTTGTATCTTGGAGTCTTGTAGACCGTCAGTACCTGCACGTAGGGAGGCTGCAAAGACTTTAGGATAACGTTCTTGACGTGCTTCACCTTACCAAGCTCACATTCTTACTTATAATTTATTTTGCTTTTACTTACCTATAAATTTGTTTTTCTTCAGTTTCATTGTACTTTAAAAACTTTCCAATTTGTTTATATGCTATTTATAATATAAAGGTTTTTGTATTGGCAAAGAGAAAAACTATAGTTTTTATAATACCTTGCTCATTACAGTTGCTACATCTTGATCAAAAGCTGCAGTGCAGTTTTTTGTATGTTGCATGAGTTATTGGGCATGATCGAAGGGTAAGAAGTGGGATGTAGTAGTGGTATTGGGCGTGGTCGAGAGCTACGTCTCCCTCCTCTATTTTTTGTTCTTAGTTTCCCTTTACTATTTCAAGTATTGTCTTTTGATCCCTTGCTTTTTTTTTTCACGGGGTTAAACAACTGCCATCTCTCTTCTTTAGTTAGTGGTCGAAGTTGGTGGGAAGGGTTGATGATGTCGACTTGTGAAGCCAAATTGGGGTAATGTGTAGTGAGGTTGTGGGCCTGGGGTTGTTGGGTGTGGTTGGTGGGCCTGGGGGTATTGGATGTGGTCATGGGCGTGGCTGTCGTTTCTCGTAGAATTTTGGCGTGGTCGTTGTCGTTTTGGGCGTTTGGTGTATTAGATGGGGTCAAGTCATGTGTAGTGAGGTTGTGGGCGTGGGGTTATTGGGTGTGGTTGGGGTCAAGTCATGTGTAGTGAGGTTGTGGTTGTGGGCGTGGGGTATTGGGCGAGGTCATGGGTGTGGCTGTCGTTGTCGTTTTGGGTGTTTGGTGTATTGGATGGGGGCAAGTGTATGTGATTGAGCTTAAATGAAATAAGATAATTTAGATAATGGCATTTTTCATAATTTTGATGTGTTTTCAGTGTATTATTGTAAAATTATATGCCACTTTTTGGCCATTCACCTTAACCAAATTAGGTGAAATTTTATTATTATCTACCATAATAGTAAACTCCCAAATGACTATAAACCAAAACTCCATTTAAATTAATATTATATGAATTTTTAAATAAGTTTTTTTCTCCATCCTTATATTAAATTCAATGGTGAGTGACTACAAATTCCTTGGACCACAGAGTCCAGGAGAATTGGGATGGAGGGTTTCATTTCCCCCAATTTTCCATTTGACAGGGAACCATTTCCCATACCTGAACTTATCAAACATTTGATTTCTCATTCCCATGCCCCATTTCTCATGAACCAAATGCACGATAAGTTTTTTTTTCATTCTCTATCATTTAATTTCTCATTCTCATTCTCTATTTTTTTTTCATTTTGTAAATAAATCTATAAAAAAAAAAAATCATTTCCTTGGTACGTATAGGATCTTTTGTTTATACATAGAAAAGTTTAAAGAAAGAAAATCTGACCTTTCAACCAGGAATTAAAGAAGAAGAAAAAACTAGCTAACCTTATGGCTGTTGAGTCATGACTGGAGTCCGCCATAACTGAAGCTTATTAATGATAGGATATGTCCTATGAAGTATGAGCAGCAGCAAGAAGCATGTTAAAAGCCAGTACCACAAAAGTTGGATATAATTAGCAAGTCCTAGTAAGAAGAGAAGCCCCCTGCTATAACCTGAGACTAAAGAGATGATTCATATAAGATGGATGGAGAGAGAGTTTAAAAGTTCATTGATACTTACACCAGTACTTGCAGTAATGATACTCTACCTGATCAGTTCATTGAGAGAGAGAGAGAGAGAGAGAGAGAGAGAGAGAGAGAGAGAGGAATACTTAGCACATAAGGATGAGAAGACAATGGAATCCGAATCTAAAATTATGCAGTGATAATTGACAAGGGTCTGATTGGTGGTCAAAAAAAGTAGAAAGTTAAAGAGAGTATTTATGCACTACAAAAAAATTGGACAATAGTCACCTTTTCTTTGGTGACTATTGGTTACTATTAGTTAGGGGTGGTTGCGGTTCGGTAATCGCGAATTTTTACTCAAACCGCAAACCGACCGACTATTTGCGGTTTGATGATTTTTGAAACCGCAAACCGACCGCGTTTTGCGGTTTACCGCATTGCTATTGTCTTCTTTTTTTGTAGTGATGGGATCAAAACATGATTTATTTATTTTAGGAGGATCATCATGAAAAGTTAAAAAACCTTGTAACAATACAAAGTTACTTTTGTGCTGCTGTGTAACCAATATTAAATCATTATTAACATATAAAGATAGATGTTTATGTATGTTGCCAAAATCTGAGGTAAGTACATATATACATATATAACTGTACCATATTCAAGTGGTTAAGCATTCACCCATACACCCGATCACAATCCTAGGTTTGAATTTCCTTCCCTCGACATCTCTTATATAAGTGGTTGTAATGATATTGTAGATGTCATGGCTTCAGTAGATAAGTAAACAAGATCATTTGGTTTAGTGAACTTTCTTTGTTGAAGAAGGAACTTGGTTTAAATCTCACAAAACACAAAGATTGTTGTATGCGTTGAAGTTAATTACAACTTCGATTTAGACAAATTGTATTTAATATATTGTCCCTTTCAATTTTGCAGCTCTTTTGGTTCAAACCTCCAGAACAGTCCTTCTGCGCAGGAAATCATGTTTACGGTTTTGGTATCTATAAGTGGCATGGGGCTGTTTTTAGTATATCTCAATACAAGTACAGGTAGGTGTAATCACCCTTTATATATAAATCTTGTCCTCAAGCTTAGAGCACCAAACAATTTTCCCTTCGAGATAATATATAATAATATATATAGTTATTCTCTTATTCGAATGTCCGCACGTTATTATTATATGGATGCTAAATGTAAATATGTAGGAAAGCAGAGAGGAGTAGTACAAAATACATGGCATCCGCACGATAATAACGTCCGGATGTTTACATAGTAGAACTTCTGTATACCATATATATATTAAATTATATTAAGTACGTAATATCCATGAAGATTGCTGGTTTCTATGATTATGATTAACTAATCACCCTATGTACTAAAAAGAAAAAACTGATCTGAACCGAGAATACTTTCTGCATAAGAAGTGTAGGCCTATACAGGAGTTTAAAATGAACTCGTCATTAAACTACTAATTATGGAATAAACTGCATGCAGATGTTACGACAAACACATTATTAGCTTAAATTGAGACAAAAGGTGCAAATGATGAATCCAGATATAGATTTATTGTTGTATAAGAAGGGTCTTAATAAGGGTTTGAAGAAGGTTATCATGAATAACTTACAACAAAAACTTGAAGAAAATAAAGATGTTGATGTAGAGAATATTCTCTCTCTTGTTCCCACTATACACAGAAGACATCTCGTGTGCGTTCTCGGCTCGACTTTACTGAAGAAATCCGTTGAAGTATTATTAGTGATAAATCCGTTGAACTCGTCATGTTAAACTGAAGAGCTTCCATATATATACCAAAATCGGAGGTGCGGATTGTATGTGGTGGATTTATAGTGCATGATGCCTTTATATGGGTGATATTGAGATGAGCATTGTAGTAGTCAGTATCGGCACCACAGCTGAATAAATAATTTGTTCCGGAAAGATCACATCCCACCGTTTTATCTTGACAGGCATCCACCCAACATCTTGTCTCTCGTATAACAGAAAGTTCGTACCACAAGGCTCCGTATAGCTGAAGAACCAAGTAAATAATAATCAGATTTTCAAACAAGTTCAATTTGTCTATTATATTTCTGACAATTTTTTTTAAATCTATTATATTAATAATTTTCTTTTAATTAAACATTAATAACATGACAATTTATGTCATACTAGCCTCTCCGAATGCGCTTTCACGCATGCGAGAGGCTTTAAAAAAAAAATTAAATTAAATTTATTTTAGAAATATAAAAGATGATGGGTAAATAGGATCCATTATCTAATTTTTTATATATTTTATTTTATTTTAATATGCCATATTATCCTCATTTAATTAATAATTACAATTCTTAATGTTTGCATTAACTAAGGCTATTTTCTACTATTTTTAATGTTGTATCATTCTTTACCTTTTGCTTTATATATATATATATATATATAGATGACACATCATCTATTTTATCAATTTAGTATTCCAACTCTCTATAAATAGCCAATTAACAATTATGTTGTTCGAATTCCATCTAATTTTTTTTGTCTAGGTGCACGCATGAGCGACACTTTTAAAATTAAAATTATAAATTAAAACCAACATTAAAAAAAATTTGAAAGAAAAAAACCCATACAGCACCAACCATCCCCGACCTTCCTCAATACCTCTCAATCCAGACTTCCCTCCCCCACCTTTTCCCTGACCACCTCCTTCCCCCAACTCTCAGGACCTTTCTAACTGGAACATCACAAGCGGAAGCTGCTACGTGCTATAATTAATCCCAACTTGCCAACGGGGTCTAAGCCAATTTAAAAGGACATTGACTTGTAGATTAATGGTCTCATGTTCGAACCCCCATAACACATGTACATTGACAGTATGTGTGATGTGTGTCAAAAAACTTCCCTTCGAGGTCCTATAACTTTGGCAAAAAATAAATAAATCTAAGTTGATTTTTTATGTCTAAGTAAATCAAACTTTTGAAAGAATGAATATCACATCTTATGCGCAATTCTTTCACTCCAACCAAAAAAAAAAGTTGCAAATTTTTCACTTCACGAAAGCAAAATTGTTTTGTGTACGTGAATTGTTTTTATATAAAAGCAATAATAGTAGAAGAGAGATTTGAACACATGACCTAAGGTGCAAGGTATACACTGTTAACCAATTGAATGATAAGTTCCTTACTGTTTGGGCTGATTTAATGTGTGGTGGTCTTCATGAAGTGACAAAATAATATTTTAGCTGAAGTTTGTTCCAAATGTATTAGACGCAAAAAATTAATTTAGGTCTTAAATTGGGACAAATTATAATTTAGGCACTGAATTTGGACAATTCAATTCAGAAGGTTACCCCCCCCCAAACACAAAAAAATAAATTGAATGGAAAAAAAAAAAAAAAAAAAAAAAAAAAAAAAAAAAGAGAAAAAATACAAATCTATCAATTCCTCAATTTTGTTGGGTATAACTCACGTATTTGAATTGATGAATCGTGGCCCAATTTGGCATTTCCTACTTATTTTTTTTTGTGGCCGTTTGCCTTTGAAGCTAAATAATGGGGAAAAAAAGGTCCTTGATTAAAACATTGTCACTCTTAAATTTTGAATTTGAATTTTAAACATTTATGGCTAAAAAAATCATAACTCATATAGCCAAAATATATAAATAAAAAAATTGGTAACATAAGTATAATTCACATAAAATTGGTACCGCACATAAACCTTTTTAACCTATGTGCAAATAGAAAAAAAGAGAAGAAACATAAACTGCTCCTACGTACAAGGTAAACAAACAAAATGTATTTTAAGCCAAGAGTTGATTCAGATTACAGATTAACAAGTACTAAACAATGAAGGGTCTTACCTGTGGAAGGGGAAGAGCAACAAACATACGAGGTAGATAGGGTAGCAGCTTGTGGATTCTTGCCTCAAATGCCTTGGCATTAGTATAATTCCGCCGACGCCAGAAGATGGCAATGTCCATTGCATAAAAGAGATCTACGGCTGATCGTAAACCAAAAAATGTCCACACCATCCTGGCCTCCCCATGGAAACACGTCCTGTCCTCAATCACGACAGGAATGTACCGGTATAAAGGATCAAGGAAGACAGCAAACGTACATGACATCGCAAATACTATATCCCACTTTAGAAAGAATATTGCTGGCTGTTCCTGCTCATCATGATGTATACTAAGAATCTCCTCAAATGTTGGCCATGTTGGACTTGCTCTGTGCCCTCCGTTTGGTATCCTTTTCAAAAAAGTAAACTAAAAAATCATGATTTTTTTATTATTTAAAACTTGAATATTCAAATACTAATTTTAAGATTTATATTGGACGTCAAAACTATTTTTAAAATCTAAAAACTTATTCCAATTAACTGAAAAAAAAAGAAAAAAAAAAAAGCAAAGAGCTCCTCTCTCTCTCTCTCTCTGTTGGGTCGGGCTTTGGGGAGAGAGAGAGAGAGAGAGAGAGAGAGAGAGAGAGAGAGAGAGAGAACTGTAAAATCTCACTTGTTTTGTTTTCAATAATGGGGGTGTTTTTGAGTTTTTTAAAATGGACTTATCAAATGGGTTTTTGTGGTTTTGGACTTCAAAATCTGTTTTTGAGTTTATAAAATTGAATCCAAGTAGGATATACCGAAGGGGCCCTAAAAATTTCAATCAGGGAAAATTGGAGACTAGCTAACCTTATGGCTGTTGAGTCATTATTGGAGTCCGTCATAACTTAAGCTTATTGATGATACGATATCCTATGAACTACGAGCAGCACCGAGGAGCTTGTAAAAATACAACTACCACAAAATAATATTAACTCCTGCAATAAGTCAAATATATGGAGAGAGGAATTCATATATTTTAATATGTATGTATATGATTATATGTATGTATATGATTATATGCATATACTAGTTAATATGTATATACTGGAAAAAATAATCAATAGAGCATATAAATAAAATGCTTGTTCTTCATTAGGAATTCATATTTTTTTTCTTTCTATAGTTTGCCAACTAAACAAACAGCTTTAAGCTCTTCTCCTTTGCTCAAGTCTTGTTTTATCTAATAATAAAGTTTGTCCTCACATCTCCTCGCTAACCATTACAAAAGCAAGTTTGTCCTCACTAACCATTACAAAAGCCATCTCTCAACCCACCAAAATCAAATGCGAAAAGCAATAAACAAATAGCAAGCAACTCAAACTTTGTTTTGGGTTTGCTAATAATTGACTAATAGGCCTTAATAATATTAAAGTGCGAGTGGGAAATAATAATTAACCTCGTATGTATGTAGCATGTAAATTGCAATTAGTAGTAATATGATGTTACAGAAATTTCTGTGTCCTATCAAAGAAAACCAAACATGCAAATTTCTGTGCAATGCGCTAATCTGTATGATGAAATTGAAATTGAAGGATTAATTACATATGATCTGATTAAGTATAATGGAGCTTAGGTCATTCATGAATCATGAGAAAATGGAGCTTTGAGCATCAAGAAAGGTCAGTCATTCATGACTCATGGAGATAAATTAATCAATTGATTACCGCATTTAGAACTTACGGCTTCACTTGTCTCTTTATTGTTCCTCCATTTTTCTGCCTCAAGCTGTCTACATTTTTTTTTAATTGTGGAGGCAAAATGTGTAGACATTTTAGTTAGATTTTGTTCTTTGCACCAAAAATGTGTGCCATTGGCATATAAAGGATTCAACTTAAACTCTTTTCTTTGATACGTACAGTGATGACTGTACGAGTCAGTTGTAAAGGTTGTTAGTTTATCACATGGGTAGCAAGTGTTCTAGTCACTGTTAAGCTTAGCTGTTAGTTTGTTAAGCTAGTTTACTTAAGAGCTCTAAGCTTGGAAGCTCAGGTGCAACAGAATCAGAGCAAGCTTAGGACTTTGGGAACCATGTGTCCAACAGGTTACATAAGAAATTGATAAATAAAAAAAAGACAATGAAGTTATGGCTCTGAGGGAAAAATTGGGTGAGATTCAAGTCTAATTTGAAACTATCTAGGAGGTTATCTGCTACTTTGAACTCTTCTTGTGAAGTTTTGTTGTCCGTTAGAGTCTTTGATTCGGTTCTACATGATGCTTGTAGATTAACACACAGAATTACTAGAAATTTTGATAACTTTGATGGAGAATGCTGTGTGGAATTTGGATTTGGTTGCTAATTTGGTTTATCCTACTACAAAAAAAAGTGGCAACATTTACCATTTTATCATCAATTTTGATGACTGTTGTGGGGGTTACTAAAGGCTTTAGTCACCTTTTTTGACTTTTTTGGTGACTAAAAAAGCTTTCAGTCACATTTTTTGCTTTTTTTAGCGACTAAAGCTTTTAGTAACCCCCACATCAGTCACCAAAATTGGTGACAAAATGGTAACTATTGCCATTGTGTGTGTGTGTGTGTAGTGTCCTGATGTGGATTATGTTAAAAAAGTGCATAACCAATATACTTTGTTTAATTTTTTTGTTTTTATTTATTATTTTTGGGATTTAACTAGCGGAATTGATGGATTCAACTTGATTTGTCTGAGACTGCAAGTATAGTGACAAAAATCGAAAAATTGAAAATTCGGTAACCAAATTTAAATTCGAGCCTAACCCCAATGACCAAAATTGTTATTACCCCTTTTCAAAAACAGAAAAAGAAAAATAAACCAGTTGGGGGAGATAGCTGGGAAGATAAGGGGTAAATTTGAGGTTTTTCTTGAAGTTCTTAAAAGTCATTTTACAAAGGGGTAAATTTGTCTTTAAAATCTTGATGATAAGATGAGTTGGAAAATAGAACAAAGATGGAAATAGCAGCACTCTATCGTGTTATTACCATTATTAAATGCAAAGACAGTGTTTGCGTAAATTAGCCAAACACAAACAAAATAGTAAACAATCGAAAACAACAAAGCAACACAAACACAAACAAAATACCCACACAAGATAATTAAGGGAAAAAAATGTAGTTGGTTTATGTGCTTACTACACTCCTTTTTTAGGATATTGTACTTTTAGATAATTTAATGTACGTTTGTGCCATCCAGTTGGGCCCTTAGCCTTTGCACGACGGCGGCACCAGAATGCCTGTAAGGAAGAAGCTGCAAAATGCTCCAATTGAGAATGAGGAAGCTCCCTCTGAAAACGCCACCAAAATTGATCGACAACAGACTTCAAGTGGTTGGCCCTAAGAGAAAACGCTTGAACTTTTGTTTGGGATACAACAGTCGTAGGAGAGATAGGTAACTCAGAAAATGTGCCAGATTTGAATGCCCAATTTAGAAGTTCTTCTCCATAAAAATCACTTTTCTCAAGGCACTTGCACACATTTGTTCCACCCTTAAAAGTTTTGTAGGTCAATGCAGTGCCTCTTGTGATGAAAAGCATCTTTCGAAGTGGTTCTCCTTCTCGAATGATATAAACATCCTGGCCATAAGTCACCGGCTTAAGATGATTGCATATTGCTTTTAATGCTTTCTCATCTGTATTTTCAAGCAACGGCACCTACCAATATCATCTAATTTATTAGTGTTGAACAAAATTTAATTTCATTGTTCTCAATTTTAATTTCTTCTTTTTTTCTCAAATATGAGAGATGAGATTGAAACTTACATGAGCAGCAAGGATGAAGGGAAGGAAGTCCAAAATAGCTTTAAGCAATCTTCTTACTGAAGTCTCTATGTTAGAACTCCGATTGAGCCTTCGGTAGAGCCTAATAGCCCGTACGGTATATTGGATTGGAATTAGATAGAAGAAGTTAGTCTTTTCAACGGATGTATATTTTCCAGTGAGGATTACTGCCTGCACACATTTAAACCAACATTTCAGATTTAACTACTGTGCAACCAACAAATACATATAATTATGTCCGAAAGGCTGGTTAGCTAGCTTTTCTTCTCTTCTCTTAGTTGTCTTAATTAGGTACAAAATCTTACCTGTAGAATGGGAAGCGCAGCACAAATGCGAGGCAGAATGCGTAAGAACCGAAGTGTTTTCTTGCCATTCAAGATTTTACAAATTTTCGTATGAGGACCGCCAATAATTCTTGTCCAGGAAGTCGCAAATGGCTCAGCATGACTTCTACTTAGGAAAAGAAAAATGTCCGTCGCATAAAAGAGATCTGTGGCTGATCATAAGGCGAAAAATGTCCATATCAACGTTTGGTCCCAATAGCAGCACACGCTATCGTTGATGAGTACGGGAGCATAACAGATCAATGGATCAATGAATACAGCAAATGCAGATGATGCTGCAAAGGTCATATCCCATTTTGAACGGTGATTTTGACCATGTGCCTCGACAACTTCCTTCGATTCTGGCCATTTTGGTGTAGTACTTATACTCTGTTCTGGTTCACTATTGAACAAGACACAACAAATTAACAAATATATAAGTGATGAAAATAATCAAGCAGGCTGAAGAAGGTATAAAGAAATTAACCTCAACTGAATTGATACTTGGTCATCCGTGGCGATCATATCTCAAGCTTATTTGTGACGCAATATCCTCTCTCTCAAGTGTACGAATTATTCACAAACCCAAGTAGCTTGCTCGCTCTTGTTAAACTAGAGTTAATTAGCACCAAATAATATTGAATACGTACTCCTGCGAATAGTAGCCAAATATGGAGAAGAGTGGAAGTCAGAGAATTATCAAATCCATATCATGATTATATATATATATATATATATATATATATATCATTCGGAAGTCCGCACGTTATTATCGTGCGAATGCTAATGTAAATACAAAGGAAAACATATATAGAGGGGTAGTAGAAAATACATGGCGTGGTGGTATAGGGTGTGGCTGTCGTTTCTAGTAGAATTTTGGCGTGGTTGCTGTCGTTTTGGGCGTTAGTGTATTGGATGGGGACAACTGTATGTGATTGAGCTTAAATGAAATAAGATAATTTAGAAACAAAGTGTTCCGAGAATTAGAGAAAGAAACTAACCTTTTAATCAGGAATTAAAGGGAGCAAAAACTAACCTTATGGCTGTTGAGTCATGATTGGAGACCCCCATAACTCAAGCTTATTGATGAGCAGGAGGAAGGAGCTTGTTATAAGCCCCCAGCGAATAGTCAAATATGTGTGTGGAAAACTAAAAGTTCGATAGAATTATCAAATTTTGATATAGTCCTAGTGAGAATACCCCTGCTAACCTGAGACTAAAGAGATGATTCATATAAAAAAGATGGAGAGAGAGGTTTAAAGAAGTGCATTGAAACTTATACCAGTGCTTGCAGGATACACCCTGGAGGAGAGAGAGAGAGAGAGAGAGAGAGAGAGGAGAGAGAGAGAGAGAGAGAGAGAGAGAGGAACAAAATGGACAGACCGAAGAGAGGAAAAATGTCTTTTGGCACCAAAAATAAAAAGAGAGAGAAGATAAATGTCTGGATTTTATTTCAAGTACGGCCCAATAAGATGAAATAATTTTGCTTCCACTAGGCTTTCTGCTTTTTTAATTGTCTCTTTGTGCTAGAGACCTGACCTACTTCGCTTATGAATTGTATTTTGAATGATTGCCTGGTTTGAACAGTGATTAATAATGTATCTAATTGTTTTATGTCATCTTAAAAGACAATTCCACAAAATAATGTTGGCTCCTGCAAATAGTCAAATATTATGTTTGTGGAAAACTAAAAGTTAGATATAATTATCAAATTTTAATCTAGTCCTAGTGAGAATCCTTGCTAACCTCTGAGAGAGAGAGAGAGAGAGAATGGAATTTTTCTGAGTATATATATGGTCCACTTATGTGACAAATGAAAATAGGCAATCAAAAAAGTCGAAAAATTTTAAAAAAAAGTACTTCATAATCTATGACTCAAAAAAGTTGGGAGTTATAGTCTTTGGCAAAAAGATGAAATAGTTCAACTTTATTAAAGCTGAGCGACTCTCTCTCTCTCTTAAAAGCAGATAGCACGTCGCAGCTCATTGCATTCATCTTCTCTGATTGTTGAAAAAATGTAAGCAGATAGGAGGCGACTTGTAAGTCTTTCCTTGCAAAAGATTTTTTTAGTGCAATCGACACATGTGAAAATTATGTAGGGTGTTTTCATTCCACTTTATAATATGTATACATATATCAGTTGTCTCATGCATTTAATACCATCTACGGTATCTTTAAAAATTTTATGCTTATGCGTAAGTAAATGCGGTAGTTTTGAATGAGAAAAAAAATAAGAAGAAGAAGAAGAAGAAGAAGCAGCATCTAATTACCTATGGAGGATATATTATTACCTATAGAGGTAAAGAAACCCAACCAACGGCGTATGCTGTTTAATTACCTACAGTGAGGAGATATAATTATCTATGGAGGATATATAATTACTATAGAGGACAATTCTCGTATGTCTGTCTCTCTCTCCTCCCTCTCTCGTCTGTCTCTCTTTTTCTCTCTCGTCGGTTGGTGGTTTTGGGTCGACGTCGTTTGCAGCTCTGTCAAGGTCTCCTTCGTCTACTACCTCCATGGTCTGACTAGACCCACCAAAAATTGATCAATCTTTTTCATGTTTTGGGTTTCTAGGGTTTCCATTGAAACACACCAATTGTTACTTTTCTTTTGTTAATTTCAAGTTGGGAATTTAAGGTTTCTGATTTTAATTTCAATTTGGAAATTTAGGGTTTTTTAATTTTAATTTCAATTTTTTAAAGATATTAAAAATAGTTTGGAGTTCAATACCAAACAAGTTTTTAGATCTTAAAATCGCTATTTATGCTTGATTTATTGAATGATGTTTTTGTTAATTGGAGTCCGCTATAACTCAAGCTTATTGATGATATATAGGATGTGCTATGAACTATGAGCAGCAGCTTCGAGCTTCTTCAAAGTCAATTATGTGTGTGGAAAACTAAAAGTTGGATGTCATTATCAAAGTTGGAAAACTAAATATAATTTGACCTAATACATCTCTCTCCCTCAAATGTTTCCAAGTTTATCTCATATTCTATTATTGCACAATGAAGTCGAGTTGTTGTTGTCTTTGGCAAAAAAAAATTAAATAATTCTGCTTTATTCAAGTTAGCAAATCTCTCCTAAAAGCAGACAAACTCTTATCTTTTCCCAGTTCATTTGCATTCATCTTTTCCTGTTGTTAAAATACGTGACAATAAGCGGAATATTTTTTTTTAGTGTAATTGACACGTGGAATGTAGGGTGGTTTCAATCTACTTTATAATATGTATGCATGCACATATTAATATGTCATTCATCTCAGTGGCGTAGCCGCGTAGGTAGAGTTTAATATTTGGGAGGGCGACAAGCTAAAAATTATTGGATTTTTTGTGCAATCTATACTATACTCTTTATACATCCAAAGAGGTTAGAAGATGGTAGGGGGCCCAGGCCATCTCAGGCCTATGAATAACTCCGTACTTGATTCATCTATATTAATAATACCATATGAGAAATATTTAACCATCTCTCTAAAAAGATTATGCTTATACGCAAATAAATCTGGTAGTTTTGAACGAAAAAAATAAAGAGGAATAAGAAGAAGCATCTTTGATGGTGGACATTGTGCGCTGAAGCTTTTTCAGATCAGGTTTCACGCCCCATGCCAAGCAGATCTCCTCAGAAGCAAAGGACTCATAAATTTTTAGTCCTAGACACAGGCCTTGCATGACGACGGCGCCATTTTGCTTGGGTACTACAAGCTGCCAGATGTTGCCACCTCTCCAACTGGGACTCCTCTATATGACCGAGCCTCTTGCTAAAATGCCACCAAAATGTGGATTCAACAATGTTCAAGTTGTTGGCTCTGATGGCAAATACTTCAACTTTCGTATGGGCCTTGACAATTCTGGTTGACTTGGGAAATTCAGAAAAAGAGCTCAATTTTGATGCCCAATTTAGAAGCTCTTCTCCGTAGAAGTCACCTTTCACAAGACACTTGATCGCTGAGGAACCACTTGCATTGGTTGGGTATGACCATGCCGTACCTTGGGTATGAAGAGCATCTTATCAAGTGGTTCTCCCTCTCGAACAATATACTTGTCTTCGCTGTACTTCACGAACTTAAGATGCTCACAGATTGCTTTCAACACGTTTTCATTCATATTTTCCAGCATTGGGACCTATATAATATTAATTTTATTCAAGAAAAAAACAAAGAGAATAAATTAATCTAGCAAGGGATATAAATTTATACTAACTAGGAATACGAACGCATGCATGTTATGTTATGATGAAAAATCCAAAAATGGACTAATGTTCTCTAAGAATGAAAATTTTGAAATTATTGCATATACAGATTCTGATTGGGCTGGTTCCATTACAGATAGACGCTCTACATCGGGTTACTTTACATTTATTGGAGGTAACCTTGTCACTTGGTGGAGTGAAAAACGAAATGTGGTTTCCAGGTCTAGTGCAGAAGCAAAATATAGAGGAATGGCTCAAGGAGTCTGTAAATTATTATGGATCAGAAGACTTTTGACAGAATTGGATTTCAAACCAGAAAAGCCAATGAAGTTACATTATGACAACAAATCAGCTATCGATATTGCTCATAATTCAGTTCAACATGATTAAACCAAACATGTTGAGATGGATAGACATTTCATCAAAGAAAAAATTGAGAACAAGATCATCTGTCTACCCTTCATAAAATCAAAAGATCAATTGGTGGATGTCTTAACAAAACCTATACGTGGAAGAGTGTTTTGTGACTCACTTACCAAGTTGGGCATTGCTGACGTATATGCACCAACTTGAGGAGAAGTGTTGACGTGAGCTATCCAAATTAATCAATGAGATTTATTTCCTAGATTTATTAGGAGATTTAATTTCTTATTTTATATAGTTGACATACCCTTATATAATTAGGAGATATTCTCTTAATTGATTACTGTATCTATTTCCTTGAAAGCACTCATGTAAACTCCTATATATACCTCCTTATGGAAACAAATACAATTAACCTAAAGTATTCAAACTATATTCATATTTTAGCATAGGCGACATAATCCTCGGACAGACGGAGAGCCGCTGTGGACCTAGTGAAACTTGGCTGCATAGACACATGCCTCAATGCTTGAGCAAAGTTCTCCACGGCCACTGCACGAAGGTCCTGGCGTCCGTTATTCCAAATGGCCCTAGAGCAAGCATCTTTTACAGCCTGACGCAGTTCATCAGCATGAGATTCGAGCCTCAAGCGTCTCCTTCATGGTATGTTTCTTCTGTTCTAGCAGCTCGGCCCACTCCACAACCATTTTCACGTTCTTCTGATCCACCTCAAGCTCACGGTCCTTCTGGTAGACTTGTTCTTGCATGCTCAACAGCTTAGCCCGATGAAAATCCTCCCGCTCGGACTCTCTACAAACAATCCCCGATAAAGTTAATGCAAAGTTAAAACAAACAATCCCGACAACAGTACCACAAACTTATTGTGAATTTTGATCATCCAATGGTCTACTTCACCGCCTCTAGTATGTACCATGGGTCCCACTACCACCAACAAAGCGAAGGCCTATGATTTGAATTCATTCATGAATCATGAGAAAATGGAGCTGAGCATTAGAAAAAAAAAGTCATTCACGAGAGGTAAATTAATCAAATACTAGTTACCACATTTAGGATTTAATTGTTCCTCCTCTATTGGATTTTTCTGCCTGAGGTTTCTGCATTTTCTTGTCATAGGTAATCATGCTCAAACTCGAGCATATATTATGAAGGCAAATAAATAAATAAAGATTTATGAGAAAAAAAATAATGTAGTAATAGTGTTTGGCTAATTTTGACAGGAGGGTGGCATTTTAGTTTGATTTTTCTTTTCCAAAAATTTGCCGTCGGCATATATAAGCATAAGAACACGCGCCCCTAAGAGCACTCTGTTTTTTTTCTTCTAGTTGTTTTGGTTGTATTGCTTCTGAAAGTTTAATGAAGTTCTTTCTTCTTGATTAAAAAAATAAATAAGTAACACCAAATAAAGGATTAAACTTAACAAACTCTATACAAGTAACCCAAATAAAAAGAAGTTGTTGTATTTTAATCCAAACAAAGAAAGAGATATAAGAAGAAGGATATAATCGTATCGAGTAGTGTAAAATTAGAGACTGTTGAGAAGAATAATTCTCGGGTGGTTATTGATAGAGCCAAAAGGCTAAGTATTTATAGAGATATTACAAGCTTAACTAGGAAAACTAGGTTACTTGGAGACTACTCCAAATCAATTACAATAAACTAATAAAAGGAAACTAAATAACAATTTAATAACGTTCCTAATTTCCAACAAGTAGTTTCAACCAGTTCTGGCCCTGGCCCTTGCATGACGGCGGCACCGGATTGCTCGTAAGGAAGAAATTGCGGAACTCTCCCATTGCTCCAGCTGAGAACTCTCAAACTCCTTGCTAAAATGCCACCAGAATTTTGTGACAACGCCCTTCAAGTCCTTGGCCCTAATAGCAAATGCTTCAACTTTTGTCTGGCACTTGACAAATCTGGTTGAGATGGGAAACTCAGAGAATGAAGTAAGTTTTGAAGCCCAATTCATAAGTTCTTCTCCATAGAAATCACCTCTCTCGAGGCACTTAATGTTTGAGGAACCACTAGTACTTTTGCAAATGTTGCAATTAGAACTAGTTGTGTAGCTCCATGCGGTGCCTTGCATGATGAAGAGCATCTTGTCAAGGGGCTCCCCATCACGAATGATATAGGCATCTTCAGTATAGATCACAGGCTTCAGACGCTCACAAATTGCTATAAGGACTTGTTCATCCATATTCTCAAGCATTGCCACCTACAAATATAAGATATATATTATTATACTCATCTTGTTATGGTTCTGGGTGTATTTTTGGTTAACTTTGTTGATAGGGAAATCCAAAAAAACTTACGTTCCTTAATAAATTCAAGCTGAGACGGCACATGATACGTCTTTGGTGTATAATGGGAAGAAGAGAGAGTATATTCTCCACATCAACTTCCTTGTGTTCTTCAAGTTTCCGGTGTAAGTTTTTCATGATGACCTCCTTCAATTTTTTATCAGAAAGACCGTTTTTATACAACCATAAATCTATATCTGGATTCATCATATGCATTTTATGTCTCAATTTACGTTGATCTGATCGTTCTTTCGACATCTGCATGCAGTTAAATTCCATAAACAGTAGGTTCTTGATGAGTCCATTTTAAACCCATAAGTATATAGAGAAATGAGTTATTCTCCTATGCAAACGTCTGCATGTTATTACCATACGGATACCATTGTAAACATATTGGAAAACATGAAGGTGTAGTAGAAAATACATGGCCTCCACATGATAATAACGTGCGAACGTCAACTTATGAGAAAATATGTATATATATATATATATATATATCAAAAGAAAAAAGTGTTTGGTGCTCTAAGCTTGAAGACAAACTATATATATAAAGGCTGATCACACCAACCTGTACCCTTGTATTGAGATATATTAAAAACAGCACTATGCCACTTATGGATACCAAAACCGTAAAAAAGGTTTCCAGCATATAGAGACTGGTCTGGAGGTTTGAACCAAAAGAACTGCAAAAATGAAGGAGGCAATGTATATTAGATACAATTAATGTCTATATCTTTGATAAAAGAAAAAGGTCTAAATCGAAGTTGTAACTTCAGTGTGCTCTATTTTTAGTATTCAACAATAACAGTCCCGCTGACCTAAAGACTTAAAAATGAAGACGTGTGAGGTCCTCTTTAATAAAGACCCTTGAATTAATCTAATGACACATATAATTAGTAATCTTAACCCTCCCTCTTACTCCTTATTTTACTCAATCTTTTTAATTATTCTAATTTGAAAAGAGAAAAAATGGACGTTCCCCATCCATCTCCCCCTCTCGTCAGACAACAATAGGTGGCTGCATCAACGAAATAATTAGCAAAATAATCCTTTGCTGCATGAACGAAACAATTGGGCATTTAAATCGCATATTCATGCTTTCTATATATCATGCCATGTCCATAAAGCCAATATCTACACCCTATTCATCCCCATGTCATGCTAGGGTTTTGATGCAACATAGCCACTAATTAATTAATTAATTAATTAGTTAATGAACATATATAATATATATATATATATATATATATGTGTGTGTGTATATATACGAACCTCAGATTTCGTAAGCCCCACCAAAAACATTGAACAAACTTTTCTCCAAGATTCGGTGAACTTAGGTTGCACTGAAGAGCGTAGAGAAATATACCAAAATCAAATATTTTTGCATCTGGTGGATTTATAGGGCATGATGCCTTTATATGCGTGATATTGAGAAGCACATTGTCGTAGTAACTTTCGGTACCACAGTAGAAATAATAAAATGATTGAGAGAGATCACATCCCACCGTTGCATCTTGACAGGCATGCAACCAACAATCTGTCTCTCGTTGAAGAGAGAGATGGTACCACAATGCTCCGTATAGCTGAAGGTCCAACAAAGCAGTTAATCAGACTTTCATACAAGTTGAAGTGTGTCCATTAAATGTCAAATAAAGACGCACTCGAGATATCATTTATTAATTACACAAAAAAGAAGAGATATCATATATAAAAGGTTAAAATGTTGATTTGCCCTCTAAATTTGTAAATCATTTTCAATTTACCCTTTGATTTTTCTTTTATTATAGAAAATTAAGGACATGAATTTCTTCTTTTTGCCAATTTCTTATGCCGATTAAATCCTCAAAATTTCATCTAATTTACCGTTAAATATGAGGGTCATTTCGTATGTTAAAAATTAAATACTGAAAGATAAAATAAAATACAAAAAATGAAATAATTTTAATAAAAATAACTCTCCTCCCCCCAAATTCCAACAGCCACGAACAAGGGGGGTGGGGGGGCGGAAGGAGGTGGGTTGCAGGTGGGGAAAGAGGTGGTCATGTCATGGGGGAGAAAAAAAACAGAGATGGAGAAAGGGTCTGGGGGTGGGAGTGGGGGATGGGTTGGTGATGCTCTGTTTTATTGGCTGCTGTGGTTTGGCGTGTAGAGTAACCAGATTGGAAGTTGAAGGAGAAAAGGTCAACAGATTGGGGTTGATTTATTTCTAGGTGACGAACTTGGAGATGAGTTCCTCACGGAAGCCATATGCCTTGGAGATTGTCCACAAGGCTTTGAGAAATGGCACGAATTAACTCCAACGTCAGCGGTGGTCCGTGGTTTCTGGGGTTGATTTATTTGAAAGTCAGGTCATGGGGGAGAAAAAAACAGAACGGAAGAGGGAATGGGTCGGGCTGGGGATAGGGTTTTCTTTTTGGATAATGCTGAGCTTATCACATTTTTATACCACATTATGTATCACCTCTATAATAAAGGTGGAGCCCACAAATACAATGGGGCCCACCTCTAGTAGAGAGGTGGTACACAATGGGGCATAAAAATGTGGTAAGCCTAGTATTTTCCTTTCTTTTTATTTTTTTGTTATCTTTTTCTTCAATTTTTTCTTAAAATTAAAATTATTTTTAATAATTTAACTGAAAATTGGATGAAATGTTGATTTAGACAGCAAGGGAAAATTGGCGAAAAGAAGAAGTTCATATTCTTAATTTTCTTATTAAAAAAAAAAGAAAAGAATAGAGGTCAATTGAAAGTTATGTACAATTCAAAAGCAAATCACCAGTTTAGCCTATATAAAATGTACTTGCAAAATATGAGAAGGAAATTCACACACATTCTCACAACCCTCTAATTTGCGAACCAAACAGCCTTAACGTTTCGCTATAGTAAATTCATGGATGTGGATGGATAGATATTAAAGAAAGGATTTGAATTTTGCTACATGTCTAAATTTGCTATAAACTAAATTAAAATAAGCTGAAATAGTTTTCTTTTTATCAAAATATATAAGAGGATAAGATTCAAACTTACATGAGCAGCAAGGATGAAGGGAAGAAAACCCAATATAGCTCTAAGCCATCTTCCTATTCCAGTTTCTATGTTAGGAGCCCGCTTAAAAAGTCCGTACGCACGATAAACCCGTAGAGAATATTGGGCCGGAGTGAAGATTATTAGTAAAATAAAATTATCAAAGCTTGTATATTTTCCGGTGAGTAATACTACCTGGACACATCATTCAACGATTTAAGCCAACAATTAAAATAATGCATGGCTTACAAATGGATTTTTGAAGATATTGTTTTTCCAAATCTGTTTTTGAGTTTCACATACCTGAAGTTACATATCGTTTGGTTCATGGGAAAAGAAGTTTAGGGATAGGAAATTAATTGATTTCCCATGTTTGGTAAGTCCGGGTATGAGAAATAGTTGCCTGACACATGGAAAAGTAGGGGGAAAAGTGAAGCCCTCCTCCCAACTTGGGTTTTGTTTTCCCTCATAATGGGAAAGTTTGGAAAAATGAGCCAACATTACATGCATATTTTTCATTACCATTTTGTCCTCATTAACAATTTACAATTACAATATATCATTAAATGTATTCTTTTTTTATTTGATTTAATATGGGTATAATTGAAAAATTATACAAACTTTGTTTTCCATTCCTACTCAAAACAAACATGGGGAAGGAAATAAAGTGATATCTCTCGGTTACTTTTCCGGCATTACCAAACATGAGAAATGAATCTTCCACTTCCCATGTATCCATTAGAAAATGACATGGAAAGTGATTTTTCTCAAATCTATTCCGTGAACCAAACGGTGTAGGCTCAATTTCGTGATTTCCCCACTGATTGCTTCAGTGGGATGAGAAACTTGTAAAACCAAAATATTAATGTGAGCCAAAATATACAAAACCCTAAGACAGACAGAATCTTCCTTGGCCCATGCATGCATGTTAACAAAACATACCAAGAATTGAAAAATAATTAACTTGAAAAATTAAAGGGTTCTCTTAATTACCTGTGGAAAGGGAAGTGCAGCAAAAGTACGAGGCAGAAGGGGTAGCAGCTTATGGAGCTCTCTTATACGGAGCTCTCTTATCCAAGGTGCTATTCTTTCCGGACTAATTCGCAGACGGATATAGAACCAAACAATGTCCGCATAATAAGAGAGATCTGCGGCTGATCGCAAACCAATAAATGCCCACATCAACTTTTCGTCCCAATAGTAGCACGTCGAATCCCCAGTTATGTTAACAATGTAAGGGTAAAAAGGATCGAGGAAGACGGCAAATGCACATGATATCGTAAATACTCTATCCCAATTTGGAAGGAATATTGCTGGCTCCTCATGTGTACTAAGAATCTCCTCTAGTGTTGGCCATCTTGAACTTGCTCCATCTTCATTACCAGATTCCCCCTCTACATCTGAACACTAACAAGACACACAAACAAGCATAATATATGTGTGTGTGCATATAGAAAAGTTTTTGGAAAGAAAAAAGAAAACGTTTCTGAGAGTTAGAGAAAGAAACTAAAATTTCAGGGATCAGGGAAAGAAAAAAAAAAAAAAAAAAATAGACTAACTTATGGCTGTTGAGTCATCATTGGAGTCCGCCATAACTCAAGCTTATTGAGGATACGATATCCATGAACTACGATCCCCAAGAAGCTTGTTAATATATATATATATATATATATATGTGTGTGTGTGTGTGTGCGCGCGCAGCGCGCGTGTGGTGTATGAATATGAATATGTGTGTATACTATTTAATATATACATATAGGGAACTTCTCCATTGCGAAGTCAGAAAATGCGGACTGGGTACGAATTTCTGTTTTTGACCGTTGGATGATTTCAACGCTTCAGATTGGATTTTTATTTTTTTTTCTTTCTTCCTTCCTCCCGCTTTCAGTCTTCTCTCTCTTCCTCTTTCTTTTTTATTTCCTTTCCTTCCATCTTTCTTGCTTTTCCTTCTTCTTTCTTCTTTCTCTCCCTGAGTTCACTCTTCTCTCTCTCACTCTCTTTCTTTTTTTCTTCTTCCTCTTGTCATGGGTGATTTTTTTCTTCTCCTCTCAGCTGGAAAAACTGGGTGTTTCCCCTTCTCTCTCTCCTCTCTCTTTCATTTTCTTCTTCATTTTCTGAGAATGATTTGGCTACAATGTGCTGGGGTTGGCTTGGGGCAAAAAATTGTCTCGACGTCGGCTTCTATTGGCCTCTTCTTCTACCTTTGTTCAATTTTTATTTTTATTTTGGAAAAAAAATTGAAGAGAAAGATAATAAAAAAAAAACCCACAGACGCAGACCCATTCAATCCCCCCATCCCCTCTGTTATTTCTCTGCTGTGGCCTGAAGAAAAAGATAACAAAAAAACTCCACTGTAATAATGTATTTGCCCTCTTTTGTAATAGTTGACCACTGCTAGGAAAGAAGAAACATGAGAGAGAGAGAGAGAGAGGATAGAGAAACGCAGGGAAAAAAAAAGAGAAACGGGAGAGATAAGAGATAAGGAATAAAGGGAAAGGGCAGGTCCTTGAAGCTGAAGTTTTTTTATTGGGCTTTCAGCTGGCTATTGACAAGGTATTAGCGAGCTCATTGTTTGAAATGGATGCTGCCACAGTTTTTCTGGTTGTGCAGAAACAAGAGGAAGAAAGCAAGAGAGAAAGAAGAAGGAAAGGAATAAAAAAAGAAGAGGAGAGAGAGAAGACTGAATCGGGGAGAGGAAGAAAGAAGAAAAAAAAAAAAAAATCATCTGAAGCGTTGTAATATCCACGGTCAAAAACAGAAATCCGTAATCATTCCGCATCTTCTGCTTCGCAATGGAGAAGTTCCCTATATATATACAGAGAGCTTTCATTAAAGGATTCTTCAAATTAGCTTATTTGAGGGACACTCTTTTAGGGCCCATTCCGTATTGTATTTACTAATTATCCAAACCGTCTATTTGGTAGATACTCATTCAAGATCATCTCTACAAAAAATCACTTGAATCCGATATCATTTGACCACTTAATTGAATTATTGAAATTTAGTACTTCTTGAAGCACCATGTTCATTGATTTTGTAGGACACAATTGGATATCGAAACGATTTCCAATTTGTCTAATTTTTTGCAAAAATGATCTATGAATGTAGACTTTTAAATAAAAAAAAGTCGTACGGAACCCTAAAAGGTGTTTCTCAAATAAAATTATTTGAGAGATTCCTCAATTGAAAAGGACTATATATATATATGTGTGTATGTGTTGTGAAGAAATAATCTAAGACCTTGTTATCATCAATGAATTATGACGAAAAGCACCCACAAAGAAATTGCACACACACACCAAAGCAAACAAACCAACCAAGAATACAAGAATTTATAGAGGTTCGACAATGTGCTTACGTCCTCTTTGTGATTCCATGGAGAAATTTCATTAGAAAAATAGAAACAATTTTGGTTTACAAGAACCGCCCCCACCCCACCCCCCCATGCTTTCAAACCTTAGCTCCCCTATTCTCTCTCACCCTTGCTCAAAATCAATTTTCCCCTTGAATTTTAGATGGTTAAAAAAAATTAAAAATTAAGGTTTTTTAGGTTTTAGACATAAAAAAAATTTTCACTTTTGGAAAAAGCCAAAGCTTTTTCAAAAAAGACAAAAAAACCACTCAACTTTCAAATCAAAGACTGCAAATGTATTGGATTTCTTAGGAAATCTAAAAATAAATAAGGGCATTTTTGTTCATTTTTGCTTCTTTTAAAATTTTTCTCTCTCCTTTTGCTTTTCTAAAATGTCCCTAAAAATTATGGCCAACTTCACACATAAATATAAAAGAATGAACGCATATCACAAAAGAAGTTGCAGCACAATTGGTATATATAGGCGATGTCCCCTTATGAATTCAGTAGGGTATGAGATTAAAACCTCTGAAGTTGTACATGAATTTGTTAATCGAACAGCTATATATGTACCTGAAGCTAAGTCTGAACTTCCAAATAAGCTGAGTAACACAAAATAATATGAACTCCTGCAAATAGGATGGAGAATTCTATAAGTTAGAGAACCATAAAATCTCAATCGAGTAGAAGTGTGCTTTCCCAGCCAAGTGCTAACCTGACACTGAAGAGCGAATTATTTGAGAGAAACCTTCAGCAGAATGAATGTAGAAAATCTCATTCGAAACCAGATCTCAAACACATTCAGTTTCTAATATGCATGGTTATAAATAGTTATAAGTTAGCACGTGATCAAAATAGGGAAGAAAAGAAAAGAAAAACAAAAATAGTTCTCGCTAACCGACCAATAAGTCATCTTCTCAGCCAATAAATTATTTTTTGTTTTGCTAATTGAGGCCCCAATATTGACTCGGGAGTCGGAAATACTAATTAATATCCAGTCCTAGTTGTTATTATTACTAATTAATCTCATGTCCTAGTAGTAGTTGCTTTGTTTTTTGGATCGTTATGCACATTGCCGTCAGTCGCAACATAAAAAAGTGCAAATTGCTTTGTTTTTGTCGGATGGTTATGCAAATCACTCTTTCTTGCAATATAAAAAAGTTCAAATTGCTTCATTTTATGGGTTTTTATGCAAATCGCTCTCTCTTACATTTGTTAACTTTTGTCTCATGGCATCTATGCATTATTGAAGTTGAATGTCGACACAGAGATGGACATCGGAAACTACAAAAATATTGCAATGACTAATTTTTTTTTATTTTTTTGGGGCACTATTTCCCCTAGGGGTGTATATCTGGTCGAAACTAATGAATTTTTATTAATTCAATCCAATTCAATTCAATATTTTATTAAATTTGAGGTTTTATAATCTGATTCAATATGCTCGGATGTCATTTTGGATTGGATTGGATGATCGGTTTGTATGAAAATATGATAATCACAAAGAGAATCGGATAAAATTCAATGAGATAGAAAATAACATTAAGTATGTACTAAATAGACAAATAAATTTTAAAAAACAACACAACAACATGAAGTTCGATACAAAAAGTCATAAATCTAGACATAAATAAATTTTAGAAAATACCATGTTATAAACATAAATAAATTTTAGAGTTCAAGTTATATCCATTCCTTAAAAAAAGAAACACTAAAATCAACAAAAAAAGTTAAAAATCTAGGATAGGAAGGGTGAGTTGTGGTGTGGAGATTTTCCGTCGCCGAAATTTACTTTACACATCCATTCCATGCTATATTAATATATTTTTTTCGAAAGAATATTAACAAATTTAAGTGCGAGTGGGAACTAACACATCGCTAATGCCTTTATATGCGTGACATTGACAAACATATCGCTGTAAATATCTTTCCTTTATATGAGAAAGGAAACTCTCACACACATTCTCAAGAGTCTCTAGTTTGCCAACTAAACAAACAGCTTTGACGTCTTCTCCTTTGCCCAAGTCTGTTTTATCTAATAATAAAGTTTGGGGTTGCTAATAATAGACTAATAGGCCTAATAATATTCAAGTGCGAGTGGGAAATAATAATGAACCTCATATGTATGTAGCATGTAAATTGCAATTAGTAGTAATATGATGTTACAGAAATTTCTATGTCCTATCCAAGAAAACCGAACATGCAAATTTATGTGCGATGCGCTAATCTGTATGATGAAATTGAAATTGAATGATTAATTACATATGATCTGATTAAGTATAATGGAGCTTAGGTCATTCATGAATCATGAGAAAATGGAGCTTTTAGCATCAAGAAAGGTCAGTCATTCATGACTCATGAGAGATAAATTAATCAATTGATTACCACATTTACAACTTACGGCTTCACTTGTCTCTTTATTGTTCCTCCATTTTTCTGCCTCAAGTTTTCTACATTTTTTTTCGTTGTGGAGGCAAAATGAGTAGACATTTTAGTTAGATTTTGTTCTTTGCACCAAAAATGTGTGCCATTGGCATAGAAAGGATTCAACTTAAACTCTTTTCTTTGATATGTATAGTGATGACTGTACAAGTCAGTTGTAAAGGTTGTTAGTTTATCACATGGGTGGCACGTGTTCTAGTTCCTGTTAAGCTTAGCTGTTAGTTTGTTAAGCTAGTTTACTTAAGAGCTCTAAGCTTGGAAGCTCAGGTGCAAGAGAATCAGAGCAAGCTTAGGACTTTGGGAACCATGTCCAACAGGTTACATACAGAAATTGATAAAAAAGACAATGAAGTTATGGCTCTGAGGGAAAAATTGGGTGAGATTCAAAAGTCTAATTTGAAACTATCTAGGAAGGAGGTTATCTGCTACTTTGAACTCTTCTTGTGAAGTTTTGTTGTCCGTTAGAGTCTTTGATTCGGTTTTACATGATGCTTGTACATGATGCTTTGATTCGGTTTTACATGATGCTTTATTATTATTATTATTATTATTATTATTATTAAATGCAAAAACAGTGTTTGCGGAAATTAGCCAAATGAACACACTCTTACAACAACTATTGCCTAGAGGTCAAAAGACAATATTTTAAGCAAGCAAATTTGTCATTATTCAAAGGTGTTATTGAAAGAAAAAAAGTTGCCATTTTTTTTTCCAGTCACAAACCAAGGACGACAAATAGAAACAATCGAAAACAACAAAGCAAATAAAAGAGTGTAATAAGCACATAAACCAACTACTT